GTCGAGACATGGCCAGAGTAAATTCCAATTAGGAAAGGGTGCAAGCACCCTACTCTGGCCATGTCTCGACTCGAATTTATGGTGAGAATGAGGTGCACCGCATGTAGATAACATGATCTGCGCGAAGAAGATGCTTGCTGCAGATGAATGCATTGTCGTACTCGCGTGTGGTCGTGCAATTTTGCCATCAACGGACATACTTGGACATGAACTTCTTGTGGAAATCGGACCGTAGCAGATCGTTGACGAATTCTTTGCCGCCCTTCTGCTCTGTGCCTCTTGCCTGATTCTTGAACACGACGTCGTCGTCCCATCTCCGCTTGACGTTGAACGCCCTCGGGTTCAATAGAGGGTTGCCGAGTGCGATCTTCTCTTCACGTTCCTCTTGCTCCTCTGCTGCCTTCTCAGCATCTTCCTTGGCCTTCTGATCTGCACGCTCTTTCTTGATCTTTTCCAGCTCGCGCATCAGACCAGCCGTCTCGTCTTCGTCGCTGTCGCTGTCATCATCGCTGTCCTCTTCCTCATCGTCACTGCCATCCGAGTCTGCATCGATATCTCTTGACTCTTCCAATATTCGCCGTCTCTTTGCCTGTGGATCATCCTCCGGATCCGCGGCCTCTGGCGCTTCTAATTGTCGCTTCGGGACAGGCGTTGAAGTCGCGGGCGCAGGTCCTTTGCCGGTCTTTGCGAAGTGAGCTGCCTCTGCAGCGAGCAGCTCTGCCCGTAGATCTCGCTCCGCCGTGTCAGCAGCACCGCCCTGGCCTTGTTGTCTAAATTTGAGTTGGGTATGTGCTGGCATAAGCCGCTGATGGTAAGCAGGCCCTCGAAGCGCTTCCTTGCCCCGCGCAGGATCGAACGTCGGACGATGAGCCGTCGTCATATTTGCGATGGAATGGGGCTCAGTCTGATAGTGGAATCGATACTACTGCGTCTCGAGTGTCACTAAGAATTCTCGAGACGTTAAGAAAACGGTGACACATAGCACTAGGCTAAACATGGGCTGCTTGGCATGCGTTGCAGAGGTGCCCGGGTGGGTTTGGGGATTTCCGAGAGACCAAACTCTCGACTACACCCTTTCACGAAAGGGCAAGACGAACTTTCGGGGCGCAGAATCCGAGAAGGCTTTGCCTGCCGCCTCGAGCACTGGCAGTCCGATATGGTCAGGATTTGAAGCATGCAACGATGAGTGAACCGTTCGAGATGTCACGCCGTTTTAAGGGGGAATACGCCTGATACCAATCAGACAGAGGCACTCAAAAGGCCGAGTATCTTCACTTAAAGGGGTGACAGAGGCTTGCAGGTGGCTATTCAGGGGTATTCCAGGTGGCAAGGCCTGAGCAGTAGTTAAAGTGTGGATCGACCGTGAATATCAGGACAGCTGGCTTCACTCCAGCGTGGCCCCTCGATTACTGAACTTAACAGTCTCGAAATAAATTATATCAGACCCCTTCCTTGCATCACAGACCACCTTATCATCATCTATCTCATCGCTGCTCCATCGCCATCTTTCGACAATCGCTGTCGCACCACTTTTTTCCTTCATCTAGCAGCGATCATGCGCTACGCTTTCGCCGCAGCGGCGCTGGCTGCGGTAGCCACTGCCAGCGATGTCCACGACCTCAAACAAGATACATTCAAAGGTTTCGTAGGAGACCATCCTCTAGTCCTCGCAGAGTTCTTTGCGCCATGGTGCGGTCACTGCAAGGCTCTCGCACCTGAGTATGAGGAGGCGGCGACCACACTCAAGGAGAAAAACATCCCCCTAGTCAAGGTCGACTGCACAGCCGAGAGCGATCTCTGCAAAGAATACGGTGTTGAGGGCTACCCTACCGTCAAGGTCTTCCGTGGTCTCGACAACATCAAGCCGTATGGTGGTGCACGAAAAGCTCCTGCGTAAGTGATCTCATGTCTGCTTCTGCCGGAGGCCCAACGCTGACAAGTTGATAGTATCGTCTCATACATGACCAAACAGCAACTACCGGCCGTCTCACTCCTTACTGCCGACTCCCTGGAGGAATTCAAGACCACCGACAAAGTCGTCGTTGTCGGCTACTTCGATAAGGATGACAAGACCTCCAACACAACATTTACTGCCGCTGCAGAATCATTGCGAGACGAATATATCTTCGGAGCCACCAACGATGCCGCTTTGGCTAAGGCTGAGGGCGTCAAGGTGCCTGGTCTCGTCCTTTACAAGGACTTCGACGAGGGCAAGACCGTCTTCGAGGAGGCTTTGACCGATGACTCCATCTCCAAATTCATCAAGACCGCATCAACACCACTTATTGGCGAAATTGGCCCCGAGACATACGGTGGCTACATCTCAGCTGGTATTCCTCTTGCTTACATCTTCGCCGAGACTCCTGAAGAGCGCACCAAGTTTGGTGAGGCGTTCAAGTCCATCGCTGAGAAGCACCGCGGCAAGGTCAACTTCGCCACTATCGATGCGAAGGCATTCGGCGCTCATGCCGGCAACCTCAATCTACCGACCGATGCCTTCCCTGCATTCGCCATTCAAGATCCTGCCAAGAACACCAAGTACCCATTTGAGGGTGCTGATCTGACGGAGAAGAAGATCGCAGCTTTCGTCCAGAAGTTCGTCGACGGCAAGCTCGACCCCAGCATCAAGTCTGAGCCCATTCCTGAGAGCAACGACGGCCCGGTCGCCATTGTCGTAGCCCACAACTACAAGGACATCGTTCTCGACGACAAGAAGGACGTCCTCGTCGAATTCTACGCTCCATGGTGCGGTCACTGCAAGGCTCTTGCCCCCAACTACGAGAAGCTGGGCAAGTTCTACAAGGACAACAAGGACTATGATTCCAAAGTCACCATCGCCAAGGTCGATGCTACTGCTAACGATGTGCCTGACGACATCTCCGGCTTCCCAACCATTAAGCTGTTCCCAGCTGGTGCCAAGGACTCTCCGATCGAGTACTCCGGCTCGCGTACCATCGAGGACCTGGCCAAGTTCGTCAAGGAGAACGGCAAATACAAGGTTGACGCCTATGTTGACGAGTCTGAGGAAGCTGCGGAGACAAGCGCTGGTGAGACCAACCAGGCTGCACCAGCTGCTACCAAGGCCGCGGAGGGCGTTGCTCAGAAGGTAGTTTCGGTGGCTAAAGACGCTGCGGCGGCGGCTGCGACCATCGTTGTCGATACCGACGGCGATGCTGGAGCCGATGAGCACGATGAGCTGTGAGCCAACCATGTACTATCTATCAGGAGTGTCTCGGGGGCACGGAGTATGGCGGCTAATCCGAGGAAAGTCTAAAGCTGATGCGGATGATTCGATATGATTGATGAGTTCAAGGATTTCAGTGGCATGACTCCAGGAAGCCGTACAATAAAATGATACCATATTCAACGAAACAATGCAACCTATGTTCACCTTTCGTGATGACTCGAAAGTCCCGCTGCTGTCTGTGCAAGGCTTTGCTCAAACGTCTCGTAGCACAGGCTAAAACTGGTTGACTCGGTCTGTTAGTGGTTTCTGTGTACTACAACAGCCAGCTGTGAATTCGAGCACCCGGCCTGCCGTCATCCGGCGCCTTTGAATTTCTCCAAGTCGCGTAGTCAGTCCAACTTCACATCACTTAACTTAACACAAAGTGACTTCGTGATTCGTGGTCCTTATACCACTCATGAGCTGCTCCTCGTCCTTAATGCCACCACCTCCTCATCTCCGCATCTCTGACTCAAGGCGAACCTCGATGTTTCAGAAACCCTGATCCTTACGACAATGGCCACCCAAACCACAACTCCAGCAACAGCCCTCGCCCTCCAATCCCGCATCTCCCACCTCTCCCTCTCGCTCCTCCGGCACTTCAACGCCTTGCTCTCCGCGTCCCAGAACCCGACCAACCCCAACAGCACCTCAGCCGACCCAGACGCCGATCAAGCGGATCAGAAAGACACAAAACCACCATCAGCGATCCAAACAATAAGCACGCAGATCGACATTGAGGTTGAGACGGCAGCGATTGTCAAGGCGGTAGAGGAGGTGCGGGGGTTAGTGGGGGAAGTGAGGGAGTGGTGGGTTTTGGGGGGCTGGATACGCTTAAGAAGGATGGAGATGTTGACGTGGTCGAAGGTGGTGGATTAGAGGGGGAGGAGCCAAGGCAGGTGAGGGTTGGGATGGAGGCGTGGGTTGACGGGTGGGTCAGAACGGAGATGGCGAAGGAGCGGGAAGGCACAGATGGAGCGGACAGGGCGGATGGGGAAGCCGAAGCACAAGGCACCGCAGTGGAGCATGATGATGCGGCGTTCGATCAGGCTGAACGGGCCGGATGGACTATGAGCCTACTATGAACGGAGCAGGCACAGAAGCGCCCCTGAGGCAGCTTGGGATTTCGCTACAAGATGGTGTCCAAAGCTTCGACCATGAACAGGGAGCAGTCTTTGACGGATGTGTACTCACGACACGGCAAGAAATTGCAAGACGCAGTCTACGCACAGTCCCCGTGACCGTGTACGCCACCAATCTTGCGACTTCGACGCCCATGAATCTCCATCAGCGGAGTTGGTCCAGCCAAGGCGATCACACAACACTTAGCGCGTCGCTTTGGAGTCAGATGAGTTCGAGATCAAGGGGCGTAAGACGCCGCATGAGCAGAAAGCCACTATGCGGCACCACGCTGTATGACTGCTGCACGGACGGCCGCAGAGGCCTTGAGACGACGTTTGCGGCATACAATGTTGCGTCTGGGCCGTCTCGAATTATGCCCTGTTTGGGAGCAGGAAAGGCAGAAAGCTACGTAGGCAGACGATCTGAGCACACGATAGCTCATGACGGAATTGGTGGACGCTGAGAGGTCATCGAGCCCATCTACCTGATGATTTCGCTCTTCAACGCAACGACTGCATCAGACTCTGGCGCCGTGGAGCACAGCGGGTTGAACAGCTTATTCGTGAAAGCTATGTCCTATCTTGTTAGCCCATACTCAGCGTCAGAGCTGCCAGATCACACAATTTCGATTGTATAAGTCTGTATGCCGTCGAAGTCTTGATAGTCGTCCTCTCTGATGCTCTTGGACGTAAATGCGTCCTCAAAGTATCTTCGTGACTCTTTCCAGAATGATGAACCCTGATCACAAGACCAGACTCTCATGAACCCAATGCGGCGATATTGACCGTCGGATACGCCCGTCCTTTGCAGTAGCAAACCTATGAATCCTTGCGCTTCGTGTGGCCACACCCGCATATTGTTGGGATACACGAGCGTCCGCGTGTCATAGGACATATTGTGACGACCAGGTCCGTGGTCGAGGTCATACTCGTCTCTAGGTGCTAGTATGTATGCCACCGGGAGTATGATTGACTCTTGATTCGAGGAGTTACACAACTTCGGCTCGTCGGATATTACCACTGAGTCTTGTTCATCGCCACATCTGTGTTCAGAGTGATGGACAATTCTATTACCGTACAGGTCTATGACGAAAGGGCCCTCTTCAGTGACAACACAATAAGCCATGCACCCCTGCACGGTGAGGCTGCCGCCAGCAACGGCGCCGAAGACACGATCGGCTGGCCAAATTCGAGACTCCAGGACCTTGATAATCGGATGGAACGGAGGAGTTCGATTGTGGTAGAGTATCTGGCCAGTGATAGAAGCCCACGACCACGAGGGTGATCCGGCCGAAATTCTGTGCCGGCCTACTGAAGTACTGTACCAGAAGAGGTTGCCAGGGAATTCTGTCCGCCATAGCCCGGCCAGATAGTCATCTTGATTCCAGTGATTGAGGTGCATGAATCGTTGTGCGAGTCCTGAGATCGCCACAAGCCTATCTGACTCCCTCGACAGGGCACATTCACTGTACGTGGCGGTAAGCCTTATCCAGGATCTCGTTGGCTCCTCGTCGCTGACGCGTGCAGGAAGCATACTGAACATAGAATGATCAGGACCGGCTGTCTCGTCCATGTCGATTGTGGCGTCCAAACATTGTCGGCATTGCCAATAAATCTGATCCTCTGCAAAGTGCAGTATGCGTTTCGCCAAAAGTCGCTCTTGTAGAACCCATGCCCTGGCGTACAATGAGGAGCGAAGTATATAGTCGCCGCATTGATTTTGTCTCTGGAAGCAGAAGTACTCGGTTTCATCTGCAGCACCAGCCTGCACAGGCGTCGGCAGAAGAAAAGGGAAACTGAAGATTGGATGAATGTCTCGAAATAAACCTTCCCCATCGCATGCTGATGCTGTAGCCGCGATTGTCAGATGAGACTGAGCATATACGTCCACCATACGGACAGCCTCAGAAGCCCAGTCATCCTCCGAGTCCTGGATGATGCACATGGAGTCAATCCAAACATAGTCTATACCCAGCTGTTGGCAAACTAGAAAAGTTTGCACGAAGGTGAGCGGGAGATCGGCTTCCGAAATATTGCGACAGTACCGATCGTGATTCTCGTTGACGAGGCGACCTCTGTCTGTACGGCCCCAGCAGTGACTCAAAGTTACATATTGGATGGAACTGCACAGTTGGTCGGTGTACACGAGTCTCAGTGGTTCTCGCGAAGTCGAGGACGGAACCTTGATGAGCCGCCTCGGATATCGAATGCTTGCGTTTGCGTGATAGTCCCGACATGTCGCGTGGCACTTCACGCACGCTGCTAACCACTGCTTTGTCTTGGTGATTGCATCTCCTGACCATGTACGTCTGAGACTTTTCGGTGCCTTCGAACAGATTTCAATATCCGACCGCGCGTCGTCGACTGGGGTCGTCGAAGGTGCCGCGCAATGGCGTTGCAACTCTAGCATACATTCCTTTGACGCAGCAGTTCTGGAGCAGATCAAATTCAGTACCCTCATGAGCGCCTGATCCCTCGTGGAGCTGTAGTCAATTCTTAGGTAAATTGAGCTGTTTGCCCTTCTCGGGTCCCAGAATCTCCGAGACCCACTCATCGAAGCCTCCCATAACGCTGATGCATAGTCCGAAGGCGCCTCGTGCAGCACAAACATACATAAGGGGCATGAAAGCAATGAACCCCTTTCGCAATCCTTAGCTATGTTTTCTTTGCGGTGCATATGTCTCTGACGGTCCAAATCTGTCGGCAGGAGGAGAACGGCTCTGAAGAAACCTTGACAAGTATTGCACATAGCCGGCGCTCGCAAGCTCTCAGCGGCCCTAGAATCGTCCATTGCTGCTGCTCGACCTGGGCGTCGTTCCCGCCTTTGAGATTTCTGCTAGGGCGCTGTAGAGCGTCGATGGTCGGGTGACGGACTGCTTTGAATCCTAGGACAGAAGCAGTCGCATGTCAATGCCCACATCAGTCGCTTATAGTTCGATGCATTGAAACAGACCCACAGAGAAGGTAGAAAGGTTTTATGGACAAAGCCCGGTAAGTGCAAAGCAACCGTGCGACGGCTGATTGCTGCTATGTGGAAGTATTGTCCACGCAAAACCTGCAGCTGCAGGCAAAATGCGAGTCACAGGAAGGCTCCAAGTCATTGATTGAAGTAGATACTGAGTTGAGCGCTTGATGACAGCGAAGTGAGCACCTACCACATCAACAACTTGAATGCATAGAATAAAACCTTCGGTAATAGTGGCAAATCCGCCCCCGTCCGTGAATGCCCGGTATCAGTGAAGAAGTAGTGACAGACACAGCGATGCCTGCATGGCGGAGCGTGCAGGTCAGGATCAAGATGATCATACTATGGTCAGCAGCTGTGCTTGTCCGTCTTCAGGTGCTGAGACGTGCGGACTTCGCGAAAAGCTTGGCAGCATGGCGGGTCTTTGGTCTCGCAGGGCCTTTGGTTCGAAACACTTCAGATGCAATTGTGGATGCGGATGCAGGCATACAATCATATCTCCATAGCGTTCGTCTCGAACCGCGACCCAGACCCTTAGCACGTACTCCGTGGCAATTCGCATTTGGATAGACTTTATAGCCAGCCCCAGTGGCTGCTGGCCATGGTACTGGTGCCGTAGCATAATATCCGAGGCGCCACCAGCCAACTTGTAAGGACTTCTTTTGGCGGTCACGCCGATTCTGCCGGACGCCCGCAGGCGGCTATTCTTGTGGTACCGCGGGACTTGACCTCAAGCGCAACTGCCTTGCGTGCTGAGCCTAGTCGAAACTGCTTGATCTGGGTGAAAGACACACAGGCTACAGAGCTCAACCGAGCACGCAACCATGACAGAGTTGTGCACTTCATCGACGCAGTGAAATGACCTTCCCTTTTCCGCTCGGCCCGGACGCACCGAGCAATGCCTGTTGTTGCGCAGCATTGATGGGCGGCTGTGTGTCCATGTACTCGCGCATGAAAGAAACACGCGCACGTGGCGACGCACCTCTTAGAAGCTGCGACTCTGACCTGGCTTGTTCCAGACTTCTTCATCGCTAGTGGCGTGAGACACGGGCGATGCACGGGCATTTCCTGTCGAAAGATCGAGTGTGGAGTACCCAGAGAGGATCTTCAGGTCGTAAACAGCGTATCTTCCTCCCTCAGATACTCGCCCACATCACCTTGCCTGAATGCCACCACAGCAGTCGGGTCAAGCTTTCTGGCCTCCGCCGTAGAGCGTGCCGTGACGCCGAATCCCAACGGCGTGTCGTCCATCGACAGTACCACCACGCCCGAGTGCTCCGGACAGTCTTCACTCCATCTCCCCACATGTGCCTTGACGACATTCCCACCATACAAGAACGGCATCTCTCCATTGGCCTTGACCCACAACTTGTACCGTGCGTGCGGTGCGATGATATCAAGTGCGGTGATGTGCATTCGGAACTTGCCAGTCTTTGTGAACTTGCCGATACATGTTCCCAGACACAGCAGATTTTCTCTTGCGACTGATGTAGCCAGGTTCGCCAATCCTAGGCGGACGTAGTAGACTCGTGATTCATGTAGTCTGAAGACATAGCGGTCGTCTTCGTTGCCCGTTTCCGCAGATGCGATGAGTTGTGTGAGGGATCTTCCGGTGTAGTTGGCGAGTTTTGTGAACAGCGTCTGCGTCTCGACGTCTGTAAGTGCCCTCATCGTAGCGTCCTGGATCTGTGTCGTGCGTGTTTGGGAGACTGGTGTAGATGTCGTGAACGTCGCGGACAACTTTTTTTCGAATTTGGAGAATACACGCGCAGATGTCTGACTCCGTCTATCTCCGGGCGATCGTCCCCGCAAAGAAAATGAATTATTTTTCCTGTCATACAGGTTGCACGCCGAAGGCAGAGAGGGTTGCTTTGTTTGACGCTCTCACACTCCGCCGACATTCGAAACTATGGTCAACGGACGACCAGCCAAGAGGCGGAGGGTCACGCCACCCATTGACGACGACGTCCCTTCTGAAACCATACAGGCATCTGATCTGCTGAGCAGAGTAGCCGATTGGGATCTTGAACAGGCGTACGAGCAGAGGACGCGGAAGAAGCAAGCCAAGGAGACAACAAGACTGCCCACCAAGTCTCAAGAAGGCCTTCTATTGCAAGCTCAGTCCTCGGCGCTCCCGGAGGACAGCGATCAGGACAGTTTCCTACAATCAGGCAGTGAAGATGAGGCTGCGAATGGGCTAGTCACGCCGCCCTCCGAGGTCGAGATACAGCCGACGATACCGGTCCGGCAACAAGTACTGGAGGCCAAAGAAGAGATTGCTCGGCTGGCTGGCCTACTGAACGAGAACCCAGAAGAGCATGCCAGCGCATTCAAGAAGCTGGCACAACTAGGGGATCACGCTCCAGTGCCGGTACAGAAATTGGTGCTTGCGGCTCAGGTCGCTGTGTATAAGGACGCGATTCCAGGATATCGGATACGCGCATATCGAGACGAGGATCTGGGCAACAAGGTCTCGAAGGAAGTCCGGCAGACACGCCAGTACGAGCATTCTCTGGTCACCAATTACGGCAGCTATGTCAAGCATTTGGCATCGCTGGCAAAGCCAAAGGCTGACGACGCCGACGCTATTTCATTGCAGACAGTAGCCGTCAGTTGCGCCTGTTCACTGCTCCTTGCAGTACCTCACTTCAACTACAGAACAGAACTTCTTGGGATTCTTGCTCAACAATTACTGAGTCGGGAGCCTACGCCAGACTTTGTCAAGTGTATCGAGACTGTCAAGGGCCTGTTCGACTCTGACGACGATGGTGCCACTTCCTTGGAGGCGGTCAACATTATTTCCAAGATCATGCGAGCAAAAGATTTCCGAGTGCGAGCAGAAGTTGTGGACTGCTTCCTTCATCTTCGGCTCTTGACCGAATTGGCGCCTGTGCAATCGAGGACGGAAGGCAGTGGGCCTCGACCGATGGAGACTGTTCATGGGAAGAAGGTCAAGAAGCAAAAGTGGGAACATCGATCGAAGAAAGAGAAGAAGATCGCGAAAGAAAGAAAAGCCGTTGAGAAGGATATGCGAGAAGCAGATGCGAGCGTCAACTTTGAGGAGCGAGAGAAGATGCAGTCAGAAGCCCTGAAGGCCGTCTTTGCGACATATTTCCGCATCCTCAAAGCCAGGACCTCGCAACTGATGGGTGCTGTCTTGGAAGGATTGGCCAAATACGCACATCTGATTAACCAAGACATGTTTGGCGACATTCTTGAGGCACTGAAAGACATCGTTAAGCAGGCTGAAGAGGATACCGAGAATACCGAGGATACTGAGGATGCTGCAGACGAGGGCGGACGCAATTTCACGCGAGAGTCCTTATTAGCAACACAGACGGCCTTCACACTTCTGTCACAGCAAGATGTGGCAAAGTCAGCCGGATCTCTCCAATTGGATCTCTCATTCTTCTCATCGCACATCTACCGAACGCTGTACAGTCTCGGGCTTGATCCAGACATTGAATTGGGCCCAAAGAGTCTAAGACTCGATCATCCTGAGAATCAGGCAACTCAACGCAACAGGGTCAACGTTTCAACTCCGATGCTTCTGCTTGTCAGGGTAATGAAGTCGATCCTTCTGACGCCTTCGCAGCCTCCGCCTACCATGACAGCCACGGCTTTCTATAAGCGACTACTCTCGATTTCTCTTCAGCTGCCAGAAAAGTCTGCTCTGGCGGTTCTCAACTTGATGGAGCGCATTGCGGATAGACATGTTCGGAAAATCGAAGCACTATGGTATAGCGATGAGCGGAAGGGGGACGGAGTCTTCCATGGTGAGAGTGATACGATTGAAGGTACCAACATATTGGCTATGGGCACTGGTGTGTGGGAGCAGGAGCTTCTCAGGAAACATTACTGTCCGAAAGTGAGGGAGCAGGTCGTCATCATCGACAAAATTGTCTCGAAAAACGCTCAGAAGTAGTAATCGTATGCCGCCTGCCACCAACAATAAGATATTACGTTCGCCATCGATCCACGAGTTCTCAAATACCTCATTAATCTGGTGCAATTCAGCCATGTGGATCTGATCTTCTGGGAACTCCTAGCAAGCCGTCTTGGTTGTACCTGGCAACGATTCTGCTCGATCAGCTGATGATGTTACCAGGTGACAGGCTGCGTGTTCTTCAGTCTCTAGAGCACACTTTGCAGCCAATATTCGAATTTCGTGCGAATGTTTGCCTCAGCTTCGGCTGGCATTGTTCTGCAACTCATGACAAACATTCATCTGCTCATTCATTGTGCACATGCGGCGTCAGGGCTATTTGGTTCTCTGTGTCGCGACTGAAAAGGTGCTGACATCCGACATCTTCTCGCCTACGACAAACGAGCAACACGTCCGCCATGAAGGAGCAACCGCCATATCTGCTCGGAAACGCATTCGCTCAACGGATGTACGAGGAGCAGCTGCGAAGCAGCATAGCTGAAAGCACACAGAGCTCGTCTTCGGCGACGAAGGATGCACCTGCTATCAAGACAACTACACTCGAGATTCCAGCTCACAAAGTTGACGATGGCGCGACACCAGGAACTTCTATGGACCTTGTGGCGCCCCCAGTCACCGAGAATGGGCGCGTTGCTGAGGCTGCGAGAACCCGACAGCGTGATCGCATGCTTGAAAGAGCCCGTACACCGTCGAAGTCGCCTGTCCGTCGTCCTCTGAATCGACGACGCAGTACCACATCCAGAGTAGCTGCTCAAACAAGCAAGACACCCAGACCAGAGATCGCGAGAGGCTCGACCGACACGGGTGCTTCCACGTTGTTCAACAAGATGGTCCCGAAAGTGCTGCGAGGCAAGAAGTCTCGTGGTAATTTGCAGCCATCTGCTCAGGCTTCGCACTTTTCTGGTCATATCGACACTACACTGGCAACTGCATACATGGACCGCAACAAGCCTCTACCTACGCTCTATCGTCCAGTCTATACCCCACCATCGGTGCCATCTCTCAATCTTCAATCCCTTCCATACCCGTCTTCCAGCCCTCGAGCTCCCTCACCATCTACAGCCTCCTTGCGGAGTCAGAATTCTCCCTCACTCGATCCCAAGGCCTCGCCCTTCCGACCTGGACAGCAATGGCCTCCTCGAAAAGGAAGCGATTTCGTGTTACCACGCAAGCCAAACCCATTGATCATCGCACCGCCCAACAATGCCACATCAGAAGCGCTGGGTCATTCGCATGCTCACCCACCGAGGTGGAATCCGAAGTCACCGACTCCGTCCAACATCGCAGGACCTTACAGCAGTCCAACGCGATCCAGCCTCCATCAGACTTCGCCTACTCCGCCTCCACGCAAGCATACACTGCTTCATTCAGAAGGCATGATCACTAGCACGATGGGTCCGGCGACAGGCGCAGATGGTGGTGATCCGCAGTACATTACACCGATGAGGAGTGGATCGTATGCTATCACTGGAAAAGCGCAAGTTGTCCACAATGACGGGATTCCGATGGGTGTCAGCATGAAGGGCAGTATCTTGCATTCTGGCGAGAGTATCGTGGGCAAGGCTCTGCAGTTGGGCGACCTGGACGAGGTCTCGGAGCTGGAGGCGCATGAGCTACTGCCAGCGACGGTATATCAACCAGGAAGTACTCGCAAACTTGTTGTCGAAGCAAAAGATGAAGCGAAAAACGTAGTTCAGCCGGCAAGAGAAATCGAGCAGAGCCAGTCGGCGCTCAAAAATCCCACAATAGCCCTCGAACAACCGCCGACTGCAAGTACCACCGATACCAACGGCCACTTCTTCACAAGCAGTACTCCCACGGCAACGGAGTTTGCCACAGCTGCAGCGAACGCAGCCCTTACTCACGAGCCGCAGCCCGCCGTCAGTCCGACAAGCATCTACTCTCCCTACCCGCCTGCTCTGCCTCCCAACCCGCTCTTCTCCGGCCAAGCTCAGCAGACCCAGTTCAACAACCTGCACGCACATATTACGCAGCTCGAACAACGCCTCACGCTTCTGTCACAACAGTCTGGAACCGCCCGACTAGATACCAAGCTCAACAGTCTGCTCAACACAATAGACCAACACATCCGGCCCCGTGTCGAGACCACCGAAACACAACTCAACCTCCTCGACGACCGCCTCAACGGCTTCGAAGCACGCCTTGAGGACGTTGAAGTCCGGTTCCGAGGCGTTGAGACCAAGCTCGACAGCCTCACTACTCTCACGGCCAACATCGCCAATGATCTTGCTACGGTGGGCGCGACGCTGTCTCGCTTAGTATCTCGAGTGGAGAGTGTAGATGAGAAGTTGGATCGGTGGTCGGTGCAGGCGAGGATCGAGGAGAGTTTCCGGGGTGGACGGTATCCGGGCCAGGAGCGGGATGGATTTGGGCATGGAGGGCATCATCAGGGTGGTGGTGGTGGTAGTCCTTCTCGGCGTGGAGGCGGAGTCGGGGTGGTCGGGCTTGGAAGGCCGAGAAGAGGGTCGTTTCGGGGTGGTGGGTTTTGAAGTGGTCTTGATGGGGTGAGATAGAGATTGTTACGCATTTGCGTGGACGGATGGTTCGACTACGCTCGATAATAGACCACTTGATGGTGTTCGGTAAGATGGTGCTGGTTGAAGTACACTAGGACGAGGCTGGAGAGGGTCTCAGAAAAGTCTCGGGATCGAGTCATAAGCTATCTAGACTAAGCCGACAAGCCACGCGGTGTGGCTTTTGCTCGACGAGAATATTCAGAACACCGTCCAGCATACTGTTCAACGATCAGAACTACCCTTCCAGCATTCTCCTATGTTGTGCAAATGACTGGTTCAAGCACATAGCCAAAAGGATCCGACGGCAATGCTGCAGAGGGTATCAACCAGTACGTTTCTCACCGGAAAGTCTTCGGACATTGATGTATATCCTGCTTCGGCCTCATCCGCCGAAAGACGACGACAGCATAAGAATGTTGGCAGTGATCTCATGCCGATCTCGTTTTTCACATTGTATCTCGTGGGATCAACGACGAAGCTCGCCCCGCCTAGTAGCAGTAGTCGCAAACAAGGCATGGCAGTATGTCAGGAATTGAACGTGCTATGGAAGAGAGCAGAAGAAATGGTCGTGGGCACGGCGCCTACTTATACCTCTGCAATAAAATCGAAATCCGTCGCAAGCCGCAAAGATAACTTCACAGCCCTAAGCAGCAGACATTCACTGTTCTCTGACCGACTCCGGGTTGATGACTGCCTGCTGATAGTGAAGGCAGGGGCCGCCGAAGTTGACGATGGCAGTCGTAAACAGTGGAAAGTAAGTTCAGTTGGACGCTGTTCTGCTACTTCCAGTCCTCCGTCCCCTCACTTTTCGAGTGCACATATACACCTTCCCAAGAGCATGGCTGCGTGGTTCAATGGCCCCCAAGGACTCCCAACGCTACCTTCGTAGCCTCCTTATGGCCCGCTACTACTTCTTTGCTCACCGCTCGGAATTCTGGCCTGCCGGCGTCTCTGAGCAACTCGAATCTGTATTTGAGAAGGAGAAACCAGATCAGCTCGGTTCAATTCACCGTCAGGAGAAAAGCAGGTCTTGCATGTTGAATGAAATAAGCGAAGAGATTGGGCTCCAGACTCACATGATACTCTCCGAACTCGTCACGACCGCGCCCTCGGCCCTCAAGCGGTCAAGAGCGATACCTCTTTCTTCTTTGTTGCAGCTGCTGACGCCGTCCCTACGATTCATCACACAGGTCAGCACATCTCCAACATAAAAGGTAATTGATGGCTCGCTCCTTTCGCACGGGAAAGGTAAGTAAGAGGAACTTACGCAAGCACATAAACTTTGTGTCCAGCGGCCAGCGCGTCAAGAGTAGTCTGGGTCACACAAATATGTGTCTCGATGCCAACTATTATCACACTCGTGTTCGGCTGCAACGCTTCCTGAACAGTGGGCGTCAACATCGAGAAGAGCGTTTTGTCGTGCAGGAGGTGTTTCTCTGGGAGCTGAGAGACGATTTCCTTGACTGTGTCGCCGAGGCGTGCGGCGTTCTGGGTTGTGGCTACTATGGGGATGTCGAGATGTTTTGCTGGTGATAGACCGTCAGTCAGCGAGCTCTGAGCGAGTTCGAGCCAATCTAGCAATGAAGGTTCGCACTGGCAGGGCAGATAGCGTGAACAAAGCCACAATAATAGTGGCGAGACGATTCCATGGCATCTTGGTCGCACATGTCATCTCTTCGAGACTGAAAGCACATGGATGAGGTCGACCAAACACAAGCGAGGAGTTTATGCAGTCGCACGGACCCGAAGCTGTTGATTTCCAGGAAGATGGCGCACGCTGGGAACAAAGACATCAACAGGTAGAAAGAGAACCATACCAGCAGCAATCATCTTGACCGTCGTTCCAATAACCTTGTCATACTCGTGTATAGCTGAGCGAAACTTCTCCTGGATGTCGCATATGCTGCACATGTATCTGTCAGTCTTCTGGATGCCCGTGTATTGCACTCAGTCTCCCTGGTTAGTCCAGTGTAGAAGACACTGTCTCATCCTCCAGCGTTCAAGGCCGGCCATTCAGACTTGTGGCTTAACCGAAAGCTCCAGAGACAGACTTACAAGAGTACTGGATTTGCTACATCGCAGCAACATATCAGCCCTGTGTGACGAAGAAATGGTTGGGTAGTGCAGCTCGCTACACATGAAAGCTCGAAGTCTTTGGATCCGAACAGGCGAGTACATACCCAACCGCTGCTGCGGAGGCTCTGGTGCCATTTTCGCGGGATTCAGATGACGGGAAACAGCAGAGAGGCGCGACTGTGAAGATGAAGAGGTCATGAATTGCTGTCCGGCTCTGTACGCGTGCGCAGGTATACGAAGCATAAGATGTAGAATCTGCTAGGAAGCAGCAACCTAAGAACCATTCACGAGGTCGTGATCATAGGCTCCTGGACATGAAAGTTAAGCCGGACGAGCGGGCGGGATGGTGATATTGCGGAGAGAAGAACGGAGACGATTTCCCTCGGAAGTTCCGTGTCGAGGCATCCAGGCATCGAGGGATCCCTGGAATGCCTTCCGAGCCGCCCGGAGGCATTTTAGGCAAATAAGGCAATAGTCCAGCCACCTTGCACACACGATAAGACGGTGATGAAAGCCACGACACTGCTCTTCGTCTTCATCACTATCGTCCACTGCATCTTCGAAGACAGCACCCACTACCTAAGCAACATGACTTCCATTCCCACAAAAGCCTCTCCAGACAGTCCTGAACAAAGGCCGTCAGCCCAATTCCTCCTCTTCGGCGACAGCATAACCCAATCCTCCCACCAAACCCTCATCCCCCTCCTCAGCACCCTCTACTCCCGCCGCCTCGACATCGTCAACCGCGGCCTCTCAGGCTATACCTCCGTAGCCGCCGCACCACTACTGCCCCATATCTTCCCGGCACACTCTACGACCAAGACACCACTAATGACCGTCTTCTTCGGCGCCAACGACGCCTGCCTACCCGGAAACCAGCAACACGTCCCCGTGGAGCAGTACGCTTCTACGATCCGGAAGATCATACAGTATCCCCTCATCGCAAAGGGAGGCACGCATGTCCTCCTGCTGACACCGCCGCCAATCGACGAATGGCAACTGGATAGCAACGGGGGCTTTGGGTCGTCGCGGCGCGCGGCGGTGACGAAGGTTTATGCGGACGCGGCGCGGTACCTGGCGGTGGAAGCCGCTGGTCCGGATTGGACTGGGCCCAATGTTACGCTGGTTGATGTGTGGCGGCTGTTTATGCTTGAGGCGGGGTGGTCAGACGACAACGCCACCAGCGGCACATCGGATGAGGAATACCTTCCTGGCGACGCACGACGGGAGAAGAGCGCGGCGTTGGCGAGGTTATTGAGTGACGGGCTGCATTTTACGGTGGAGGGGTATGAGTTGTTATATAGGGAGATGGAAAGGGTGATTAGGACGAGTGTGCCGGACGCTTGTCCGGAAAGGTTGCCCATGGTGTTTCCGGAGTGGCAAGACGTTGTGGGGGATCCGGGGTGGGAAAGGGGCAATAACGGGGAGGGGAGGCTGTGAATTGAGGACTGCTGATGTTCACGACCACAGATAGACATGTTTAGGGAGACAAATTGACGACTGACATGACTCGGTAGAAGACCATTGGAGAACACAAAAGAAAGGTCAAAGGTGTCTTTGAAATTCTCTAGGAGTAGAAATATGTGACTATGAACCGTGGAGTGGAGAGTCAAGACCGAGGAAATGAACGTGAGTCGACATGATCTTTGACGCAGGCGGCCTTCACCGTCAAGGGCCTGAGGAAGATCGATCCAAAGGTAGTAGTAGACCACTACTCTTCATCGCTCTCCTCCTCGCTGGCCTGGTCCAACCAGGTAATGAACGGATCGGCCGCCTTTCTGACAGTGCGACTGACCTTGATATCCACATACTTCTTGCTAGCCTTGCTGCCCCATCCACGTGCAGTCTCCTCGCTGACCAAGTCGTGCTCGTAGTAAGCCATCAAGATGTTTGGGATCTGCTTGACGAGCTCAGGGTGGTCGTTACCCACGAAGCGCTCGGTGCCGCCCAAGAGTGCCTTCTGGTGCTTCTCGCTCTCGCCGATCATCTTCTTCAACATGCCAGCACGCTTGGGGATTTGCTTGACAATGTCGTTCGCGTCGAAGACGGTCTGAGCCAGGACGGTGAGGGTCTTGGACTTGCTCTCGATGCCTAGATCCTTGGCTTTCTTGTAGATGTCGATATCGTCGATAGCGCTGCACTTGCCCTTCTCCTTGGCTTGCGCGTCGAGCCAGTCACCGAATTCGTCGTAGACACTTGTGCCGTTCTCGCCGCCTTCCTCGTCATCGTCGAAAGCTAGGGAGCGCTTGAGGTCGGAAGGGAGTTCCTTGGCGCGAGCAGCGATGGCTTCAGCGGAGGTGTCGATGGCCCATTCCTCTTCTTTGGCAGTGCCATTGGTGTCAATCTCCTTGGCAGCAACGATGAACTCGTCATCACTGCCGGCTGCCAGCTCTCCGTCATCTTCGACATGATTGTCTTGATCGGAGTGTGAGTCATGCGGGCTGGCGCCGTTGGTAGAGCCAGTCTGCTCGGCTTCGGCCTCGGCTTTGGCGCGATCGCGGCGAGACATCTTCACTTTCTTGCCCTTCTTGCCACTCTCGCTTTCGTTCTTGATGATGAAGCCTCCGAGCTTGTGACGAATGTCTGCATCGGTGCGCTGGCCACAAGCCTTGCAATCGAGGAGAATGCGACCGTCTTTGATATTGATCTCGGTCTCGGGATTCTTGCAGGACTTGCAGAGCACGTATTTGGAGATGAAGCCGTTGAGGGAGTCTTGCAGCTTGGAGGCCTCGTGGGCACCGTTGATGATCCAGCGGTCATCCTTGGGGTTCGTGTTGGTTTGAGCACCCAACTCGAAGCCGAACCACTTGATAACATAGGCAGGAGGACGAGCTAGGGACTGCGCGACGCTTGGGAGATTGGCGACAACGGTCTTGATTCCATTGCCCTTGCCCTCGATCTTGGACTGGAGGCGCTCCATCTTGTAGCGGTAGAAGGGATCGGCAACATCGTGGCGAATGTTGATGGTAGCCATGGTTGCGGTATTGCTTGAGCTGAAGAATTTGGTTGTGAAGTCGACACTGGCTGACTGCTTTTCAATGCGAGGGAATGAGACAAATAGACATGCAGAATCTGTGGAAACTACCACGAGTTTGCTGTACTGGACATAGAGTCTTTGCTTGATTGTCGCAGGTCAGGACTGACTGTCAACCATAGGCGAACCTTGAGTGGTTACAAGGTTTTCTGGGTGAAGGAAATATTTCCAGCTTTTGCGATATGGGGGTGAGAGAGGTGTGGAATGTCCGATACATGAACAGTCCTCGGGTGATCTGTTTGTGTGATGGATGTGTGGTCGAGTCACAGAAGGTGTTTCTTCAGTAGGCGGCCGAACTTGCGAAAGACAAGTCCACAGGCGGTTGGAGGCGGCAAGAGGTTGTTTGACTGTTCTTTGTTCGATTTCAGGTAAGAGTCTGACAATCACTCGACTGGTGATTGATGAAGATGAGTGTGTGCAGTGGTGAGAGAAGAAGAAAGAAAGAAAGTCAGAGCCAGGAAGCGGCGAACAGGAAAGTCTTAACCACGACCCATAACTTCGGGCCGCATTTCCACGCCGTTTCTTCACTGGATGACTGCGTTCAACAGGTCACTGCAAAATTGAAATTCTGCCAAGTCGTCATGTGATATAGGCCAGTGCCACTGGTAGGCAGACTGCGGCTGCGCCTGGGGACAAAGACTTCTAGGGAGGGCCGGCCCCAAAGAAGGCCTAAAGCGTCCCATTAGCGCACCTACCTTCCATCAGGCAGGTTTGATCTCAGCAACCAGTCTATGATGCGAGACTGCTTTCATCGATTTGGACACGCATGAATGCTTCTTGAAGTCCCATGACTTTGCCAGAACACATCTGTTGTAGGATCTCAAGAACAGAGCTGCTTTACTCTTGGACGACTCGGTAGATGGCAAGCTGGTCTAAATCGTCAAGAGCAGTGATGACGCTGCCCTGAAAGCTTCTCCATCGATTGCCCGTATTGACTCATCGCATGCTGGTCGATAGATGACAGTCTCACATCTGCGCAACGTTTATGGAAGGACACGAAGCTAGTCATGACCAGTGAGTGATGAGAGTTTCGTCTAAACATTTGCATCGCCGAAGGACACCCGCTGGGATCTGGAGTACTGATAGAACCACAGCATGGCCTCGCATACACACCAAAAGCATCTAGACCTCAAGCTGTACCTCGTCACTGATTCAACACCCGCCATTCTTGGCACTCGAGATGTTGTATGGGTGGTTGAGGAGGCCATCAAGGGCGGCGTCACCATTGTCCAGTACAGAGACAAACATGCAGACACTGGTGCGATGGTCGAGACCGCCGCTCGTCTTCATGCAGTCACTAAACGGTACAATGTGCCGCTCTTGATCAATGACAGAATTGACGTCGCCCTGATCGTGGGAGCTGAAGGAGTACACATCGGTCAAGACGACATGTCGATGAAGCACGCACGAAGCATGCTTGGGCCAGACGCTATCATCGGCGTCACGGCATCGTCGCGTGAAGAAGCCCAACAAGCCATTGATGATGGCGCGGATTACCTCGGATTGGGTACAATGTTCGCGACGCCAACGAAGCCAGACACCAAGTCCATAATAGGTACCAGTGCACTCAAGATATTCTCCGAGGATGCTCGACGGGCACGAAGAAGGCTATACCGTGTGTGGCTATCGGCAGCATAAATGCATCCAATGTCCAGCGAGTCCTTCATCAGTCAGCATACAAAGAGAACTATCTTAACGGCGTGGCGGTGGTAAGTGCAATTGTAGCAGCTGACAGTCCGCGCTCTGCCGCTGAGCTTCTGCTACAACGGATTGATGGAGCTGCGACCAAGTTCTATGCCTCTGTCACGCCAGGCGCAATTGCTGCCAGGGACACCAAGCAGATTTTGAACAAAGTGCCACAATTGATAGCAGCGCACGCCGAGTCGTCCATATTATGCCACAACATGACCAACACCGTCGTGCAAAACTTCGCTGCGAATGTCTGCTTAGCAACAGGCTCATCACCCATCATGTCGATGAATGGCAAGGAAGCTGGCGATTTGGCAAAGCTAGGTGGTGCATTGGTCATCAATATGGGCACTGTTACTTCAGACACGCTAGACGCATATGTCGCTGGCATGAAAGCTTACAATGAAGCCGGCAATCCAGTCCTACTCGACCCTGTTGGCGGTGGAGCTACAAGTTTGCGCCGGCAGACGATCCAGACACTTCTTCGTGCAGGCTTCTTCAGTGTCATAAAAGGAAATGAGGGAGAGATTGGGGCCGTCGCAGGCACAACAGATGTGCAACAAAGAGGCGTCGACTCTGGACCATCATTTTCGACCGCTGCGCAGAAGATCGCAATGGTCCGCAGCCTTGCTGAGACGCAGAGATGTGTTGTACTCATGACCGGAGCCACCGACTACCTGTCTGATGGGGACAGAACTTTGAGTATCTCGAATGGCAGTCACTGGTTGGGCAGAATCACTGGCAGCGGGTGCGCCTTGGGAAGCGTGATCGCAAGCTACGTCGCATTGCACCGCAGCGACAAGCTGGTGGCCACAGTAGCCGCTTTGCTACACTATGAGATCGCCGCCGAGCGGGCGGAGAAGCTGTGTCATGGACCAGGATCTTTCATTCCAGCATTCCTTGACCAGCTATACTTGCTAGGGACAGAGATTCGAGACGGCAAATATGACAACATCGGGTACGACGCCCGAATAGAGTGGCTGTGACCTGTACATACTCTCACACTAGATGTAATAGTCACCAAAGATCATTCACTCAGCTTGGCAGGGAGCGGAACAAAAACATGCGGGTTTAAACTTTAGAACATTTCTAGAACTGCGCCGCTATTTCATCAGACTCCTCCTTACGCCTACATTCATTGCGCAAACCATCAAGATCTAACTAGTATCTCTATTCACGTCTCTCTAATTGGCAATTCGCATAAGCACTGCGCCCCAAAGATCCTACTGCACGCAGCTGAACAGGCTATTCATCTTGCATCAGCCATACCGAATCATCGCATCACCAATTCTCCATCGACCCTCGAATCTCGTGTAGAAATTCAGACGCGACCACGAGCCTACCTTACCACCATTGAGCGATCAGGTCAATACCAGCAAGCGCCCACCGCCTCTCCCTTGAGCTGCGGCGCTTCGTTTCATCCTAACAGCCATTCTCTACCATCGCGGAAGATCATATTTCCCTCCCAATGGTTCACTAAGGGCTCCCGTATCTATTTCGAAGCGCAGGAGGGAGGGCCGCTTCGGCCACACAGGCCTTTGGTAGCTTCGACGACCAAACAATCCGCACTGACGGTTCACGGTACATACTGCACGAGTTCGAAGCAGATACCAGGCGCGAGGTCGTCTAACACCACTGTTGAGCTTGTCAGCTTCGCAGCGGTGGTGCCATTTTCGATGAGAGTGCCATTGGCGTAGCAATTGGGAATGGAGCGATCGTCTGGTGCTACCAAAGACGAGATTTGGCGGTTTCAAGAGGCTCTTACCGAGCTCTCGAATACCCAGTCTCAACACACCGAACGCATCATGCGGCTCGAGAAGAGGTTAGACGACGGTGCACGACCGAAGAATGCATGGCCGCCTGCTTCGCCGTTCCCGAGCATTCTGGGAGGGTCGCATACAGGTACGTCGTGAAGCTCGTCATCTATCAGTATACTGACAAATGGCAGAATCAACACTCAACCCAGCGGCTGAGGCATTCCGTAATTTCGATGCAGACATTGGTATCAGCGCTCTAAGTCTTGACACTGCCGAAGACCAGCGAAGAGCTGCTGCGTCTCGCGCCAACTCGGTCAGATTCGACGAGAGTGCGAATAACCATTACGGCTCGTCAAGACAATCCATAGACCTCCCAACACGAACCGGCAGTGGTCTCGGTAGCCACCCTCTCTCTGAGCGCTCCTCATCACACCGATCCGATGGCCGCAGTAGCAATACTGCGTTCGGTCGAACCAATAGCTTTGGACTTGAGTCAAGTCGTCTTCTCGGTTCTATTCACAACTCTCCCAAGGTCGCAGCCAACCCTCCACCGGGCTTCTTTGTGCTCGGACCATGTCCTTCGATCATCCGATGCTGGTTGACCGAGACCTTCTCCAACGACTCGTTGCTCTACGCTGCGTTGTGTACGGGCGCTGCAAGCTCTTCGGTCGGCGTCCAAGTTCTCCAGCAACTTGGACTCACTGATCAGATCGTCGATGAAGGTGGCTTTCGCAAGATCAAGCTGCCTGTCTATCTGACCGAGGCTCGGATACAGCAGGCATCGCGGTCAAGCAGTCCGCATTTGACGCACCAAGTACCTACTTTGTTTGTCAAGTTCGTCGTGGTAGAGGGCTCGCAGGACGACAATGCCATCCAGATCATCATTGGCAGCGACGTCCTGCGAGCACACAGCGGCGACGTTTTCTTCTCGCAAGACAAGCTATCCATTCTCGATGATGATCGCAATCAGCTCTCCGTACCTCTGGTCCGACCTGAAGATGATGCCAGCTACAAATACTTGACCACCAGCTCACGCAGACTCCCACCTTCGACGACCACTGTCCGGCAGACGGGTCTTGAGAGCTTCGGTGCTGGTATCATCGGACAGGCGTCGAAACTTGAGGGTACCCAAGCGCCCATTTCGCCGCCACCGCAGTCGCCAGCAACGGGGACCTTCACAGAGCGCGTAGACACACGTCGTGAAGAATCCGTTGAACCAACTCCGCGAACTAGCGCCGACATACTGCAAGCCGACTCCAAGTCCGCCACCGAGAGTGACCAGTCAGCGTCGAACCCTGTATCCAAGTCGAGCTCCGGCGTTTGGGGCACATCTTGGCGATCCGGATCGACTCAGCCTGCTTCAGAAGCTAAGAATGCTGCCTCTTCGTACTCGAGACCTGCGCCGTCACGAACGATGAAAGTCCTGCGCCCAAGCAAAGGCTCTGGCAATGCTACTCGCACGACTTCGACATCAAACCCGTTCTTGAATGGCCCGGATCCTCGTTCGGAAGATCCTCCACCGCAGCGGAAAGCTAGTCTCAGCGACATCAAGCCAACGACCTCCGCTCCCACGAGGACCAATCCCGTCGGATCAGGGTCGGCGTTTGGGTGGCTGAACTCGAGTGGTGGTCAGAGGACGACATCAGCTGCAAATAATGCTCATTAGACAGGGCAAACATGGAATTTTGGGGCTGCGAACGTGGGTTGCAATGGATTTGCATGCTGTCCAGGTCCGAACAGCGGTCCCTTCGTCGGGGCCAGGGGTTAAGTGCGAGGCGTGCGCTGCAACTGCCACCGATATGGACTGCCATTCGCTGCTTGAAAGGTCTCGTCTGTAGGAGGGGAGCATCTTATGCACCTCGTGACACGGTAGTGTTCTCCGGCAAGCAGAGTCACTTCGATGCTCTCGGCAGGTATTATTCAGGAGTAGCTAGAGAACGATGTAGCTCAATCTTGGAGCCTTCAATGAAAATTAAATTCATCATTTCACAATCACTCTTGTCTAATGCTATACTGACGAGATAGCGAGGCATGGTTGCTGCCACCCGGATGGCATTGCACTGGCGTCGAAGTGGGGCAAAGTTGCGGAGAAATTGAGCACTCCGATTCACTGGGTGAATGACGCGTTTGTGCCTTCAAGTTCTGCAACACTCTACTTCTAACTCCTCGAGCTACCTACTCATCACCTTGGAACCCCTCATCTGTCCTTCACGGGATGTCGTGAAATGCGAGAAGATGCCAGCTTCATCTGATCGCGCCAGAGACAGGCTTCTGGTCATCGATCTAGGCTCCGCAGAATCTACTACTGTGGTCGGTAAGAGCATCGAGGTACCCATGCACTAAGTCGACTACTCCAGGTAAGGCGAAGCTCTGCATTCGCTACGCCGATATCTGAACTGGAGACTCCTTCGCAGCCTCGCGCCTGTGGCCGCTGAAGTTGACCTCTCGACCAGGATCTTCCGGCATTGTGATACCATAGTAGCGCTGAAATACATCTTGGATCATGTTATAGCAACAGCCAAACCGCAACACTTCTAGTGTCCTGAAGTCAATCATCGTTGAAGACGTCCGCGGTAGAGAGTACTTTCTCCAGCCATAGTCGATGATGATGTCGGCTGCAGCCAGGATCTCCGGTTCAATATGCTCTACCAGCCATTTGGTGCCCTTCCCGGACAGATTTGCTGAAGAGCCCATCAATGGCAGTCCAGCGCTAGAGCTCAGCCGAACGAGCTCATCCTGAAGTTTGCCTCCATTTACCAGCATACCGAGTGTTCCGTCTACTGAGCTTCGTGCCAGTGTTTCCGGGCCGAGCTTCTGGAGGAGCGGATGATCCATTTTGCAGGGAGCAACAACCCCTAGAGGTATATCGATGTCTCTGGTAAGGAGTTCCACCATGTTCGCTTCCCGCTCAGGTAGGACATGCAGCTCTTTGTGCAGTGCGAAGCTTCCGAGCATCGCATGGCGCTTGTGGGGCTGTCGTTGCTTCGTGACAAAGGCTCGCTCCAAGGCCTTAGGGTCCATAGCGACAAGGCCATAGCCGACATCGCCTGGAATGATTGCGAGACCGCCTTTCTTGAGGACTTCGAAGACTCTCTGAGCATCCCGAGCGATGTCGATCGGCTTCTCAGTGGCGGTAAGGCTGAGCTTGGTGGCGACGGCGCTAGTCTCGGTGGTGGTCGATACTTCTGTGGATGACATTGTGCTTAGGATTGCGATATGTGGATGACAAGAATCGAATTCTCGACTTCGAACGAATATGAGTGTCTTATAGAAGAAACGGAACTCGGCTTCACACCGAGATCATCACAAAAGCTTCCATGACTCCGGCCAACATCTGCGCTTTCAGAGACCGCTCGAGCAGTCTGTTTGTGCTTGTCGGATTGCATTTCTCCGGACAAAATTGATGACAAGCCCCGAGTCTGGAGATGATTCCCCAGCATACATTTGGGGTGTGGGGTTCGTATCCCAAGCCGAGGTTGGCCGACTTGGCCGTACAAGGTACCTATGGCATAAAGATATCCTTCTCGCCTGTTTTGGCCGAAGCAAATCTTGACTCCTCCGATCCCTTCAACCACACGCCGCTGTCATGGACTCGCCGACGGCCAGACAGACCGAACCCCAGAAGAAACGACGTGTGGCTTGTAGCGAGTGCCGTCAGAACAAGGTGATGTTTTCCCACTGATGGCGTAGACCCCGAACTCACGGCATCTCAGTTGAAATGCGATGCATACCAAGACTATTCCAAGCCCTGCTCGCGCTGTCGGAGGACGGACCGCGAATGTACACTCCAAGGCGATTACGCCCGGGTGAAGAAGCCCACGCAAGTACAGACCTGCTGCTATGCGGGACTGCGATGCTGAACATTGCTTAGCAAGGCGGAATTGGTTCGCGAGATCAGCAGGATCCGGGCAGGCCTGGACGCGCAAAGCTTTCCCGAGCCTCAAGCACCCTCATACAGCAGCACAAATGTCGAGACGACCTTTTCAAATGCATCAGCGTCAGCCAAGCAGTCAAACGATGTTGCGAACTCTATTCCCACTACAGCTTCTAGCCATAGTGTTGGGCTCGCCGGCCACTCAGCTTCGCAGGCGTTAGGACAGCCTAGAACGCTGTCAGGAGTTGAGTTTCCAGCAGCCAAGATCAATGATTGCTTCAACTTGTAAGGTTCACTGCCTTGACAGTCAATGCTAGGCAGATCTCATTGTTCTCCAGGTTCTATGCCCACTACTGGACCCAGGTGCCAGTTGTTGACCATATGTTGAATCCTGACGGTTTGTACGAGAAGTCTCCGATACTGTTCTGGACCATCACATCCGTCGGAGCGCGGAAGTATGCTGGCGATCCTACGATGTTCAGCCAACTGAGTCCAAGGCTGGCTGATCTGGCTTTTCAGAGCCTTAGACTCAGACAAAACCCTCTTCAATTGGTCCAGGCTCTGGTCATTCTGTGTGCTTGGCCGCTCCCAGTGGCTCATATACATCAAGACGGTGTACATGTGCTAGCCGGATCTTGTGTACAGCTCGCACTGCAAGGAAGTCCTGCCTTGCTCCCCACCACAGCAGCGTATCTGACTGAGAATCTAGATTGGGCTCCATGTTGTAGGCATTGGGCAAGACTTTGTTCGCGATAATATACAAGCTCAAGCTCATGCAACGGAGCAAAGCTTCCGTGCTCGCATATGGCGATACTGCGTCATGGCATGCCACAGGTGAGTCACCACAACCAGTGTGCCTTGTCGCATGAATGAAACGGTGTGTTGAAACTCGATAGTGCCAGTATTGCTGACGGTTTGCCTCCGACGATCTTCATTGAAGCTTTTCAACCGGACTGGGCTGAGCTAGATGCCAACGTCACTGATCCAAATCAACTGGCACTGAGGACTAAGCTCTTTCATATTCAGACGACAGCATTATGCAAGATCGTTCCACACTTCATGGCGAGCTCTGATGATTCGACGCTAGAAGCACTGATTGAGTTGTTCGACTCCCAGACCCGCATGCTGCAACCACAATTGCGAAGCGGTCTTGGTAAGCCAGAATATGCTGCTTTGCCCAAAGAACCAAATCTAACAATTCCTCAGACGTATTGACCATGTATTGCGTTAGGCTACATGTATGCGTATCTCGCTGCATGCTCGCAGATCACTACCGATACCTTAGCGGGATGATTGAGCTGTACGGAATAGCGATAAATGTGATCGAGAAATTCGCAGAGCTGGACGCTGACACAGACTACGCACACTATGCCAGCTTCTATCACACGCGGACTTTGTTGCTCGCAGCTTATGTGGTCTTGAAGCTGCATCGGACGCCACCAGAGCTAAGTATTGATCGAGGACTCGGCGAAAGCTGCTACTTCAAAGTGATCGCCCTTCTCCGGAAGAAAAGCCTTCACAGCACATTTGAAGCAGACCTCGATCTGAAAGCGGCTGTCCTTTTGACCCAGCTGTGGTCCAGCACAACGGTCTTCCGCAACGCTCAAGGTCACACAGATAGTCTGAGCGTACGGATCAGAAGCCGTATGGTATGTCCACATTGTCGCTCTCAACTTACAAGTGCTTATGGTTCGCAGAGTATGAATGTATTTTTCGACTGTGCGTGGTGGTGGAGACAGGAGTTTCGTGAGGAGCCAGACCCTTTCGCAACGGCGACCCAAGCAATGGATATTGACCAACTGGCGAACTTTCCAGACTTCGTGTACGATGGGAACTACTTCGGTCTATATGGTGATGCCCTTTCCATGCCTGTGTCGCATGGTTGGACTTAGCCAAGACCCCGAGTTCGTGCGCTTGATCACCATCAACATCATGCGCAGACCAAATTTCCCGCCGAGACGACATCTATGCCACGCTCTGAGCATCTTCCGCTGAGCCCGAATTACCGAAGTCGAGTCTGGTGCGCCGAGAGGGTAACGAGCACCCTCTGGACATGCTGGCAACTTTGCCCGACTCCGAACTTGGCCGATCTCCAAGGCCGGTGTTGGCCGAAACTCGATCCGAACAGCCGGTCGCAGCATCAAGACTACTATCTACAAGCGCGCCTTCTAGCTTGGCATCCGCATGGCAGGCACGCCGAGCTGTTCGAGTACGCCGACGTACGCTCCGTCCCCACGGGGACGGTCATCCCCAGAGATGGCGAGCAATCGCTTGCGCGTCGTATAAGAACCGGCCAGGTCCCTGGCTGTGTTGTCGAATATTCAGACGCTCAGCAAGCTTATCTTTGTTCCTCGATCAACATGCATAACGAAATAGCACTATCGACGTCGGCCTCGGACCGCGACAATCTTGAGAAGCCCACCGACCAGTATGACGAAGAAGGCAACACGGACCTGGCTGCGGCTAATCCCAAACTGCAACGACGTGTTTTGCTCAAACAAGACCTGACAATCCTACCAATTCTAGCGATCTGCTACTTCTTCTCGTATGTCGACCGAGGCCAGATCGGCAATGCACGAATCCTTGGCCTACAAAAAGACTTGGGCTTGAGTGCAGACCAGTACTACAACACCCTCCTTGTCTTCTTCATAGGATACGCGGTAATCGAGCTACCTTGCTGTCTGGCCCTACTCTACATCAGACCAAGTCTTCACTTCGGCGTCGCTACTGTCGTCTTTGGCATGCTCGCCACCCTCATCGCTGCAATACACAGCTATGGCGCCTTGATCGCTATTCGGTTTTTGCTGGGTCTAAGTGAAGCTTTTGTTCAGGCTGCTTTCATCTTCGTCAGTCTGTGGTATCAACGAGACGAGCTCGCGCTACGCGTCGCCATCTTCTGGAACGCAACACCATTGGCTGGTGCCGTGAGTGGTCTGATAGCCTATGGGGTCGGCAAGAATCTGCATGACGCTCACGGTATAGCGGCATGGCGATGGCTGTTCATGTGAGTCGCTTCCCATGCCATTGGTTCTTTCCGCACGAGATGAGTTCTGAAGAGGAGTTGCTGACCCGTTGCAGAGTCGAGGGTGTACCGACGATAGCTTGGGGGCTGCTGGTGCTGTTCCTACTGCCTTCGCGACCAGATACAGTGGCTGAGAAGGGCAGTTGGCTCTTCCGGAGCCAAGCCGAACGGGAGCTGATCAGGAAAAGAACTCTCAAAGGTACGGGCGTCGACACTGCTCCTTTCCGATGCTAACATGACTTGCAGCCAAGAACGCCATCAATGCAAAATTCACTCCTCAGCAAATGCTCGCGGCGCTGAAGGACGTCAAGCCGTGGCTCGACTGCCTGATTCTACCTGCGTTCGGGCTCGGTGTAGCTGCGTTCACCCTGTTCACACCCACATTCATCAGAGAGTTTGGCTTCTCACCATGTAAGCTCGCACCCTCCTTGACCAGTATCTATAACACTAACGAGCATGTCCTCACAGTGAACACTCAACTACTCACCGTCATCCCCTACGGCGCTGCTTTCATAGCCGTCCCAATCATCTGCACGATCTCCGACCGGTATGCCGCCCGAGCCGTACCTCTCCTCTTCTGCTACGCAATCTCTGCTGCGGGATTCGTCCTGCTCCTGGCGACAACCAACAAGGTCGCTCGTATCGCAGGGACAAGCCTTGTCGCCATTGGCTCCAACACCGGCACGGTACTCGCTGCGACCTGGGTCACAGTGACGTATCCCAACTTCACGAAGAAGTCCACTGTCTGGGCGCTCTGCCAGTTCGTCACGCAGGCATACAGTATCCTTGGCACGAAGATCTACGATAAGCCGCCGCGGTTCTTCAAGGGTCATGGGACGTTGCTTGGGTTGCAGACGCTGGCTGCTGTTCTGGTGTGCGTGAAGGCGTACCTGATGTGGAAGGAGAATAAGAGGAGGGATTTGGCCAGGGATCAAGCTCTTGGGAATGGTGCGAGCGAGCAGTCGGTAGCAGGTGAAAACGGACTTGAGGAGGCCGCTGATGAGAAACATCGGGATTTCAGGTATCTTCTCTAGGGATTATGAACGGAATCATCGGTATCGCGAGTCATCGGAAGCCGTGCCATCGACGCGACTGTGTGGTAGAGATCGTGAGCAAAGTGAACAGTGTAGACGTTGAGCCTGCCTAAAAGGAAAATGTTCCCGGGTCTCCCGCATGATGGTGCAGTAGTTCAGAGTCTGTGCAGGCTTCTGCATGGTTCCTGCTGCACGACATCGAGGCTTCGATGGAAGGTGTGGTGGGGAGTTTGGGGAGCTCTCTGACGTTGCAAATTGAGAGTTGGACCAGCAACTGCATTCCTTCCTTGTCATCGCTGCATCTTGCCATCCTTCTGACATGCACCACAAAGGAGAGCTCGCCATTACCAGAATTCCGTCTTGTCTCCATGTGCTGCAGGCTATGCTGATCGTTGCACCTAGCGACCCTATATGATGCGCAACGCCGCCGCTCTTAGCTTACATACGCGGATTTGGCGGGGCGCGACGCGGCTCATCGACTGGTCTGTGGGGATGACCACATCCACTGTCCGTGAGATGACCACCTGACCCTTTGCAGCATTGTTGTGCTTGATGCCACGGCTCGGCATTCTCGATGAGATCTCCTGATGCCCGTTCTTATGTATTGTGCGAGTATCACAGGATCTCTCGATCATCTCGTGCTCGCTGGGAGCACTCCGCCCCAGATGCACCCCTTGCCCATTGGATTGAATGCCTGACTATGTTGCCTAGGTGTTGATCGAAACCTCGCCTACATACTGACGCTGCAGGAACTTCACAAGTCGCAAGCACCATCTGGCTGGATGTCGTCCTTACACAGCAGGAGGGGTCTTTGTTCAGCACCTGCCGTTCGAGAGCGATCACACTTTCTTTGTCACGCTCCTTCGCCTGCCCCTAGCATCGCGGCACACTGTCGTTTGCTCCTGCTCTGACGATATTGATACTGGCAGCAAGCACGCTCAAGAATGCCACGCAGTGTCGCCTTCTCAGATGACCTCTCAGACCAAGATGACCGAGAGCAATTCCAACCTACAACTCGCCATACACTCCCTACACGATCACAACCTCAAAGCCCTACTCAAACTCGCCCATCGGTCCGCCCACTATCTACTAGTGAAGTACGAATAAGAATACGCGATGCTCAAAGCATGAATACAGACGAGACGACAGGACTGCTCCAAGATCCTCAAGATTCGGCCGCATCTTACATGTCCGGAAGCCGAACCACACCTAGATATCCAATATTATCAAGAGCACACAGCACACACAGCGTACGCTCGCGCCGGCAGCACTCAAGAGCACCAAGCGGAGGGGCCGGACTCAGCCCTGAATGGCATCGGGCTTCAGGTCTAAGAACTCCTCGGCTAAAACAATCCCAACAGGAGCAGTTGGACCTTCATCAACGAGTCTGGTACGATCAGTTCACATCGACCGACTGGGTTCATGACAGTATTCAAGATGGACATCGAGTCCTCGCTCTCCGGCGTAAGGGCGGTGTTCGCGGAAACCTCGCACTGATTGCCGATGCAGCCCAAGGCTGGATTCTTGTCATGCTGATCGGCGTCCTCACGGCCTTTGCTGCATACTTCGTTGATGTTACCGAGACTGCCATCTTCGATCTCAAGCGCGGTGTCTGCAAATCAAGCTGGCACTTTGGGAGAGTGGCTTGCTGCCAGGGAGCTCACCACTGTGATGACTGGCAGACGTGGTCACAGATCATTCAGCCGTCAGGTGTCAAAGCTGTCTGGGTCGATTTTATATTCTTCAACATCGGCTGTATCACGTTGGCGGGCATCTCCTGCTTCCTTACACTCTACTCGCGGACGGTCGTCCCATCACACATTGCCACTACTTTCGACGAGAACCTCGCAGCGGCAAAGACCAACCTTCAGAATGAAGAGTCAAAAAATCCTCAACCGCTCACGAACTTGGAGGCAATCCCCGCAAGCATCTACTATTCCGCTGCCGGCAGTGGAGTGGCCGAAGTGAAAGTCATTCTAAGTGGCTTTGTGCTTCACGGCTATCTTGGTCTTCGAACACTTGCAATAAAGCTCGTCGCCCTAATCTTCTCGGTCGCCAGCGGCATGAGTCTAGGCAAAGAAGGACCCTACGTCCATATCGCTACATGCATTGGTAACGTGGCTTGCAGGCTTTTCTCCAAGTACAGTCTCAACGACGGTAAGCGGAGAGAGGTCTTGTCAGCCAGTGCAGCCAGTGGCGTCGCTGTTGCATTTGGATCGCCTCTGGGTGGTGTGCTGTTCTCGCTGGAAGAGGTCAGCTACTACTTTCCACCCAAGACCCTGTTTCGCACATTCTTTTGCTGCATTGCCGCGGCACTCTCACTGAAATTCCTCAATCCGTACGGCACAGGCAAAATTGTGCTGTTCGAGGTACCCTACGTCAGTGACTGGAGATTCTTCGAGCTGTTTTGTTTCGCATTCCTTGGATTTGCAGGTGGCCTCATTGGAGCATTATTCATCAAAGCATCTCGATTTTGGGCGAAGACGTTCCGCCGCATACGCATCATCAAGGAGTACCCCATGCTTGAAGTGCTGTTGGTAGCACTAGTCACTGGTTTGACATCATTCTGGAATCGATACACACGCCTACCCGTGGCCGAACTCTTGTTCGAAGTGGCAAGTCCATGCGATGGAACATCGTTCACTGGTCTGTGTCCCAAGAAGGAGGGTATCACAGCTGTTATCGGCTACCTCACGATTGCGTTCGTCATCAAGGCCTTTCTCACGGTCATTACTTTCGGTATCAAAGTCCCTGCCGGCATCTATGTCCCGTCCATGGTCGTCGGTGGCCTCATGGGCCGGATCTTCGGGCATTGTGTTCAGTATGTTGTCGTCCACCATCCTGGCTTCTTTCTTTGGACGGAATGCCCGGTCAACAGCGGCATGGAATCATGCGTCACGCCCGGGGTATATGCACTGGTTGCAGCGGGTGCAACCATGTGTGGGGTTACACGACTGTCTGTCACTTTAGCAGTCATTCTCTTCGAGTTGACCGGCAGCCTCGACCATGTCTTGCCATTCTCGCTTGCGGTTCTGTTCGCCAAATGGACGGCTGATGCAGTCGAGCCACTTAGCATCTACGATCTTCTCACCGACATGAATTCTTACCCCTTCCTCGACAACAAGGTCTCGCCGGTCTTCGATACCAAGCTAGGCGACATCACACCACGGTCTACTTTCGACCGCTACATCGATATCAGCATTTCTCCCATTGTCAAGGCAACTGAGCTGCGATCGAAGCTTAATCGCCTCCAGAATGCTGGCGAGCTCGATGGCGGCATACCACTGATTCGGAACAAGTACCTGGTTGGTCTCATGCCAGGTCCAGACCTCGAATTTGCCCTCGATCGTATCGAGGACGAGACTACTGCCATGTGTCGCATGACTGCTATTGACGACCCACACGCCAGGTCTATCTGGGATGGACTGGAACGCATATCGGACGATGACGAGGATGAAGATCAAGACGAGCAATCGCCACTCTGGAGCTCGCAAGCAATTGATATGACGCCATATATCGATCCAGCTCCGGTGTGTCTTGACATCAAGAGCCCGATGGATCTCGTCTACCAATGCTTCGTCAAACTTGGACTGCGATACATCTGTGTCTTGGACGAGGGCGAATATCGCGGTATGGTACACAAGAAGGTCTTTGTCAGATACGTCAAGACTGAAGAGGAGAGACATGCCAAAGGCAGAGGAACGTGGTAGGAACTCGGCTTCGATGTCTGCTGCGGCAGGATGAGCGTCGACCACGAAGAACACGGAGAGGCCACCAGCAGCACTATCGCTCCGGAGTCATCTGCGGCGAGGCGAGCGCTGCTGGATCTGGAGGAGAGAGACGAGGTGTCGCCCCTGACGACGCTCGGACACTACGAGCCAGGCCGGCGGCGGAGACAGAGCAGCGTGTTTTGCAAGCATTGAAGTTAGCCGACAGGTCAAATTGGGAAACTAGGAGTTGTTGGAAAGATCAGCATTGCGGCATTATCAGAAGGCGGTTGCACCCATTGTTATGAGCATCACTAGCAGCATCATTAGCGTCATCAGGTTCAACATGTTGCGAGAGGTCAAATTGAATTATCCATAGATCATTGCGAACTCTTCATGAGCATGTTGTCAATGCTGTATAGACCTCCCGTTTCGGGTTTTTGTACTATTTAAGTGGTCACTGCCTGCTAAGAGCCCGTCGAGTCAACACAAAAAACCTCCTGCCAATTTGAGAAGTCAGTGCAGCTTCTATCTGTTCCGCGATGATTGCGAGACGTCATACGGTACGAGAAACTTGCAGTTGCTGCTGAAGACGGTTTTGAACCCTGAGACGACTTCGATCTTGAGTTGCTCTCCGTTCCAACATCGTCTGGAAGCGGCCGCCGACTCACTACCACCTCAGGCGAGCTTAGCGAGCACTCCATAGGGAGGGTTGGAGTGCAGGAGGTGGGACGGGTTCGCGAAATCGTTGATTCTATTCCCAGGCGATGAAGCAGCTGCGGCTTCGGTGTACATCCCTTCTGGATGGCAGAAACATCGCCTGCGGCTTTCCACATCCATAGATATTCGCCATAACCACATTCTGCTGCTCAAATAGCGATACATTGGGGCAGGTCATGCACATGGATCCTGTTTGAGTGGCTGGTAATTCACCAGTTACACGGTACCAGAATCGAACTACAGCTGCCTCCGGCAAAAGTGGCAGCGGCTGTCGTCATTCCCGCAGCAGGAACAATGAACCGCCGAGATTGGTCAATGGCAAGCGACGGAGGGAGCAACCTTGAATCAAGAGCTTCTTCCACTGGCAGCCTCCATCACCACGACTGCCAACCATGAACAGATCGCCACTGCGTCTCCTACGTGGCCATATCGGAGGGTTGGTCGTCGTTCTCCACACTCAGGTGAATGAGAATGACCGGTCAATGATCCGCTTGCCGCGATGGAGCACTGGTTACTGGGGCATCCAGGGTTTCCCGCCATAATCCACTTCGTTTCCCGCCTCCCTCTTCTGAGCCCTTCTTCTCTACATAACCGTCAAATAGGACTTCCAGAGCAATGGCGACGGTCACGTCTACCCTATCATCGTCTGCTGCAGATATGGGCTCTACAGCATATCCAACCTATGATTCCGAACGACCATTCTTGAAGCGTGAGTGACCCAGCCGGTCTCATACGGTTCTGACAATGCTGCAGCAATCGTTGCCGATGGCACAACATTCGCTCTGAATGGCAGAAATGTGTCGTATCGCTTCCGTAGGGACTCCAAGACTGGTGACCTCCTCTCCGACCATTTTGGTGGCACTGTGACAGAAAGTCCCGCCGTCCCAGGAACGACACCGCCGAGTGGTTGGTCAACAACGAGCCACCTACGACGAGAGTTTCCCGAACTCGGAAAAGGGGACTTTCGAAACCCAGCGGTATTCCTGAAACATCACGACCGTTCCACTGTCAGCCATTTCAGATATCAGTCCTACAAAGTACTCGATGGCAAACCGGATTATCCAGAACTGCCTGCGACCTTCGGCTCGAATGATCACGTCAAGACGCTAGTCATCAGGATGTACGACTCCTATTCGCATGTCGCGGCTGACTTGCTATACTCGATCTTTCCGGAGCACGATGCCATCGTAAGACGAGTCGTCCTGACCAACGAAAGTGATAAGGACGTAGTTGTGGAGAAGCTGGCGAGTTTCTGCGTCGATCTGCCCAGCGCAGATTACGATGTCGTTGGTCTTCGAGGCGAGTGGTCTCGTGAACGATCACTTTTTCGGCGGAAGGTAGACTATGGCATGCAAAGGTAAGCACTTCGGCGATTCGGCCAAGCTTGTATACTTTTCGCGTTCTTTTGGGAAGTCAGTGAATGTTTCATGTGACGCGGAAGAGCGACCCACCTGACGCGATACAACGACTCGTCTGAAGAGCGAGAAGACACATGCAATGAAAGACCGGTGCTAACGGCTCACAGCTTCGGTAGCAACACCGGCTTCTCCTCACACTTTTACAACCCTTTCCTCGCAGTTACAGCTTCAGACAGCAACGAGACGCATGGAGACGTCTGGGCATTCTCTCTGGTCTACACCGGATCCTTCGCGGCCGAGGTCGAGAAGAGTCCGCACGGCATTGTGCGAGCAGCAATCGGCATGAACAACTATCAACTCTCGTGGTCACTTCAGCCCGGGCAGTCGATAGCGTCACCTGAGTGTGTAGCAATTTACTCCTCGTCCGGAATGGGCAGCATCTCGCGCAATTACCACCGGCTGTACCGAGACCACTTGATCAAGAGCAAGTTTGCGACCGAGCCTAAGCCGCCGTTGTTGAACTCCTGGGAAGGACTTTATTTCGACTTTGACGAGACCAAGATTGAACAGCTCGCAAAGTCGGCGGCTGGCCTTGGCATGAAGCTATTTGTGCTTGACGATGGCTGGTTCGGCGTCAAGCATCCACGAATTGACGACAAAGGCGGACTCGGTGATTGGGCGCCAAACCCTGCAAGATTCCCATCGGGGCTGAAGACCATCGTCGATCGGATCACAAAACTGCCAGTGGCGAGGTCGGAACAGAAGCTACGATTCGGCATTTGGATCGAGCCAGAGATGGTCAGTCCGAAGTCGGAGCTGTACGCTGCACATCCGTACTGGGTCATGAGCGCCGGTTTGCATGACAGGAGCGAAACGAGGAGTCAACTTGTTCTCAATTTGGGTCTGCCCGAAGTCCAGGACTCGATCATCGATTCGATAACCACTCTTCTCAAGGGCGCAAATGTTTCATACGTCAAATGGGATCACAATCGCGCCATACACGAAAGCGCCTCACCTCAGTCTTACCATGAGTACATCATTGGCATGTATCGAGTCTTCGACACCCTCACCAGCCGCTTCCCTGACATTCTCTGGGAGGGCTGCGCCGCAGGAGGCGGTCGTTTCGACCCTGGTGTGCTTCAGTATTTCCCTCAGATCTGGGCATCGGACAACATGGACGGTCTCGAGCGCATCAACATTCACTTCGGCACATCGGTCGTCTATCCCTTATCGACGATCGCGGCGCATGTAGCGCATCACCGAGTCATTCGACGAAACGCAGCCAGTCCTTGAAATTTCGAGCCCACGTGGCTATGATGGGAGGGTCATTCGGATTCGAACTTGATCCGGACCGGCTCGAAGAACACGAACGACAGCAGATACCTGCGCTGATCGAGCTGGCGGAGAAGGTGAATCCGATTGTGGTGAGAGGAGATCTGTACCGACTTCGCCTACCCGGAGCCTCGCAACACCCCGCGGCTCTCGTTATATCGCCGGACGGGTCCCAGGCAGTTCTGTTTGCATATCAGCTGCTGTCTACTACAATGCACGAGAATCCGGTCATCAAGCTACAGGGACTCGAGCCCATGGCGAGGTATCGCTTAGACGGCGACAGAGTTTTCTCCGGAGCAACGCTGATGAACGGAGGTATGCAATTCGCGTTCGACGGCGACTTCGATAGTAAGATTATATTCCTCGAGCGAGTGTGAACGAAGCATGCCATAACCCACGGCATTCCATCGCTAGGGACGGGACATGGTCATGAGGACTTGCGTGGCCGAAAACTTGACATTGGCGCAAGCTGCCGCGAAGCGATTGGCTGGCAGTGTCGGTCTCAACGCATAGATCGCTTAATCATTCGTGTAGATGAAGTGTTCCTGACTGAGCCAGTCTGGACTTGTTGGACCACACCCGAGCGAGCCAGAACCTCGCGGCTCATCCGATGTGTCCGAGCAGACAGCATCCGACGCGATATCGAGGCAACAACAGACCACTGACCTGAACGCGTGTGCTCTAACGTTGCCACGTGCAAGCGGCTATGTTCTTTTCCGCACGAGGCCATCCGTGTGCTTCCCCTGATATTGCTGACTCGATTCGGGGTCGCCAATCCAACTAGCGGGCCTTAGCACTCAATTCGGGCTAGCTCTCCGCTCGCTTCTCCGCTGCTGAATGGAGCCGCTTACAGGATTCCAATACCCCAGGCCTTGGCATACCCGACTCCCCGTGGAGCGATTGCTGACCGTGTGGAAAAATTCTCCTCCGATCTTCGGTTCCAGCTCCTTCATATTGACTCCCTTTCGCAACACTGCCCACTGTTGCAGTTCCTCCCACACAATCAATCCCGCCGCCATCATGGGGTTCCTAGCGCCAAAAGATCTGTCCGCCAACCCGGCCCCCGTTCAGGTGTACAACTGGCGGATCTATCTCCTGGCCATCTCCGCGGCTATGGGCTCGTCTATGTTCGGATATGACTCTGCTTTCATCGGCGGCACCTTGTCGCTGCCATCGTTCCAGTCACGCTTCGGGCTTGCAGGCAAACAGGGTACAGAGCTGGCGTCTCTTCGGTCGAACATCGTCAGCACCTTTCAAGCAGGTTGCTTCTTCGGCGTACTTCTCTGCTATCCGACTGTTGAGCGTCTCGGTATGAAATGGACGCTTGTGCTCTGCGGTCTCATCTTCAACATCGGCGCAATCATGCAGACAGCCGCGACCGGACAGCTCGGCCTCATCTACGCCGGACGAGCCTTGACTGGACTCGGCGTCGGTTCATCTTCTCTCGTCATCCCGGTATACATCTCCGAGAGCTCGCCGCCTGCCATTCGAGGGCGCTTGATCGGTGTCTTCGAAATGATACTCCAAATCTCTCAGCTCCCCGGCTTCTGGGTCAACTACGGGGTTAACAAAAACATGTCCAAGACCAGCGACAGCCAGTGGCGAATCCCATTCGGCATTCAACTCGTTCCCGGCGTTCTTCTGATGGTTCTGATGTCCATGCAGACCGAGTCACCGCGCTTCCTCGCCAAGAAGGGCAAGTGGGAACAGGTCCGGAAAGTCCTGTCTCATATTCGCAACCTGCCACCCGACCACGAGTACATCGCGTGGGAGATGGACACGATCCGCAACCAGCTTGAAAGCGAGCACTCCGAAGTCGGCACAAGCGTGGTAACGAAGCTGAAGCAGATTTTCCATTCGAATGTCAAGAAACGGCTGGGTATCGGCATGGCCCTGATGATGTTCCAGAATTTGAGCGGTATCAATGCTTTGAACTACTACTCTCCCGTCATTGTCGGATCAATCGGCTTCACTGGCACGGATGTCGGTCTCCTTGCGACGGGCGTGTTTGGTATTGTCAAGGCAACCGGCACGATTGTCTTCATGCTGTTCATCATTGATCGATTCGGGCGTCGTAGTGCTATGCTCATCGGCTCGGCAGGCGCGTTGTTCGCAATGTACTATCTTGGTGGCTATTCGAGCTTGTCGAACTCGTTCAATGAGAAGCCGCCAAGAGATGGAGGCGCGTATATTGCTATTCTGATGATCTATATCTTCGCCATCTTCTACTCCATCAGCTGGAACGGCATCCCGTGGATCTTCTGGTAAGCACCTTCCTGCGTCTCCGTTGAATCCTACTAACATCGCCACAGCGCCGAAGTCTTCCCCACGCACCTCCGCCAGGTCTGTGCCGTGTTCACCACCTGCACCCAATGGCTCTTCCAGTTCGTCATCGCGTACAGCACACCATACATGATCGCCGACATCCAGTACGGGACATTTCTGTTCTTTGGTACGTCGGTCGTGTGTGGTCTGATATTCTCGTACTTCTTCCTGCCGGAGACGAAGGGTGTTACGTTGGAAGACATCGACATCATGTTTGGCAGCAAGGGCTTCGCGAGACAGAAGAGGAAGGCGATGGAGAGTGTGCTGGCGGAGAGGAGGGAGATTGTGGCTGAGGAGAAGAGGGTGAGGGGTGAGAAGGCGGTTGTTGAGAACGTGGAGCGAACGGAGAGCGTCTGAGCGGAAGCCGGGTGTGGTAAGGGCGGTTCCTGAGAGCATTAAGGAGACCAATGGCCGAAGTAATATGTTGGGCGTAAAGCAATCGTTTGTGCAACTGTTCAGACCCCGACCTTGCATGCGTATCTTTTGGCTATACCGCTCCAACAGATTTGTGGCTGCGTAATCGGGAGCCATAGATATACAGCAAGATCGGCACGGGCGTCAACAGCAGCGCGATACCGCCCAGTAGCGTGGAAGCCCACTGAACTCCCAGATCCTCGTACTGTGCTTCCGTCAGCACAGTGTCTGCAGCTGATACCCGCAAGTCCTTACCATATACGTAGCAAACATGGGAAAACCTGCTGCACAGAACGAGCGCAGCATCGTGTGAGCTGCTACTGCAGAAGTCGCTCTGTCCACCATTAGCAGGAGTCATTGCGAGGAAATCTCGAATCATACCTCTCAGCCCGTGCCTGTGTAAGGTAAGAAATAGACGGGATGAATGTCGCAAGGAGACCAAACCCACTCAAGATGCCCGACAGTGTAGGCACAATCCAATGGACAGTGCCTTGATAGCCCGACCATCCGAACCAGAGGATGCCAACCGCAAATGCAATTGATCCCGGGACAGCGACAGGGAGTTGCCACTCTGGAAGTAGCACTCCTTGGTTCTGCTTGGCCTTGCGCATGATCCAGGGCTGCATGGCGAAGATCGCCAGCACTGCACATACTTCGCCGACGATCAGCGCGAGCGCAGGTAGGCCTCCAACTCCTGGGCGCATGTGATAGATGTGTTGGAACACTGTTGGGTACCCGACAAGAAATAGGTATAGGAGTGCGTACACAAATGAGCCGTAGATGCTCATCAGAAGCACTATCGGATCGCGGAGTAGCATTGTGAGAGGCCGGGCGACGAAGTCCGACAGGATGGTCTTGAAAGACAATTTGACTTCCTCATGACTGATCCCGTTCGCATCGTCTTTCGCTTCCAGTCGTGCTCGGCGAGCAGCTCGTTTCTGTAGGACGGGTGCATACGACTCCTCCAAGACCATCGAAGTCGGTATGAGAATGACGGCTCCAAGTACGGCGCAGATGTACTCAGTCCACCTCCATCCGAGACTTGGGTTTTCGACGATGAAACCTCCGATCGGCTGGGATATGACCGGACCTAGGAAAACCACGAAGGCGAAGCTGACCATAGCGATGCCCAGTGATCGTCCAGTGAACATGTCTGCGTAGATTGGAGCAGACAGTGTTAGAGGTCCAGCACCGAAGAAGCCGCCGAGGAAGCGGAAGAATAGGATGAGGCCGATGTTGTTCGATGCGCCCGTAGCGACGGAGAAGATGATGAACAGAAACATCGATGCGATGAACGGGAGATATCTTCCTTTTATCTCGGAAAGTGCGGCCCATACCAGTGGCCCGAAGGCGAATCCGAGGACATAGAGGGCGACACCGAGTAGGCCGATCTCGCGCGTAGTTCCGTAGATTCGAATCAGTGAGGGGATTGCGGTCGCAAAGATCGCGCTCGCCAATGTGACGGTCATGGTGCATAACGATGTCAACGCTGCGATGACAATTCTGACGATGGTGTAAGTAGGGTGGACGAATTCACGCCGGATCTGCTGACCTTCTTCTTTTGGTCCACGTATGCGCATCTCGTGGACCGCCGTAGTCTTCAAAGTCGATATCCTGCATGCTACGTGGGATAGTATGTTGTAGTTCGGCTGTTGCAGGCTCTGTGGTGTTCCTCGAGGAGGAATTGACGGTAACGCTGCGGCCAACATTCTGAGGGACGGTCCGCCATTATATCTAACGTCGACGCTGTCCTCGTTGAGATGCATTTGTCGTCGATGGTACGTCGAGGAAGCTAGGTTGAATACAAGTCCGCGCCAAGCCAAGTTACGGCCGCTCGGAGTTGCTTCACAACCATCCGATTCCACTGATTTGGCATTCATCTAGCCTTATCTGGCGGCAAACACGAAGAGAGTCCATTTTTTCAACGCAGATGATTAGTGAAATTGTGCCGACTTTCATATGTCGGCGGTCGCAGATAGCTGGGACACTTGGCCCGTGGCACACGAGCCTCGGTGGGAACATGTACGTTGCATGTGGAAATTGGTCGAAGTGTCGCAACACACTTTCCATCGCCCTCGAGCCGCGCTCGTGCGATAGCGGCGCTGAAGGACGGCGGAGAGCTATGGTTCAGCTTGATTACAATACACTTGATGAATAACTCTGCATCCACGATGCCGACATGAAGGACTGTACGGTGGAGTAGAGTGGCCGTGAGCCTCAGTGTCGCCTTCCAAGGCACGTCGCCTGATCCGACGAACTAGGCGTCTACCCCACGCGCCAGCCGCCCACTTCAAGTTTACTTCAACCCAGCCTGTCCTTATCATCCATCCTACACAAACCCCTAATCCGAATCCACGCCATTCATCATCATCATCGACACTGATATATCCAACATCAACAGACAAGAACATCACGACCCCACTTACGCGCCCTCCGGGCCCCCGCCATCAAAAATGCAATACGTCCCCTTCGCCAGCGACATCGAAATCCCCTTCTACGCCTCCCTCGCCGCCACAAAGATCTCCACCGACAAACTCTCCACCCCAGCCCGCCGTCTCCTCGGCCTCTACGCCATCCAGCCGGCCGACAGCCCTGCCGCCTCCTGCCGCATGCAGATCCACGCCAACGCCCTGACCGACGACTCCCCCTCCATCCCCGCCGGAGGCTCCTACTACCGCGCCGAGGGCACGATCAAGAACCTCAACACCATCGAGGAGTATCGCACCATCGACAAACCCGCGTTTCTGCAGCAGGCCGGACGGACGATTTGGGAGGCGATTAATGATGGGACGGTGTTTAGTTGTCCGAGTTTGTTGGCTGGGTTTGTGGTGGTGAGTTTTGCGGATCTGAAGAGGTATCGGTTTAGTTACTGGTTTGCGTTTCCGGCGCTGGTTATGGAGCCGAGTTGGGCGCCGGTTGGTGGAGGTGGTGGTGGTACGGGGCAGGAAGAGGGGAAGGGTGGTGTGCCGTATAAGAAGCTGACGGCGGATGAGAGTACGGCGTTGGTGGATCGGGTGCAGACGTGGAGGTATGGGTGTGATTCAAGGCAACATGGGTTCTTTCTGGCGAAGAAGACGAGACGGCCGCCGCCGAAACCCAAACCGGAGCCTGAAGCAGATGGCGAGGCTGGAAGTGGGGACGAGACATCGGAAATGCCCCTGACCCCGGGCGCAAGTTTGTCATTCTACTGGCAGGTGGCATCGCTGTCTGCTTACGAGACTGGATTCTTCGAGGGCGAATACTCTGATGATTGCTATATATGCTTTGCAGACCCCTCAAACTACACCGAGCCCGGCCCAGTGGCTCCAGCATGGGTGCTCCGGAACCTTCTCGCTCTCGTGCGACAGCGATGGAAGCGAGACCGCGTCCAGATCCTGTGTTACCGCGAAACACACTCTCGAAGAGATGCCGCTCGGAGTATCATCCTCGACATGGAGATCCCACGACAATCGCAAACAAAGCCGAAGGCATCTGCCGACGGTTCGGAATCAAAAGACCTGCTGGCACTTCCCAAGGTCGTCGGATGGGAGCGGAACGCCCAAGGCAAGCTCGCTGGCCGTCTGGTCGACCTGAAAGAGTACATGGACCCAACGAAACTTGCGGATTCGAGCGTAGACCTCAATCTGAAATTGATGAAGTGGCGCATAGCCCCGAACCTAGACCTTGACAGCATCAAGGCAACCAAATGCCTTCTCCTCGGCGCGGGCACACTCGGCAGCTATGTCTCGCGCAATCTCCTGGGATGGGGCGTACGCAAGATCACTTTCGTCGACAACGGTACTGTCTCATTCTCCAATCCTGTCAGGCAGCCGTTGTTCAATTTCAAAGACTGCTTAGAAGGCGGCAAGCAGAAGGCGCTTGTCGCAGCTGAAGCACTGAAAGAGATATATCCCGGCGTAGAGAGTGAAGGCCATGTGATGAGCGTTCCCATGGCAGGGCACCCGGTTGTGGATGGTCCCAAGACCAAGCAGGAATTCGAGAAGCTGAAGGAGCTGATTGACGAACACGATGTCATATTTTTGCTGATGGATTCCAGAGAATCAAGATGGCTGCCCACAGTGATGGGCAAAGCTGCTGGGAAGCTAGTCGTAAACGCGGCCCTGGGCTTCGACACATACGTGGTCATGCGACATGGCGTCAGACCAACAGATGCATCCGAGTCGAGCTCAGGCCAGAAGCCACTAGGCTGCTATTTCTGTAATGATGTGGTCGCACCTAAGGACTCGCAGAAAGACCTCACACTGGACCAGCAATGCACAGTGACGAGGCCTGGCATTGCAGCCATTGCTTCTGCCCTGCTTGTGGAGCTTGTCGTGTCGGTCCTGCAGCATCCACAAGGTAACGCAGCGCCAGCGGCCACATCGACGGACGACGATCGAGGAGAGCATCCACTAGGCATAATACCTCACCAGATTCGCGGCTTTCTGTCGAGCTTTACCAGCATGAACATCCTTGGCCAGTCCTACGACTGCTGCAGCGCGTGCTCAGAACGTGTGTTGACGACGTACGAGAACGAAGGATGGTCATTTGTTGAGAAGGCGCTCAACGACAAGGACTATGTCGAGGAGTTGAGTGGTCTGAAAGAAGTCCAGCGTCTTGCAGACGCCGCGGCGGCTGACATCGAGTTTAGCGAAGAGGAGAGCATCGAGGACGATGGTGATGGAGAGCTCATCTGAGCATAAACCGGCATGGCGTTAGGGAGGCGCGGTGAACACTTTGGCTTTGTCGACCTTGGCTAGCCGTTTGATACCAATAAAGTAGGATTCTTTGCTGTCGCTTCGTGAGCTCTCGGGCTTTTCCCGATGGACTTTGCTGAACATAGCCTTCATGCTCATTTCCAGTGCTTTGTCCTCGGCGCCTTGGTAGAATTTGCAGACGAAGTGACCGCCAATCTTCAATGTGTCGTAGCTGAAGTATAAGGCAGATCGGCAGAGGTCCTGGTCAGATCAGTAAGGTGATCTCTCTCGGCATGTGATGAGGTAACCTACCATACTCCCAGCATGATCTCGGAAAGTGTTGCCGCTCGTGTTCATCAACCTGGCATAGGGATTATTAACGCTCCTCTTATATTGACCGTCAGTCAGTGGCCAGGGTTCGCACATATCACTCAGCACCACGTCAATGCACTTGTCTTCGTGCTCGGCCCAGGCGCCGTCGTCGACCCCAGAGTTCTCCTCTCGTTCCAGATAAACGTAGCTCTGGGAAGTGGTTTCCCGGATGATATCGTCGCTGATCGTCGTATGGTCCTCGTCTTCTTGTGAAGCCAGTATCGTCGGTCGTCGGACACGGCCTCGATCGGGATCTCGTAGGAAGTTCTTCATCTCTGCTTGGATCTCGGGAGACAGAAAGTCGCCTTGCATGGCACTGACGCCTTTCGGAGGTTGGACAGGGATGAGATCGATGCCGAGCACACGGCCACTAGGCTTGGTCAGGTCGATTGCTACCTGTGGCGCGTTAGCTGTGGTCAGGAAATTGATACTTGGTTCGTACCTGACTCCAGCTGCCCGGCGCGAAGCCCAGATCAACGACGGTCATTCCAGGCCGAAGCAGACGGTAGCGATCATTGATCTGCAAGAGCTTGAAAGCCGCTCGGCTCTTCAGACCGGCCACCTTGGCTGCCTTTGCGAATTGATCTTGCCCTTGTCTCTCGACCCATCTCTTGCTGCTGTATCGGCGGCGGCCATGCTCAAACAGTGTCCTGGAGCATCCGGAGTATTTCACGTCCGGCATCAGTGGAAAGCGACCACATCGTGATGTGAAAGGCGAGCATGTAGGACCACGCTGCCACGAGGTATACCCTCTCGAGATCATGCATTTTGAAGACTGGTTGTGGACGAGCTGGTGCAGCTGCAGTGCCTGAGGTGGACTACATCGTCGCATAGCACGCCCAAAGAACGCGGAAAGGTCTGTGAATATGGCCGATGTTTTGCAGGTGATGTGATTGGGATGACATGAGCGCAGTACTTTCAATACAAAAGATCTCGCCGGGACTGAGTTGAATATCTCAGCCTCGCACAACTTTCAGCGAGGCTGAATCACACAAACGACATTGACAACCCGGGCCGACGATAAGGTCCTGACCTCCTGTCTCCGCAATGCTACCAGGTATGTAAGGTATGTACCTACAGAAAGACTCACGTAGACAGGTACTGCTTATGTTCCGAGCCGTGGATTGACTGCCGCAATACTGTTGAGAGCGATTCCATGCTTCCAAACTACGCGAGAGCTGTCAAGCAGCATGTCAAGCTCGTATATGCAGATAATTGCAGTACTGCTGGTTAAGGCGTTCATCCCTCAAGTCTGCCGTTGATGTTCTCTTCCCACCGATTCTTCTCTCAGCGCTTTGGTGCTTGCAGCATAAGTCGTCCATCCTGCTTCACGGCGCGCTCTCGGCATTGACTATGAATATTCACGTCCTGCATCACGTAGACGCGTGGGAATCGCCATACAGCGTCCTACACAAAGCCTTCACCCAAAGCACTAACCATTCGAGTCAGAATCGGTCTGCTTTGCACCGCGTCGACCGGGAGGAGCACGTGGATGTGTTTGATGTCAGTCGCTCGAAAGACCTTGGGGTCTTGCTAGCGGCAACATCGACAGCCACGCCCTGGCGGCCACCACCATCAACAAGAACCCAAACCGTTCGACTTCTCCCAACGATGCCATGGCCCCTAGATGGCCCGCTCGCCTTTCTAGGATGGACATATATTGGAGTCGCCGCATTCTGTCATGCCGAAGGAGCGCTCCTGCGAAGTTCCTACTTTGCCGGCACCAGCTACAGAAAGGACTACCTGAACTTTCACAAATGGGCTTGCAATCGTCTAGAACTACAAGCTCCTAAATTTGTCACCGGCGTGCCTCACTCGACTGTCCTCGAACTATTCTTACAAGACTACCGAGTCTCACTCATGTCACATCGAAAGCCAACCTGGACCCAGCTATTCCTGCCAAGTATCATTCATCTGAACCCAGTCCACCTGTACGCTTCTGTTCGAAGCGTCTGGGTAATGTTCGACACAGCACAAGGAGATGGGCCATCCGCTCAGCTGTTGCCCTTATCAGTCATGCTGGCTGCTTCGACCATTGGCCATCGGCTTGACTGGTTGGTACGCCAATTCTTGTTCTTCTCACTGCCAGTGAGTCAGCAAAACGAAGTAAGCCTCGAGAGGCTCCGAAACGAAACCGCCAACTACCGTCGCGCCTCATGGCGCGGCTTCATGCGTAATACTTGTCAACTCCGCCTTGGTCCCGCATGGAAAAATCTCAAAGACTTCCTCCGCCACAGCACGGAATTGTCTACATTGAGCATGATAGACCCCTCCATCGGCGCGTCAAGTGGCTTTGCGGCGCTTCGCACGATGTTTGCACTGATCGCGCCACGCGCTGTATTTGGCAATATTGCGGACACGGTAGGCCGGTCCATCGCATCGAATCTCGCGGAGGAAGATTTCTTCCCATACCTCGCAGCATTCACTGGTACGACCATGCTCTCGCGTTTCTTCAACGAGATTGCTTGGATGTATCCATGGATGCGGACGTATCTGTTCCCGAACCAGCTAACCACCCTCATTCTGACCAGCGCAGCAGAGTGCTTGCAGATTGTGTTTGGACTGGCGCCTAGAATATCGCACCTGTCCCACCTGACTGGCTCAATCGCTGGTGCTGGCTTGTTGATCGGAATTTGCGGGTATCTAAGACTCCTCCGTGCCGTAAGGGCAAATCTAGCGGCCCGCTGAGGTGCGGGGTTGGGTTGGTCAAAAGCAAGCCAAAGACTTCGACATCGGCGTGGTCAGGTCGCGCATGGTGTGGCGTGTACGGAAGCAAAACAGGCTGAGCCTTCTCATAGACGAGGTCAGCTACGGGCAGTGAGGACTCCACGAAAATGAAGCAAGTCGAGCCAGCAGAGAGACGGCGTCCATCGCAGTCAACAAGCCCTGCATCTGTGTGTCCATGGTTCTTGATACGGCGAAGGCCTTTCTCTTTCGCGGTCAATCTGTCGGGATTCTCACCGCTTCCTCATATGTCAGGTAGCCGATAGTGAAATTCTTGTTGTTTGCATGCAGCATCATTCGCTGTGTGAGACGCCGAGAGCCGCAGCATTGTCCACGCCAGCATGCTGAGTCAACATTCCGTGCCATAACTCTTTCTCGATGCATCTTGTGGACCGCAATAGCCAATTCTACCTTTCCCTATGCAATACCACTTCCAGCAGATTTCCCCAAAATCCCAGGTCATAAATATTGTCCATCTCCCGACGCATGTCCCTGACTCGCTCCCACCTGTGATCGTCAACCTCGATCTCGCCGTCTATCACTTCACCACCTTGAATCCCTCTAGCCACGGCCTCCTCTGCTTTCACGTGAAGGGCTGGTTGGTCTCCGTCTCTCGTTCGAATATACCAGTGCTTCGCCTTGTACTTCTCCCCACCATCATCCCCATCACCAGACCAACACCGACTCCTCACCATCCTCCTAGGCGGCCAGTCCACATCCTCCGCCCTAGGCTCCACCTCAGGCGGCAACATAGGATACAGACCCAGCCTCGGAAGCCGCCTCTCCGCACCATCTTTCCCACCCGCTCCATCCCCCATCCCCTCTCTAAGACTCCCCAACTCCGCCCTAAAAACAACCTCATCCGCTACATCCTCCCTCCAATCCCCCCACTTCCCCTGCTCGTTCGTCGTCATCCCCGCCCACAGCAGATACGCATGATATCCCAGAAATGCCGCGCCTAGGGGCGTACACATCGCACACAACAACGCTACTGCTCCCACCCGTACATCCTGCATCAGCGCCCATGCTAGTCTGTCAAACCATTCGCCCCAGGTCGTGTTGCTGCTCCAATAATTCATCTCTGGGTGCCCAACGCGCAAGGGCCCAACGAAGCGGGCGTCGAGGTGTGCGCGCATGAACCACCACCCCAACAAGGTGCCGTAGATCAACAGCGCTGTAATCGCAACGAGGAGCAGCAGGAAATAAAGATAGTTGTTGCGCCCCACGCAGTTGTTGACCCAGATGCAGTGGTGATCAGCCTTTTGGATACAGGCTTTGCAGAGCGAGCAGTGCTTGCTGCGGGGCGGTTTTGGGTGGTGGCAGGTGCTGCAGAAGTAGCCGGGATGGTAGAGGAGGTAGTCGTAGGGGTAGGCGTGGATGGCGCGGTGATGGGAGGGGCCGAAGTCTGGGGTGGCTTGTGAGTTGGGGGCGAATCTGGCGGTGGTTTGGGCGAGTGCTGGTCGTGGAAGGTTGTGGTCGGTGAGGGCGGTTGAGTTGTTGTGGGGTGAGGTTGTGGCTCCGTTGGGTGGTCCGGAGACCTTTGCTGGTGGCACGATGATGGCGGACGATGTTGTCGCGGTTAGGTAGAGGTAGTAGTGCGGGAGTGCGACCAGGATTGGGATGAGGAATTTGTGGTAGATTGCTAAGGTGGGCCAGAGCGCGGGGATCATTGCTGCCTCGCCACCGGTCTGTAGGCCGACGAAGAAGATCTGATTGGGTCAGTGATGCGAGTCCTAGAGTTCAAAGCCTGATCAACTTACGAGGACAAGTGGATGCTTCTCAAACATCAAGTAATGCCCAGTTGAGTACAAGCCGCGAGTAAGCCGCCGACCTGTGAGGACGGTATCGACCTTGATGAAGGCATTTGGTATCGAGCGCGTGAGAAGCTTGTGTAAGAATGCGATCGGCGTGCGTCTGATCTTAACGTCAGGGATCGAGTGGCCTACTCGGTCACAGCAAGAACTCACCGAAACGCTGGCAGGCGTCCGAAAAGCGCGACAAAGACAACGGTCGAAATGCTTAAGATTGTGATTATTATGGTCTTTATGACGCTCATATCCACGAGGTGTTGTATCAGCATTTCTGCGACATCCGCATGATTACGATTGGATATCCATTGGACAGTCTGAACGGCGTTGAAGAGATGAGAAAGGCACGAATATAATTGAGACGAGGTTCTATCAAAAAGCCGCTGCCTCGATGCCAAGCCTTGTCGCCTGAAAGGCAACCCGTGGACCCAAGATCACAGCACCGTGGGCAAATGGTGCAATCAAATGATGCGGGTTGGGCCCCTTCCGAGGCGAGAGAGATCATTACTGCTGCTACTGGACTGGAGTGATCGCCATGACAGAGGTATTCATTGCAGTGGCGGCGAAAAACGGCTTTGCCTGGACCGTCCCGAGGGATGGCTGTCATCTCAGATATCAGGAGTCGCCGGGCATGCACGGTAAACCAGCCATTGGAACGGGACGCACGGCATGTCAGCTTCACATCGAGCTCACCTTGTCAAGCCTCCCAGCCGAGTTCGACCCTCGTTGAATTGGATCTTCTCACCCGACACGATTTTGGTGCCACTGCACAGATGGATGTCAGAGCTGGACAAAATATTCGTGGGAGGATACTTGTCTTGAAGATAGAACGTTGCCCAGAATACCAGTCGGATGAGGCTGCTCTGAACACTTGCAATGGTTGTAGGAAGCAATCCACTGTCTATGCACATTCGAACCGTTAGCCATGAAGATCATCAATCATGCGCCAATACCAAAATGCCCGATATCCCCAACGCCTCGCGAGAATGAACCGGCAATCTCAGCGACCGTCTCCGTCAAGCGTGTCGCTCTTGTCGTAGATGTGTCGAGCTCTGGTGACATCTTTGCGCATTTCATGACCAGAACCGGTAAATCCCACTGCCACAAGTTAGTACCAAGAGTGCGGGTAGAAAGTCTGGAGAGGGCTCACCTCGAGCAGTAAAACTCTCGCCAGTGCGGAACATGCTGTCCTTCTTAGCCATCTTGCCGCCTTTGCCCTTGGCAACAAAGTCTTGCCACTTGCCCTTGCCCGCCTCGAGCTCTTTGTTTGCTTTGACCTTCTTTGGAATCTTGGCAGGTCTGGCGGGGCCGTCGCTCACCTTGCTGGGCTCTTTCTTGGCCTGTTGCGCGAGCGTTGGGTCTACGCTCGCAGCGGCAGAAATGACGCTTGTGTTGGCCACCGGAGCCTGTGTAGGCGTCGAGGAGCCCGACATGCCATCTGCCTTCCGCTTCTTCGCTTCCACTGACAGCGGTTTGATATCCCGCGATTTCAGTGTCTCGACTGTGCCGTATTTGGGGAATTTGACGATGTAGACTGGGTCGTTTTTGGAGCCGGTGATTGACTGTATTCGCGCAGTGTAGAAACCGCCGTCCCCTGATCGCCATCGCGCCGTCACTGTATCGTTTACGGAGAAGGCTGCGGGTGTCTGTGTGTCTTCGACTTCAGCCTCGGGCTTCTTGTAGCCGGCTTGATACGCTGGATGATTCTCGCGCGACCATTTCTCCTTGAATGTGGTGGGACTTTGCTTGGACGCTACGGGCGCAGGTCGTAAATTGGCGATCTCGGACTCGAGTAGAGCGATTGCGTCTTCGATCTCGGCTTTCAGTGTCTGTAGCTCAGTGTTATCCGGGTCGCTCTGTAAACCAAGTTGGATGGTCTCAAGTTGGAGTCTGTACTCTTTGATGTCATTTTCGAAGGCGGCAATTTCGCTCGCCATGATCGACTCTGTGAGCTTTCTCGAGTGCTGGCGCTATCACGTCTGCGGATGCGAACGAGTGGAACGGATGATGGGAGTGTGATGTGTTCAAACGCTTAGGCTTGACGATGGCAACTCAAAAGTGAATGCCGTCAGGTACGACCGCCTGAAGTGGGAGGTGAAGCGAGCAGTCTGCCAATCTCGGATATCTTTGCCGGACCTGAGGCATCTGGCAGTTCATTGCAGTCTTTTTCTCTGTCAATTCCACCCTCCATCCCATGACTATGCACAAGATCAATAGCATAGTCACATTAGTCGAAGGTCCTCGCCCTATCGGATAGCAGCAGATGCTATCTTGGTATGGCAATTGATTTTCTTGCGCAAGGAGTGTCTGTGGGAAGAATGCGAAGAACAAGTCGAGGACAAGCTGACTACTTATATTCTCCAGCAAGGTGAAAATCAAGACGGCCGCGCCGCGATCACTTCACTGACTCGGCCGGGATGACTTCACTGTTCAACGCATGACTTATGATCATGTTGCTGCCTGTTGCCTTCACTTCATTGAACGCGAATGGTGACGATGGCTTGTTAAAGATCGAAGGAAGCAGAAAGACACGACTTTGAGTTTGATCTGGCACTATGGTGCATTGTATTGAACACTGACTATGCGCCTTTCAACTATCTGGATCTCTGCGATCCCCTTCAGTCCCGTTCATCGATCAGGCAACAATCTGACCTTCCGGGAACGAAGCACACAGATGATCTTTTCTGTTATACATTCAGGTCTTACACCTAGCGATCAGACAATCTCGCGATCACCGATGCGAAGCCAGCCTCAGAGCTCACCTCACCTACCCTTTACGACCTCGGCCAAAACCATGGCGACGGCCTGAGGAGTACTGTCCCCGGGGAGGGTGACAACCTGTACAGTACTCATCGCCCTGCACGGTGCGCCGGACACTTACCGGCCTCGAACAGTTGCCACGGGAGCATTCGTCGAGTTCGCGGAAACCACCATAAGTGGCGCTGCACCCCTTGCATCGCAGCTCGTTGTACACGGATCGACACATGTTGGGAGATTGTGTTTCGTGTTGTAGTGGTGTGTGTGCTTGGCTCTGTGCTGGTGATTGGGCTTGGTTTTGTCTTCGTTTCAGGAAGTTTGCGATGCAGAGATGCAAGCTTGCTTGAGAAGGAGAAGACCGACAGCCGATTCTGGACCAGCTTATATGCTTTTCTGGTAGGTCGGCCTCGGGCAGAAGGCTTTGTCTGCCGCCTCGTTGTCGCTTCGTTGTTCGAGACGACAACGCCTTGTTCGAAACGATCCTCGAGCCCTCGGGCACTCGTCTGCTGGCGTATCAAGCCATGTTTCGACCCCTTGCTCGGGCGGCTGAAAGAATTATGCATTGTCCGAACAAGCCAACGCCCGACAAATCAAACAAGGCACCCTTTCTACTGGCAAAGGTCTTTGTTCGAAAACTGACGATAGCACGAAGTGAGTACAGCAAAGGATATTTACGACGAAGAAGGCAATCGGACCTCACAATGTCTTCATTGTGGGCTGTCATCAGGTAGGTCTGGCATAGATCTTGAATAAGGTATTTTCGATTTGACTCTGTGTGAGCAAGTCTGCGCCGGGAGCGATGGAGGCCCTAGAAAGGGTTGCCAGAGTTGCATTCGAAGACAGCTCACATGCTTTCAACGATCTGGATGTCCCAACGAGTGCCTCGTCGCGTCATCGATGGTGACCGGGGGCCGTTGTCCGAAACAACCACATCATCTTCTTCGTTTCGTAAAGCCCATTTCTTCGTTCCTATTCTCTGTCCACCACCAAAGATTTGCGGGCGCTCTTTGGTCATTGTGATCTACTCTGATCAAGGGTTCACCACAGACCGAGCATTTGTTACCAGCTAGACAGGGCATAAGCGGTAAGAGGAACTCAACGCGGGAAGAAGATGTGGCCTGGCTTTTTTGTGGGCAGGCGCATTGACCATACTTGAAGCACAGCTTGAGTTTCTTCAGTTCGCACATCTCGGTAGGTCGGCTTTGGTCTTCGGTTGCAGAGGATCATGTTGCAGAGTGCGACTCGCATTTGTGTCTTCTCTACTTCGCTGAACCTTTAGTGCTTTGTTGCGTGAGTTCTTGTCTCGCACGGCCCGGAAGAAAGAGATTCGATGAAACTACCTCGTTTCTTTGTTGACTCCGACGGCTCACATCACTCGCGCAAGGGATAGCAATCCCGCATCTCAGACAAAGACCGTTGATGGTCGCGTACGCTGTGGCAAGAGTACGAGCTGGCAATAGATCAGGTTTTGACGGAAGTACAATTGCACCTACTCACGAGGAACAGCGTCGAATACCCCTCCATTCTCAAGTCTTAATCTACTGCCCACGATACTATCAACTGGGAAGCAGACATCCTTTCTGCGACCCCATCCCTCTTTCCCACCCGCAAAACAAGTCCCAGCTCGACAAATTCCTCGGCATACTTCTCACTGCTCCTCCTCGCCCCCAGCAGTCCATTCCGCAACTTCCCTCCTCCGCCTCGCCAACCTCTCCGCCTTGGTCTCCTCGAACCACTGCTTCGCCGGGTCCTGCCGCCTGTGCAGCCAACCGTCTCGACCACGACATTCGACGGGCCGAGATCGCTCGATTAAGGGCTTGGGCGAATCATCAGATGAGTACCGCGGTCGCGGGCGGTCAAGCATTGGCTTGTCTGCCAAGGTGTTCTCGCCTAACGGAAGGGGCTGCTTGAGCGCAAGGGTCTTGGCCGCCTCAGCCAGTAAGGGAAACTTCTCTGGGGAGAAAGGCCTGGCCAGTGGGGAGGTCGGTGAGGTCGGCGTGCCCGGGAGCAGGAACGACGTACTCCCCGAAGGGATGATGGGTGTCTTGAGCGTGCGGATGGGCGGAGGGGCATGCTCGCGATTCCGCAGTGGCTTTCGCTGAATGCCAGCCTTCGGCGGAGGGCTGGGACCTTCAACCTGAGTTGTGCTGGCGCTGTTGGTCGATGGCTTGCCCATGACTTGGTCCGCTAGTTGGTTGAGCTCGGCTGCAAAGTCGGGAAGTGGACCAAGAGTGATACCACTGGGCAATAACTCAGACTGCGGCCGCTGAGGCCGAGCGCGCGTCAGGAAGGACGTGCTGCGCTCCGTAGAGGTGTGCTCAAAATGCAACTCATTCGACATGTTGATGGCGACCGTGGAAGCATAGTGGATGTCCTGGGCATGCTTCATAGTAGCAGCGACATCCACAACATGCAAGTTCGGGTCAAAAGCTTTGTACGGCAGCGCTGCGGCGTACTTACGACACGCGGCACCTTTGGACGCAGCACCGTTGGCACAGGTGCGAGCTGAGTTGGCTGTAGAGGCCCTAGGAGTGCGGTGTAATGCTTGGCAGGAGGCGGGCTGGAAAGACGGGGCATCTCCGGCACTTGCAGCGTTGCGCCTTTGGCAGCAGCAGTGCCGGGCAACAACGGTGTCTGCTCTGGCTGGAGTGCGCCTAGCAATGACGCCTGCTCGGCCAAGATCGCATCAAATGTAAGCGGTGGCAGAGTCTCAGGTGCTTCGATGACTGGCAATGAATCAAATGCTGGAAACGGTTCCAAATGGCCAGGCACGTCGAGCTTGAGATCGACCACAACCGACAGCGTGGTGCTCTGAGAACAGTCAGTGGAATCCGAGTACCTGTTCTTGGACAAGATGGAGCGAACCTTGGGCAGCCGCGGCTCAGGGCTTTCTCCAGTTCGTGCATTCGGGGCTGTCTTCGAGACTCGCTCTTCGCTATACCTTTCCATATCATTGAGACCATGAGGTCGACTGTCAGCAGGGCTCCATGCAGAGTCAACGGATCTTCGGGACATTCTCTGGGTGATGCGCTTCATGTGGAGTTCCGACTTACGAAAGAATGACGCCTCTTCGACATACGTTGTCTCCTCAAATGAGTAGCTCGATCGTCGCGATGCCGGAATCTGCAGTGGAAGCGGACCTGGTCGTGTGATTGGCTGACTGACAGCATTCGTCGACACGGCCGTTGGGGGAACTTCAGCAGGCATCTCCATAATTCCATCCACTACTGTGGTGCGGACAGGGCTTCGAGATCTTTCCATTGCTGAACGCGACGGTGATAGTGGGCTAGGTCGAAATGGCGATAATGGACCAGGTCGAAGTGCGGTTGGTACGGATTGTCGTGAAAAGCGATCATCCCGTTTGACAGACTTTCGAAACGGATTGAATTGGCTTATAAATTTGGTGGCACGACGCTTTAGACTCAGAGTGGGCGGAGCGTCGAATTCGTATCTGTTCGAGAACGACCCGCGTCTATGGCTCGGCGAGCCTCTGGAGAGGCCGCGCAAGATGCTTCGCATCGTCAGGATTAGCTGTAATCAGTTATGCTTGAGTGTTGTTGTTGTTGTTGGGGTTTGATTATGTTGGTGACGGGGTTGGTAGTCACAGGTCGATGAGCACCGCAAGGCACGTAAAAACGAGCAGACATACTTTCCTTATGCCGAGAGTCGTTGATCGAGAGGTCTCAAAGGGAACAAAGAGTGATTTTGGTTGGCCGAGACAATGTCGTGGTCGCGGTCCTTTGTCTTCGACACAACGGCACAGCATACTCGACAATGTCTTCAAGTCAGCCCAAACAAAGAACACGAGCTGAATCTTGCAGTGCTATTGCAGTATCGTAGATTTCGTAGCACAAGCGGCGACGAGTCCAGCTAAGCGATAATATGCCTTCCATATGGCCGAGGAGCCACATCGCTGGGAACGAGGTTCGATGGTGCGTCGCCATGACCATGACATATCGTCCCGTGATTTTGCCTCGCCCTTCCAAGGTCTCCGTGATCAGACCCTCATCGCCGTGGCCTCGAGCTTGACGTATCCCCGGACCGGTACTTACCACTTCAGCTTGAGCTCTGCCAACATCATGATTTGCAACAAGCAGTATGCAACATGTTCTTCGTCCAGCCTTGCATACCTCGTGTGAAGCCTCTCCGTCCGTTCGCTGTCGCCATGTTGCAGTCGACCCGACTCGAGAGCCAGATCGAGTCTCATGGCCCTCCTTGCCTCAACATTGCGACCGTCGCCTCCAATGGCCGACAGATCAGTCAAGTTTATCCTTTGGCTGAGCAGTAACGACTTCATGCCTGCGTCGTGTCCGCAGACATCCCATGCCAGGTTCAACGAGGTGTAACGAGTGTGCACGCACTCAACGAGGCTGGTCGGGTACTCAGACTGCTGTGCATGCAGGAGATCGATGTACGGTCGCCAGCGGAAGACGAAGCAGTAGCCATTGTCTTGAGTTGGATATTCGAGATCGATGGGCAGCAGGTCCGTCATACCGTCCTCAATGCGCATAAAGATCAGTGAGTGATAGCCAGGCTGATCTTCGCGAAGCTCTTGTATGACCTTTGACACCTTGATCTGTGTGGAGTAAGTACAAAGATGCTAATGGCTCTGGGTTTCCTTACATTCGTCTCACTATCACCGCCAACAGGCTCATTCCTCAAGCTGCCGCATGTTACATAATTACCGCAGAAGACTGCGAATTCATCGTTCGGCCCTCTGAACTCCTTGAACATGCTCACCCAATACCCAGGTCTTAGCCCAGCATACACTCGGCGAACCCAGAAGGAGGCATTCTCGACCCAGTTGCGCCGAAAATAGGTGTCCATACTCGCTCGGAGAGGCTTGATAGCATGATATAATTTCAAAGGTCGCCATCGTTGCCGGAAATCAATCATAGACTTCCGATGCCATGGCGACTTTTGTTCTCCGTAGTAGTCGTACTGGTCTCGATATACATCTGGAGGATCATCTGGAACTTCACCGTACGGTCTTGCCAGGCGATCGGCTCCGACCTCAGACTCCAGATCCGCAACAACGTAGTCGCCGATCATCTTCCAGATCTCAAGCGGGAGGATTGACACATCTCCCGCACTGAGCCAGTCATTGGCAGACAAAGAGAGCCGTGACCCTATTTTGATCTGGGGCAGCTCTTCCCATCTGAGCCGGTCTGCGATTCTTGCAAATATCGCTTGCTCCTCCTCAGGTGACATAGGGGAAGGTATCCTGCGCATGTTCCCTCGAAGGCGAAGGCGCTGTATCAGACAATTCTTCAAAGCTTCCAACGGCCTGATGAGCTCTACGCGCGTTAGCGCGCAACAGGATGAGTCTGCCACTGCGTTCAAGAAGCGCCAGCAGTGTGATAGTTCGTGAATCTCTCAGGACGACTGAGCCAGGTCTTACATGATGGACAGAGTAGTATCGCTCGCAATCCGCTGTGCCTGATTCGTCTGAGAAGGGGGCCGAAAGCGGGCCTATGTGAACGGTGAGCCATCGCTCCCATGTCGCTTCCGCCCAGAGACTGGGAGACATTGAGTTCGATGTCACCAGTCGAGTCCATGGTAATGTTGTAAAGAGGAATGTACGCGGATAGATATTGACATAGATATTCTGGCGATGAATATGAGGCGCGGTGGTTTCAGGTTCCGAGTTCAGTAGAACCTTGGAATGGTGGTCACATGACCAAGACTCCTTATTGCCATCCTACTAGGTTTGCCAACACAATCTACCAACCAACTTGCCGACTTGATCGAACCACTACAACATTCAATCAACCCATGATACGCTCCATTGTTCACTGGAGTACTGTTCAGGTTGGCAAATTCAGAGCATTCCAAGGCTCCGCCCTTGACGCCTTTCCGTAGGACCCTACGGGCTGAGCCTTCCAGCCTACCCCGCGGCTTACCGAACAGCTGATAAAGCTGGGCCCGTCTCGCCCAGAACGCAGCGCAATGCTGGAGCTCCATGCACTGTGATCAAACCAATAAGACTCTTCCCATGGGCCTGATTCTAGGCCGCTTTAATCTGGGATTTATAAACACAGTACTCGAAAAAATGGCCTGAAATTGTGGTCGAAATTCGATCCAAATCAGTCCTCAAGTTCGTTTGGTGTAGTGGTTATCACGTGGTTAGTTCTGGCGCCGTTTGGAAGCTCTGAGCATCCCTAACAAGATTGCAGTCGTTCACAAAAAGTGAGCATTCTTCTCCGAAGATCCGACAAGGTCCCCGGTTCGATCCCGGGAATGAACACATCGTTTTTGCTGATTAGCTGACGGTCAGAGAGGTGAGAGAGAGACATAGGCGTATAGCGCTGTGCGAAGGGGTCCAGGAGGGTGTGGGAGAGTGTGGAGGGGTGTGGAGGAGTACGGGTAGACGGATCAACGTTTTGTTCTTTTTGAGCATGCGCACCGTTATGGAAATCGAGCCTCAACTCAAGCACTGGTCAGGCATCTTGTGTGTGCGGCACACTTGTCCAACCGACAAGGAAGGTGGTGCCAACGATGCTTCGTGGGAAAGTACGAGTCATGTGTCTGGCCGGTATCCGAGTCAATGAATCCTTCCTGTCTGGGCATCGACATACACTCTCGGCGGCAGCCACGCGGCCAAATATTGTATGTGAAAGTGTAGCTACCACACCCACGAGGCAGGCACCACCGGCATGGAATTCGCAGAGATTCGGATCTTTCGCAACGGCCTCGTACGTTTCAACCATGTTTTTGATCGCGCAATCCTGCAGGCACAAGTCTTGAACTCAAACGACCCTGGCCCGCAACCACTACTGCCATGTTGTATTTATCCTTCATTTCCTCAACATTCCGGACGGTATCATGCAAAGTATCGTGGCTTTTGGCAATTAATGAAAAGACAGAAAGTTGGTAAAGGGTGTTGTTGCGAGAAAGCATGACAGCTGCACTTGTGCCTTGATCCGTTCATGATTCATAGACTTTTTGCCAATATATGTAGATATGCGTCTGTGCTTTATCTTGATTGACGACAAGATTTGGGTTTGCAAGGCAAGGAGGATTGATCGTGCATATTGACGGAAATGCACAGCCGAGGTTCCAGACGGCTTCAGCCGCACTCTGCAGCCTGTACATATCGCTTGAGACGTCAAGCATCTTGTCGTGATGGATATCGCAGGCTCTGGATCGGTATGTGTAATCGAGTCGATGAGAAGATGCAGTGATTGCGACTTGTCCTCCGTCAAGCCGGCAATACGTTTCCAAGAAGCTGGACGTCTATTAGGGCGACGCCATTTGTGGAGGTCTATCAAAGCATAGAATCCGCTGATTTCGCCACATTTGTAGGCGACGCGGAGTCTCCTTCCGGTGAGTGCTCATGAGTTGCCTAAACATGTGCTTGATCTGATGGCGAGCGGACCATGCACGCGTGGGAGAAACCTGCATGCTCACCTGTCGTGTATTTTCCAGGAACATGGCAAGATATCGGACATATTGTGATCTTCGTGCGAGTCAGCTGGACGCGAGGTGAACCCTCGGTGCCCAGGCTTGTGACACAGATAGTGCATGATGAGTCGACATTCTGCACAGTTGCCTGACAATGCTGACCGGTACGAGGAGTTAGGCGTCGGGTTCACCGCAGATCTGAACACCGACGAGATATGGCAGCTGCGAGATCCGGTTCGACTGCTGTTTGCATGTCAGGTCATGCGGTCCGTTATCGTATAGAGACCCTGCAGCTCGTGCAACGTGCTTGAGGAACGGCACTCAGGGTCCAGGGGCTCGGTTTGAACGAAGCAACGACCACAAAGGAAGTGTTCGCCTCGTTGCCTGGCAGTGGCCGCCTTATCGTACATGGTCGTGGGACGAGCGCGTCGTTTGGCTCGCGGATCACCACCGTGTGGCCGGAGTCGTATGGGAAGCGATGGCGTCGAACGCTCGTCTGCGCTACGACAGTCTTGACATCATTGTCACCAAGCAGCTGTTGCATCGGGAAGGTGTGACCGTCATGCGTTTCCTCATGGTCTGCAGCTCCATGCTCAGTGTTTCGTTATTACAACAATCGCTTGCGATGCGCTGCAGCCGCGGCCGACTGGCCGTTCCTCCCGACCCGGACAAAGCGGCAGAAGCGTTGGCAAGGGCGAACGAATCCTTCGTGGGACGCCTGGACGCGTGCATCCACGGGCCACGGCAAATGCTCGAAAAGTCCCTGTCTGCCGACGGTCGTGCCTGTCCTGTCAGCACCTTGTCTGTTAGTGAATTCATAGGCGTCGATCCTCAAGCATATTTCAACATCTTGGGAACGTCTGGCAAATGAGGAGCAAACTAGGCAAAACATTTCATCGTTAGCTTGAGCTTCTGTGTACATTATTTCGTCGTCACTGCTAGTAACGCCTTGTGAGATGAGTATTGCTGACGAATGGACTATTGCCGGTGTTATGTACCATGGTAGTGCCGAAAGCCGGCCTCCTGGGATATGAAACATCATCCTCACCGTCGTGCCAATTTCCAGCCGTATCTGGCTACAGTAAGTGTACATCGCCCGATCGCAGCGATCGCTCATCGGCGAGTTTCGGTAAAGCTATCATTGCTGCATTGTTATGTAATGCGCTAAGCCTACTCGCGATAACTGAACTACAAGTCAGACCTGTATCAAGGTCTTGCGGAAGCTCCGGGCGGTACAGCACAAGCTATCTTGCAGTGCAGAACACAGCAGGGACAGGCCTTGGACGTGAACTGCAGATAGTGACTTTAGCACAGGCCAGAGAATCCCCAGGGCGAACTGGTGGCGATTGAAATTCTAGTTTGGCCGAACGATCGGGTGTGGATTGGCAACATTTTCGACAGGGGTTGTTTTCAACAATTCAATTGTTCCCAACTTCCAAGCCGCAGGCCGCCGTCAAGAGAGCTAGACCGCACGGGCACCTGTCAACTATAATGATCGACAAAAAGTATCCTGTCGTTCCAAAGAGGAAGTAGTGACTGGCGACGATGCCCGAAATGTCGAGCGTGGGTGAGGAGAGCATCTCAAATTGACCTAGGCATGCCTGTAGCGGGTACAAATCATGTCGATCTTCATCTACTCGGGTTAAGGCAAGATCGATGCTCCTCTGATGGGGAATGGAGAATTGTCCAGGTTGGCAGCTGCACGAACGCGGGGCAACTCAGAAGTAAGACACCCACGCCCACACGATTTTGCAAGCTCGAAGCTTTTCACTCGTGGAAACGAGGACATTCGCGCGACAGAGCACGGCATGGTGTCCTTCCGGGAGATCACTAACGGATAAGGTTCCTGTCGGCCTATATGTCGTTGAGGACAAATTGTTCGAGCCATCAAAGAAGGTCTTTCGAAGGTTCGAACGAGGCATAGAGAAGCGACATTGAGGATTTTTATTCACGAAGCTTTGACAACGTCTTATTCGTTGTTGCCGAGCTTCTCGGTTCGCGAATGGAAAGCGACGAGTGACGACTGGGCGAGGCGAATCGTCATCATTCCAGCTGCTATACGGGCGCCACCGAGGATGTTATCGACAGTGGCTCTGTGCCTAGGCGAGCCAGGATACCCATTGCATGTACTGGGACGATTGACGTTGGAGAAATCGTCAAACACGAGATAGCAAGACCGATCTCATCAATCGGCGAGTGCGTGATTCCATAATTTCATGCTGCTAAGGCGGGAAGATAACCAAAAGCTGGGCACGCGGCGTCTTCGACCGTCAGTTCAAGACATTCGCCTGCCAATCAGCCACAGCTCGTGCCGCGAAAGCTCCCATGACGAGCCTGCGTTACGATGATCGTCGCGCATCCATGGTTCTGGCAAGTGGTGATACCGTCGTTGAATTCGCACAAACGTTCCGACTCGAGGCTTCGGGCTCTAAGCGAGCTTACACAATCACCATGCAACACTAAGGCACAAATTCTCCCGATGTGCGGAACCACTATAATGTGAATATCGTAGATGGATGCGGAAGGATGTCACTACGTAGGCTGTGCAACTGCCAGACACTACCGGGTTTTCGTTCGTGCAGTACACTCTGCAAGAAGGTCTGGACCATGCGGGACGGATGCTATCGAGGATAAGAAGACCTGCAGTCTTTAGTTCATCCCAAAGCTTGCTGTATAATATAAGTTGCAGCGCTAGGTCTACCCACATCGAAAGCTCGAAAGCATGGGTATATAAGTCGAACACGCTGGTTGGCTGAACTGTGAGTAGCAGTGCCCACAAAGCTCGTCAGAGTTTCGTGATAGATTCTAATTATAAGGGCAATGATGCACAGGGCTGCTGCTTGTCTCTTGCAGTAGTGCCCTGACCCTGGCCTGTGCGCAAGTCCCCTGGCGTATTCGATTGTTTCCCCGGGAGCTCTCGCGATTGCCAGCACATAGAGGCGGTGATGCTCCGTACGGCCCACGAGGCCGAAAGCACCTGGATGCCTCAACTAGATAGCCCGCAACACCGCCTCGTAGGATGACAGCGACGAGGCTACAATTCACGGACACCGTGAGAAGCTGACGCGCCCTTGTTGCCAAGGGGCGAGTTTCTAACAATGTCTTGAATGTGTTCCAGAGCCGCGGTGAGGAAGCCACGAGCAGATGAGAGTCATCAAGGCGAGGGCGAGCTCTGACTGATTTCATGTAACGTAGGCTGGTAGGTTCGGGAGCTGAGAGAAGAAAGAGGTCATCATTAATCGAAACGAGAAAGCGAAACCAAAATTCTTGCCTGCATCGAGAAATAAAATATTTGTAATGACACGAGCTTCTCGATCGTGACTTACCTCGCGCATTCCGACTGTTGCTGGAGTGTTGCCAGGGTTTTTCGTGCTGCGTTCTCTTGCGCATTTCTGCGATCGGTAATGGATGGCATCGAACCATCGTCTGTCTGCCTCGAGCGTTGCTAGCACGTTTTCCTTTACTTCTCTTTCCACGAGCCATTAGCAGTGGAGGGCCGCCCATACACCCTCCCCTATATCGCAGACTTCCATACCAGCACCATACCCACACTCCCAACCACACGATCGTTGCTGCTTGAGCTTCCCAGCAAGTCCACTCGCTGATCTGCCCTCACGTTGCCTCTCGCTCGCCGCCAATCCGCCGCCTAATCACCATCACGTCGCATTAGCCATCCCCGGGCCAGCCTCTCGTTAAATGTTCCTGCGGCCCGAGATATTCCTCTACGACTCATCAGCACCTTGACGACGATCCACGAGCTCAGCCCGACTGCGTATTGTCGAGGGCCCACCGACGACAGAACAGTCCCGCCTGTGGGCGCCCGTACGGCTCTGTACCTGGTGACCAACGTCCCAGAAGACAGAGGAACCGCAATGGACTCCTCTGGCGAGCGTTCGGCCATCGCCTGCGTGGCATGTGCCAAAGCCAAAGCGAAATGCGACAAGAAGATCCCATGTATGCGATGTACTGGGAAGCGGATAGATTGCATCACTCGAGCGACCCGCCGCTCGTCACACGCAGCTACCAGGCGGAGCATGTCACGAACGCATTCAGACAGACCTTTGACAACCAACCACGGGGCATTTCACGTCAACACCTTGGGCCAATTTGGCGTACCTATGCCAGATGCACCAATGATCTCGCCAACTCATATGAGCCCTCAACATATCCCACCAGTGCCTCCAATACCGACTCCCTTCCAGACCAACATGAGTATGCCAAACATGCAACATCCACCCATGCCAATGCAACAGCCGCCATTTGGGCAACCTCACTTTGACATGGAGCAGTCGTCGGTAGGGAGCGGATTCACTCACAATACGCCGCCGGAAGCATATATGCCAGGCACTCCTATGATGCCTAACGTATCTCAATCAGACAACTTCGCTCATATAAATCACGACGGCTTTGATCCATATGGCGATGCCCAGGTTTTGGCTATGAATGTTTCACAAGACATGATGGACTTCGGATGGAACATCAACAGTCCTCAGACCATGTTCCCTGATCAAACAGACCAGCTCTTTGGAACTCCGAATAAATTCATGACCCCAAATCAACTGCACCTTCCCCTGCAGGAGGGCTCTACTGCTATCAAATCAGGAATGGAGAATCCAATTAGCACTCCGTTTCCAGATCTCCACCGACCTCGCACGCGACCAGCAGCTGCTGTTCAACCACCAATCAACACGAATCTACCATCACTCGGAGTACAGGAGCTCGAGGCTGTCAGTAAATTGTACGCCTTGTGGCCCCATTTCAAATGCAATAGTCCGAGCAAAGAGTATACGCAGCAGAACGCACCGAAAACCGCAGTCACCTATCTTGAAGGCCTTGTGCACACTCTGGAGCGTACCAACGCGGATGCCTGGAACGCACAGATCAATCGCGAGTCTCTGAATATGCCGACAGAGCGAGGCATACTCGTCGAGCCTCTTGCAGGCTCTCCAAGGGAGAAGCTGCTTCTTATCACACAAAAATTCCTGGGACGTGCATTCAAAGTTCACGAGAACGATAGAAGCTCGAAGCAGACGCCGTCCAGTCCCAGTTCGAAAGATGGACTGCTTCTGCTTCCGCCTGCGGAAGTGATGCAGTATTTCATGCAGTGCTATGCTGTCCGATATGAGCCGTACTATCCTTCGATACCAATGGGCCGGTTAGATCCCAACAGCATGATCGACAGCCAGGGTCTGAAGTCGGCGGCGTTAGTGATCTTGCTCATGGTTGCGTCCGGTGCCGCAGCCGCGCCTACCGCAGACGCTAGGTACATCGCCAGTGGTCTGACAGAGGCTTGTCGTCTCTCATTGTTCGAAGTCATCGAGCAAGATGTGGTTCTATCTCGAGAGCCACTCATACTGAGGGCAGCTCTTCTCTTCATCTGCCAGGCCGCATGGTCTGGCGATAAGTGGCATATGGATGTAAGTTTGACCTACCGCTTTGCCGTCTAAAACATGACGACTGACCTTCAATCAGATGTCCATGGGTCAACGAGGGACCTACCTGACCATGCTCAGACATTCTGGCTTGCTTGACAGAACTGACTTCGCGCGTGGCGTGGACGACGTCATGGCCGATCCCGACTCTTCCTTTCAGGAGTGGCGGGAAATCGAAGCCAAACACCGGTAAGTGGAGGCATGACTCACCTCGAAGACCTGCTCGCTGACACCCTCGATAGCCTCGCTCATGGTTGGATCACCTTGGATCAAGAAATAAGTCTGTTCGCCGACGAGACCCCTCTGATCAGCATGGACAAGCTGAACACCCCAATGCCCGAATCAGACGCCATGTGGCATGCTGGGACGACGCGAGAATGGCTGGACTTGCTCAGAGCCTCTCGTGGTGACCCGTCATACAGTACTCCGAAGTCGTTACGTGACTTCTACACCAGCTTCGTCAATGGTGAACTCAACGGGCAGACACTCTCGCCTTTGAAGCTTCGTCTCTTGCTTCATCCGTTGCAGGTCCAGGTCTGTCATGCTCGACAATTCCTTACAGGCGCACAGAACGCTTCGATGTCGGCGTGGAGGCTCCGGTTGCAAGAGATACAGCCCTTGCTCCAGCAGTGGTATGGCATCATCAAGCTTTCTTTCAACGGCCAGAAGGGAGATTGCTGGACAACATGCGCCAACCTGATCATGTACCATCTGATAAGCTTGAACATCCTAAGTAGCTTCACCGAAATCGAGCGCTTCGCTCGACGACAGGTAGACTTGGGATCGTACCGCGAATCGACGTGGTTGAAGAATCACTGTGTCGACTCGGCACCAGAGATCTACTTCCACTGCGGCCAAGTACTGCGCCTGATCACTTCCATGCCCAAGCCTGTGAGGCCGGCGTGGTGGTCTGGCGCAGTGTATCGCGTGGCCATGACAGGATGGGCAGCCAGCATGGCCCTTGGAGGAAAGTCCAGCACCAGCGCGTCTCCAGCAGAGGCAGCGCAGCCATTCGCCATCAACGGCGTCACTCCAGAACACGTCTGTGTTCAACGGTATCTGACGTACCAGGAAGGAACGCCGATGCTGAAGACCGGCAGCGGACCTCTGACGCCTCTGGACGTGCCGACCAATATTGTGGAGTATGTCGTCGATATCCTGGACGACGACCCATCGATGCGCATGTCGGAGGGCATCAAGCACAAGCTCAAGTTGTTTGTCGGTAGCTGGAAGCAGACCTGAGTCGGACCCCGGAGAGCGTGTGCTGTAGGACGTTCCACCTGTGCAACTATCACATACGCAAATGGATTGTGGAACTCGACAGTTGCGCCATCTTGTCCGCCACGCATCCACCTCCTTATAAGAGACGTGATCGACAGGCGCCATCGCGAAGACCGATAAGCAACCAGCGACATGGCTTTGAACCTCCTCTTAGAAGAAACCTCGAGCGTTGGTTTTTCTTGGATGATAGACATAACTCTTCTTGAGTTGCAATGGTCCTCACGGCCGAAACTAATTAGACAAAGCCACAGCGACGGCCGAGTCGTTTGATGACTTTATGACGGATGAGCTTTCTCAGACTGGGCCATGAGAGGCCGATAATCAGAAGCTAATGAATTGTGGACGAGGAAATTGCATCCGCAGGAGCAAGTTGGCGACGGGCCTTGTGAGGCGAGGACGATCGTGGCTGATATACCCGCGTTGCATTGCATGTTGTTGGGGAGGCTGATATTGAGCGGATTTTGCGACAATCCTAGCACCAGTCAGTCGCAGCGAGCCGATAGCTCAGAGATGGTCACTCAGAGTGACTGAACAAGGAGCGCAAGCCTTTCCGTTTATGTTGACCGTTGCATGCCTTGCCTACCACAGTTTCATGTTGTGATCCGTGCCCGACCTTGCCAATGTTTCTGTCCGTTGCCTGGGCGGGCGCGAACAGGAGGGCGTCCGAGCGGGTATGTGCATGCCACACCACAGTATGTGGAATACAAAGATGTCCGACTCTTGCGTGACATGACTGGGCGCGGTGATCGACGTGAGATGCGAGTGAAGGACTGCCAGTCGCAAGCATGTTTGACGGCTCGGTTTGTGTGAGTGAGTGTGTTGTTTTGTTCCAGTCTGTTGATGAAGTTCATGTACTTCTGGCCTCGTAACCTGGAGAACATGTGATTGACAGCCAAGGACTAGCCGGCGTCATTGAGCTCATGCGGCATCGAGAGCGGCGAGGGCGGCGTTGACATCAGCTGGTCTTCAACATGGGCGATTTCATATGAGCAGGGTCCTGTGACCTGTCCCGCCTTGATCTCGTGGACAGTTCGCTGGAGCACTTCGCCTGGTATTGCCCTATTCGACGAAGATCCGCATGATCGTTCGTATTAGTACGCACATTCCAACATCCACGGGTTTGGCAGTCCGTGGGTTGCGAGTCCAGTGTTGATGTACGTGGGAGGATAAACCATCATCTAGGAAGTAGAGAAGTAGACTTGCTATAGTCGAGACCCAAGCAAGCGCCACGATGATGTATATTTTCTCGGCTCGCAAACCAGAGGTGGCTGCCTGCTTTGGTAATCGGATGTGACTTGTTGAGGACCGTTCGGTTTCAGGCTAGTTAGGGGAGGGACGGAGGTTTGGCGTGCATCGTCCCCGATGATGGACATATGCTGTGCATGCATCCTGGTACAGTCAACGGTGCTCTGCTTGACTGTTCGGTTTCGGTAGAGGGACGAGTAGATGAGAACGAGTCTGTCGGTTCACGCAGTGGTATGAATACACTCCTGCTGCTGGTAGTGTCTGATGATCAGAGTCAGGAGCTTGCAAAATGGCAAAAGCGAAGCAACTCGAAGCTACGGAAAGACGGAGTCGGTAGGTACTTGAGAGAAGGTTTGATAGACGACTCGGCTGGACTAGCATGTTTGTCTACCTAGGGTTTGCTGCTAGTCGATATTCAAATCGTTAAAGGCCGACGGACTGATGCTGTGCATCGCTGTTCAACGTTGGTACTCACAGTATCTGACGATCGCAGAACATGTCGACTTTGTTGAATCATTAAGCTGGACATGGTGTGCAGCAATGCCCGTTGCAATGCGAGTAGCCGACTGCTGCGACAGTTCTGGCTTCAACTTTGACAACGAGGCCATGCGACAAATGCCATGAGGGTGCCATGAAGTCGGTATGTCGGAGCTCAGACTGACCGTTTGGCTTCACAAGCGAGCAAGAACCGAAATCTTCGTGAAGCCAGGAAGGCAAATTGCGTCGATCCCCGGCTGTTCATGCCCAAGATCTGGGCATGGACGTTTGACTTACCAACGAGATGAGATCAAAATGTCCGGTGGCTTGGTTGCGTTTTCATTGTGCTGCTGTGCAGTGTTCGATCGGAGATTTTGTGTTGCTTAGTATTTCTGAAAGCCGTTCACAGCCAAAGAGAGAGCGCCTTCTGGACGCGGTCCGGCAGCAGTGGCCATCTTGGGGTGGAAGACGATTCCGTAGCACGTTGAAAATTAGCTTGATGTCGGAGTGCCGCAGAACAAACCTCCGATATGGCTTGGGAGAAGGCAACGGCGGGTTCAACAGGGCCGTTTCGAAATGGTCAGGGTGGTCCTTGACCTAAACGTTCGCTCTGGTATTTCAGTCGCGAAGTGTTGATGTCTTCGCCAGGCGTCCATCAATTAAATGTAAGATATGAAGACAAGAATTCAGGCAAACGCATCTTTTCTGTTCAAGGCGTCCACAACGTTCCTAAATCTCAAGAAGGGAGCCCGAGAAGTCAGGTATGACCTGCGCCACTCTGGGCGTAAGCCACAGAGAGCCACACAATAAAAAGATCAGAATTCGCCGTATTTTTTGAGGACAGGGATCTCACAGATCGGTGTGCGAATCTTCGAACAAAGCATATCTCTTTCAGGACTAACAGGTCCGTGCGCTAATGCATGTAAATCGGGACATCTGCCAGGATGTCCTCGGCAAAGGCAGGTCGGGGTATCGCCTGCCTCTATCGTTGGCGACATCATTTGTGTGCCGCGGGGTGCTCTATATCTGAGACACCTCTAAACCTCTTTTGTCTCGATTTTCGCTGAAAGTAGAAAGTTGTTGGACGAGTTCACAGTGTCACTTCAAGACTTTGTTGGCATAGCGCAGATGCAAGCCTATCAAGCACAGAGCTCTTCACGTATTCGCCAACCATGCGGTGGGATGGTGCTTGATCGTCCGTGAAAGAAGCTGCTTGCAGGACGAAGCACTGCGAGCAGTCTGTTGTAGCCGACTACTGTGGTTCGCGATGGTTCAGGTCGATGACGCTGACGAAGGCAACTGGCATTTGGAGACACTGCAGCGGGGCAAATAAATCCTCCTACCGAGCAGTAGCTTGTGCAGAATGTCGTAAGTGGTAGCAAGCACTGGCAGCTGAGTTGTGGGTGTGGCAGCAAGGTGCATAACCGGTGGCAGCAGTTCCCTCCCTTCCAGGCGTCTGGCCAGAACGACTGTTCGAAAAATCAACGACATCATAGACTCGGGGAGAAAGGAACGGCCGGCAGTGGATGTGCCATGCCTTTTCCATTTTCCACCCGTGGATGGCGTTGTTCTGTATTGACTGCAGGCGATTGGGTAGAATCGACCTTAATGATGGTCACTGGTGAGGCATTGTGTCAATGCAATAGTCATCAGTCAGGCAATACGGGTCGACATTTCAAGCAGTGATGATATGTTACGAGTCGTCACGGAGCACATAGTATCAGGCGTAAGGTCGTACCACCCAAGCGATCGAGCACAACCTCTCGCCTATGCAGTAGACACAAAAGTCTCGTAAGCCTACTACAGGACGATACCACGCTGCAGCCAACATGCTGGCGCCAGTGCAGGACCGCCTCCAGCATCGCTCTTGCTTCAAGCGTGACCATCGCACGGAAACCATTGGTCGTCTTGGGGTCGTGATTTGCTAGCCATTGGGGAGGCATCTCATCGACAAGGTCGCGAACTGAAGTGGTCGAAGGCGGACCGATGAGGGATTCTCCCCGGAGCGCCGTGTTCCAAGTTCAAGATACCTGCACGATGCGAGAAAGACTTTTAGCCAAGATAGGTGTTCTTTGAGAAAGCACATTGCAGGGGATCAGGGATCCTTGCCTCCCTTTTGTATACCTTGTAGAGATGAGCATCGCGGCAAGAGCCGTGTGGTCGATATCCGCAATTCGCATGGGAAGCAAATATAGCACAGCATTCTTTGAACCCATCGACGTCTCGCAGCCCACGAGTATCGTTGACAGCATTGTGAGCCCGCTTGGCTGCCCTGATATCAGATAAGATGTGTTTTTGGGTACTTTGCAATCCGGGTGCGGAGAGCCATCGCTTGGCCAGGCATGTGAACTGTTGACATCAGACGTTGGCGCAGTCTGCAGCAGGCATGCAAATTATCTGTCAATATTGCCGTTGCGTTCGTTGCAAGTGCACATATACTCGCGCTGAGGCTCCTGGGTCGTACAAGTACTCATTCATCGGAGTCCAAGTGCGTAGAGGAATGTTGAGATTTTGATTGTGTGGGTTGGAGAAGGCCGAGATTCCACTCCGGCCTTAGTGTCGGCCGGTCAACTCGCGGTGACGGTATCGGAAACCGCACAATCAGCCCCTTTTCTAATTCTATTATTGTTGAGGCTCTCCGTTGTTTATATTCCACGATCAAGTGTGAACAGTCCGCCTATAATTTGGAAATCAGATCAAATACATACACACTGCAGAAGCTCGACAACAGGAGCAATTAGACCAAAGCAATTGTAGAACAGCGTTTGTTCAGACTCACCGCCACTCGCAAATTACCAAAAAAATATCCAGAATGTCTCGAGCCGATATTCGCCTTGATGGCAAAGTCGCCCTGATCACTGGAGCTGGGCGTGGTCTTGGTGCCATCATGGCAAAGACCTTCGCTGAGCGTGGTGCCGATGTTGCTATCAATTACGCAACGAGTGCCAAGCCCGCAATGGCCGTGGTCCAGGAGATTGAGAAAATGGGTCGCAAGGCTATAGCTATCCAGGGAAGCGTAGAGAGCAAGGCCGATATTGACAACGTGTTTGCCAAAGCTGTCGAGCACTTTGGCAAGCTGGACATCGTCGTCAACAACGCCGGAATGGAAGCGTTCGCCAAGCCCGAAGAGGTTACGGAGGAGCTATGGGACAAGGTCTTCAACATCAACACCCGAGCTCAGTTCTTCGTGGGCGTGAATGCGCTCAAGTACCTTGGCCGTAAGCGTGGCCTAAATTCGGTGACATTTGTTTGCTGATTTGAACACAGGTGGTGGACGTATCATTTTCATGTCTTCAATCGCAGCTGCCATGTCGGTACCTAACCATGCTTTGTATGCTGCATCGAAATCTGCCAATGAGGGTCTTTGCAGATCCTTCGCAGCCGATGCCGGTCCCAAGGGTATCACCGCCAACTGCATCGCTCCAGGTGGTATCAAGACCGACATGTTCGAGCAGAATGCTTGGCATTACGCTCCGGGCGGAACACCAGAGACCCCCATTTCCAGCATCGAGGCCGGCATCGCAAAATTGGTTCCTCTAGGTCGTGTTGCCGTGCCAGCCGATATTGCTCGTGTTGTCATGTTCTTGTCGCATCCTGACAGCGAATGGATCAACGGTATGAGCATCCCGCACGATTTGAGACAAAGACAATTCTAATGACAAAATAACAGGTCAGATCATCCGCTTGACGGGAGGCGCTGCGAATGCATAGAAAGCTGCCTACTCCAGGTATATTTCACAACTGAGCTTTTAGAAGACCTCAAAAGCGAGCGACTGGTCAATCTTCGGTACCGGCATTATCTATAATGATATCATAGCAGTCTAGATCGACCCTACAACCGATTTCAACTTCCCAACGAAGGAAGTCACAACTTGCCTGTTTGAGTAATCAGCACTGCCAGTGAATTGGCCTAGGAACCTTCGCAAATTGACGCCCTTTCTCCCATCGGAATGGTGCAACCTGAGTATGCATGCTCTGACTCCGATGACCTAGATACCCCAGCTCCTCCTCCATGCCTGCGGCGCTATCTTCATGCCATCTTTTGCGCGTGCATGCAAACCTTTGCAGCTGCCACAACTTCAGACCACTACTTTGGGCTAATTCATGTCTGACCGAATCTGCGACGATATCTGCGAATCACACCTTCCTTGCGCAGATCTCGAACCGACGCAGGATTCTGATAAACACCGACTCTCTTAGACCTGCCATTGAGGTTGTCGTCGCTATACTAAGGTTTGCAGAGCGGTGTGGTAGGACAGACAATCGCGGGATGGCCAGCGGACAGTGTCGGCGAACGTAAGCGCCGATGACCGACGTACTTCCTGCAAGGCTCCCCCAACCCTGCCCATAAACTCATACAAGGCTCTTCCTATAGGACCATCTGGTCTGACGCAAAACTTTCCCGTCCTCTTCCAACCGCCAGATTCCTCAGGTACTCGTCGGCAGTGGAACCATCGTGCAGCAGTCCTGATGCGCATGCAGTATGCAGGGTATATCTAGGGTTCCCGATGCAAGATCTTCGGGTCGTGCCTGCCGCACATCACGACGCTCCGCTTCGCCGCCATTGCTTGCATCAGATGCCGGCTCGACTTGCAGTCGACGGGCCACGGCGACGGAAGTCACTCGACAACCTCGTCGAGATGGTCTTTTCGTCGCGTATGGCAGTCGTTGTGCATGCGCGACATTATATGCATTGGCTGGCGATCACGATTCTCGCACGCGCCTTGTGCCTACCAATACACCGCTGGTGGCGGTTTTACGGCCACTGACGAAGGTGACAGTCTCAACTACCACAGTATCTCGTTCTGGAGGAAAGGCAGGATCAGGCATGCCCGCCAACTCTCCGACGATGCATCAGCTGATGTTAGTGGGATGCCTCTTCTGCTGACAGTTTACCCCTCCAATGGTCGTGTTCGGGCGCCCCTCAGCGCTTCTTCGCTCTACATGCGAGCAAATCATGCGCCTGACCATGCGTCGGTGGAATTGGGATGGCGCCGGGCCCCGAGAGCCTCGCCTTCCATCGTCATCGGCCATCGGTGTCTCGATAATATGTCTTCTTGGGTCATGAAGCAGCTCACTCGGTCATCTGCTAATCGGACTGCCAGACGATACCACTGGGTGCTTCATACTCTCGATACCACATCTTCACTCGAGCTCTACTTCTATGCTGTTCCGCTCGAGAAATCAGCGGTGGTGCGGTCGCAAAACCCTTCGACTCTCTGCTCAGAAACCATGCCCACGAACCCATCATACGACACTCTTTGCGATCCTTGCTGTTCTCTTTGACAACAAGTACCCAAACTTGCTCCGGGGTTCTTCCTGCGAATGTTTGCTGATGCTCCCATGACGTGTCCGCGACGTCTCACCCTACAAGATCGCTTGCCGTTCCCTACATTACCTGCCGCCAGAAGCGTCCTAACGCTGCCACTGCCGCCCGCAACTCTCCACAAGTTCGCACCACGCAACGTGTCATGGTTAAGACTCTTTGCTGCTCTACAGCGATGATTGAGTGTACGACGCATGGTATGGTCGTGGTATGCTCTATGGAATGCCCGGGACATTCTATTGTCTCCCCTATGAGCACAGCCGACGACACATGTCAGCCCTGCGCTCTGTCTAGTGTCTCTTGTGCCCTTTCTCCTTGCGCCGCAAAACAGACCGCCTTCCCCTAGTTCGGGCATACTGTGTATGCTGACTTGGCAGATCCCGACCACGCACGGAGAAGCGCCTAAACGCTGCTGCCTTAGCACATCTGCTCTAAACCCACCCTACGAAGATCAACCAGTCGCCGAGAAATCCCCATCGGCTATCTTGGTAGCCCGGAAGGCTCACTGAGAACACGGTCGTGGACGACTTTGCAGACAGTCATGACTGTATCACAAGCTGCTAATCATACGCTGTGTTAGCGACGCGGGCTTCTACCTAACCGTCGCCATGGGAGTGATCTGTGTTTGCTCCGATGTAAATGACTTCTTATCACTCAATGGCTCCGCAAGAATAGTCAATGGAGTCAGTGTTGATAACGGTCAAGTGATCCCGCTTCCAAGAGACGAGTCAGGGGCCCGAACATACTGGTCCCGTACACAGATATAAGAAGTCGCTGGCCTGAGATGCATGATGCTGAGATGCATGATTATGCCGTGGGAAGGACTGCCGCGGCTGGATCTCGTTGATGACGGTGGCACGAATAGCAGTCCCCTGGCATTATATAAACATCGTCAGCTTTGATAGCTGCTCTCGTCCTGGTCAGTCTCGTCTGGGGTGGGCATGATTGGGCCTTTTGCCCAACGCACTGTCGCATTGAACCGAGCAAATGAGAGAACGAATGTGCAGTTGCGGTCAGAGGTCAGCTGCCTCTGGTGGGTGACATAGACGCTCACATCAGCGGCCGACAGTGCTGGTAGTGGAATAAATGGATGCCGACGCAAAGTCCAAGATCCGAGATGGTTTGACTATTATAGCTAGTTTTTGGGCGGACTGTTCTCCCACGACGCCGGTTGACAAACTGCGCTACGCAAGACCGGGTTACCACATTTTATGCGGGATGTATCTGTCGCTAATCAGCCGATTTCGTAGGACGGCAACCCGAGAATAAGTGTGTTACCTCGAGAGCAGACGTATATTTGAGTGTAAACACGTGACACAACAGTGTATCAATTGCTGCTAGTGGTCCGCAGACCCCCGAAGCACATTCATATTCGCTGCTCACATTGACCGAGATGTTCAAGATCTTTACAACGCTGTCTCTCGTTACGTGCTGGATTCCACACCCCGAAGAGAGCACAACTACGTCGTGATCATTATTCGCGCAAGGGAGAGTGGCTGTCAGAAACCTTCATGCATTCTCAAGGTGATAGGCGAGGTGGCCATCATTTATATGGGAGGCGACTCAGAAGCCGCAGCTGCTTCCACGACTGGGATTTACAAAGCGATTTCGTGTCATCGCTATCTAAACTTCCCATGCATTCCCTGGCCCGTCCGCCGCCACATTACGAACACGTCGTGGAGCATTTCCTCCGGACCTCAAAACATGAAGGTACCCGGCTCGTCGCGATCGCATCCCACAGATACTCAGTCTCTCACCCACGCCTCAGTGAGCAGCCCCCTCACCCTTATGCAAATGATAATGATGATGATGCATCGCCGCCTTCTTCCCAAACTTGCAACAACTCTCATGCCTTCGAAGATTGTCCAGCCTCGGAAACCTTCTCTTGCACCCCAAATGATGCCACTTGCACACCAAATGTTCGTGTTTCGGTCGGTGGCTCGCCATGTGTCGCCGGAAATTGCTGCCTTCAGCGTTGAGAAATGCGTTGCAGATGTGGCACCACGCTTTGTTGCCATTGGTGGTGTGTGATTGCAGATGAGTCATGAGGACTTGCTTGTACATGAAGGACTTGGTGCAGCCTGGGAAGGTGCATTTGAAAGGGAGGGAGGCAGTGGTAGTGGTCGAGTTGGGATCGGCGGAGGTGGAGGGTTCGGTGTTGAGTAGGGAGGAGAGGTGCTTTTTGGAGATATGTCCTGTGAGGGCGGCATCGGAGCCGAACGTCGCGGTGCAGTCGTTCCAGGCGCAAGTCGTGGTGCCTTTCGGGCAATGGGTGGATTTGAGGTGTTTCTTGAGGTCGGTTATGGTGGCGAAGGTTGCCGCGCAGGTTGTGCCGCAGGGCATCAGCCATTGGCAAGAGATGAGACTCGGCGTAGAGGGTGCTTGAGATTTGTGATCGGAATTGTTGAACTGCGGCGCGAATGGAATACTGGAGGCTGGTTGCGGAAGTACTGGTTGTGGGGTTTGCTGTTGGGTGTGGATTGCGGCAGGGTGACAGCTGAATTGCGGCATCTGAGGTGCCCAGCCCAGGTCGGGAGTATTGAAATCGAGCACATTTGGGTCCGAGCACAGCTGAGGCTGCAGCATAGCACTCCAGTAGTTTTCCATACATTGATGGTGCATGGAGACGTTGACGGGCGCAACGCAGATCACTCCATGATCCAATTGAGTCTTGCGGAGAGATCGGGTTGTTGAATGGCGTGAGGTCCATCGACGTATCGAAGTCGGCCGGATCAATGGTGAAAGAATTCTCCTGCCCGAGCAGTGGAACGCTGTAGCTCAGACCGAGATCCTTGTCATCGACGAATTGTTTCCAGTCGATACAATCGAAGCAATGGAAGTCGCAATCATCACACATCTCCACGCATGCCGGACCATGTTGACCGCAGGCCTGCTCATGTTCGTCGAGACACTCGTTGCAGTCCTTGACACAATCATCCTGATCAGCACAGAGGTCGTGGTCTTCGAGGCAGTCCTCGCACTGGTCGCAGTCGCCGCCGCATGATTTCGGCGATGAAGGTCCACTGCCGCAGCATGCATCGTCCTTGAGGTCTATGCAGCTCGGCTGTTTCGGCTCAGGTGTGCAGCATTCATAGTGTGGTGACTTGGCTTCCGTTGGCTCACATTTGAGTTGATTTCGTAAGCGTGACTGACGGGATCGTGATGGGAAGGCATCACGCGGATCAACGAAGCCCGGCTGTGGATGGAAGTCTCGAGCCATCAGGCCATCTTCTGGAGGAGATCCGAACATGATTGCTCGCTACTTCTCGCTGTTTGAACGTAGAGTGGACGATGGTTGGTAGGAGTGCGGGACTCGCGGTGACGACTTCCGAGATTTTCGAGAAAGTCTTGGCGCGGGGGGAGGTTGGAGATTGAGTAAGGCTCGAGTCATTGGAGGACTCCTCAACATGACACGATTCTTTGGCATCATATGCACGATTTGATATACTATGGGTACTACTGCTCGCTTGAACAGTATTCATTCACCACCGCCACAGCTACTCTGATACTTCCAGCTCACCCCATCACTCTGAAGATTGGGTATTCGTCGCCCACATCTACGGGAATCAGGTTGAATGTGACATACGAGTCGATGTTCTCTGGCTCCAAGGCAATGAACGCCAGCGCCGCATTCTTCTGGCGTGTACTGACCAAGAAGCTGCCAACAGGCAGTCGGACCTCCTTGTACAGCGGCTCCGCTGTCACCGTGTTCAGAACGTGACCCTCGTATATCGCATCGTCCAATTCTGTTGAGGTGATGTTGAGTACTTCAACAGTCCCACGATACTCATAATCCAGCGTCTCGACCTCGAGGCCATAGTTCTCGAGTCGAGCAGCAACATCCGACCACGTTCGAGGAATAAGGTACGCCTCGGGTCTCGGGCGTGTAAGGTTGGCAACTGACGGCGTGGTTTCCCAGAAATCAACCTCAACCTGCTCGATCTCTCCGGTCTCGCGGTTCACCATTGTGAAATTCCGTACTGAAGGCGTGTAGGAGTCTGTGATAACAATGTCGTCGTTGCCGTTGATGAATTCTTCTCTCGCGTCCTCGACAATGGAGAGGGCACTGTCGAAATTGTCACGTGCAGTCTCAAGAATGGCCTCGAGCTTGAGCAGTCCCGTGGTGACACGGCGCTGAAAGTGCTGATCGGCCAGCCTGATTCCTCGTAGCTCACATAGGAAGGAGATAGTTTGTGTCAGACCGTACGCATTGCGACCGGTACGAGCCTCAGTAACAGCTTCTTCGAACTCTATGCGGGAGCCCTGCGTCCGATTTGAGGAGCCAGTAACGTATGGCTCCCAACGTAGTCCATTGGTTTCCAGCCGCTCGCCCATGGCGGGGATGAACACTTCGAGCAATTGTTCGCGGATCGCAGGATGGATGTTAGGGTTGATACCACCTGAGATAAGCGCATCCGCGCCGTGTTGGTAGTCTCCGCCGTAGACAGTGGGTGCGGTGAATTCATGCATGTCGATGGAGATGTGAGGCGAATAGTCCATGAATACCTTCTTAATAACTCTGGACTGCTGTCGATCAAGCTTGAGATGCTCGCGGTTGCCATCAAGATTGGAGGCGAGTTGTCGTTGGAAGTAAGCAACACCATCTGGGTTGTATCGGGGGAGGATTTTGATGTCCATGCGTTCGAGCAGGGAAGCAGTCCAGGTCTGGTTGGCGTCCATTTTGCCAAGAAGGGCCATGACAGACTGGTCACCAGCTGGCTCATCACCGTGGATGGCGGCTTGAATGTAGACTTTGAGCTTGGTGGCATTGTTAGAATCCGGGCTGGTGAGGAAGAGATATGGAATGGGCCGCCCCTCTTCTGATGAGAACTCAGCGCCTAGGTAGTGCAGCCAGTCGTTTCTCCTGGCGATGGTGCGGTACCAGTAGTCTAGTGAGCTCGGTCAGTATACAAGCGAAGAATTTCGTGGCACATCGTACCCATCTCTGCATCGTCCGTCGGTCCATCTGTTCCATTTGACCAGCCTGGTGGCGTGGAATTCGGCCTCAAGAATGCAGGCGAGAGAAGTTCGATACCGTCGACATCGGGGAAGGCTTGAGCTACGATATCGCTGTCTTTGATCGTCCCACGTTGATTCTCACCATACTGCAGACCTTGAGCACTGACTCCAGTGATGGCAGCGGCCAGCGCAAGCACACGGAAGTACATAATGACTATTCCGTGCGCTTTCTTACCTGACATCGATGAATCCAGTGCTTCCTTTACTTGACAGGTCGCTCGAGCATTATATCTCTCCGCTCGATATTACGGCGATATCGGTAGAACCATCATGGCGGGCGATATAGGCACATTCGTGGCGACCTTGCCCGAGAATCACTTGGTTCACGGAAGCGTTGGTCGTAACGTGGACGTGATTCGTTGCTTATCGGAGAAACAGCAGTATCTCACCTACCTAGTGTCTTGGGTCACAACGGCAGTAAAGAAATGTCCGCTTCGACCTTGTTAGTAGACCGAAGGAGGAAGGTCAACAAGGAGGGCGGGGAAACACGAGGCAGATCATCGATATCCCACTGCGTAGCTCGTCTCTTGGCCCTTGGCTGGACTTGGCAGCGGAGGACCACGTAGCTGTAGTGCTGTACTGTAGACAGGGCAGTGTCGGGGTCGCTGATGCCGTGCACCTTTCTTGGTCTTGCTGCGCTGGCGGAGTAAGTGAAGAGGTGGGAGGGGGAATCGATTCAAGTCAAATCCGGACTTAGGCCACTATCTCCTCGTTGGTGTGATTGTCCGAGGTTGGCAGCAAACATCAACAAAACGACTTCATGACCCAGCACGAACGCCAACTTCGTATGTTGTGGGCGGGTCCAAATGGTATTAGGGCTGCTCAACGGCACGGGTAAGGTCCTCCCGAAAATTTGACTGCAAGACCTCTATGGCACCGCCGAATCCTCTGCGACGCGCGACGCGTCCTCGAACGCGTTCCGGCTCAACGAGACCACGAACGCCAGCGCTTGACGAGCACAGCGAAGATGATGCACCTGATTCGGCAGCGCGGCAGCTTGTCGAGACGATGAATGAGATGAGCGGAAAAAGGACTACAACCACGAGGCGATCGATGCGGGTCCGTGGGGAAGACCCCGTCTCCACACCCGAACTACAACCACAAGTAAGAGAGAGACGACGCCGTGCCAGCACAACAGGCTTGCCTGAAGTTGGTGAGCGACCGAGTGAGGCTCGGCGGGTGCGAGAGCCCGACGCCACGCAGAGTGCAGCCTCAACGCCAGGTGAAGGCAGGCCTGCCATCACGCGGACAGGAGCTCCCGGTCGTCCGCCGAAGAACAAGAGTCCTGCTAAACTGAAGCGGCGAACTACTGGTCCCTCTATTCCTAAGCCGAGGCGCGAACAAGATGTGTACGATTGGGAAGTGGAAGAAGAAGTCGAGCAAGATCCCCCTGTCGCGCCAGCCTCCGAAGATGATGATGTCCCCAGAGGTACGGCTGCGCCAGCGCCAGCGAAAGTGCGACAGCTCGGGAGGAAGAAAGCCGTCGATCGATCGCCATTGAAAGGTCAAGGGGTGGTCAATACCGATGTGCCAGGCGTGAATCTCAGTAACAACGAGTCACCTGTCCGAACACAACGACGGCAGCCACGAAAGGCATCGGCTCAGCCGCGGGACCCTCGTGCTGGCGCAGCGGCTTCACATTCTATGTCGCAGCCACCCAGATTGGATGCGTCACAACCAGTGAGCCAAGACCATGACGAAGAAGAAGGCGATCACTTAGTAGTCAATCCTGGCGGAGACGCTGAGGATGAGGAAGCGACGACCGCCAAGTAGCAGAGCACGACGTTGGTGAGACGTCCGACCAGGAAGTCGATGACGACGAGCAAAAGGATGAGCAGGCCAGGATCAACGGGCACGAAGACGTCGGCGACGAGGCCACCGACCGACTACCTCTCATCCGTGGAATGGAGACCGAGGCCCATTTACACGGCTGCCAGGAGTATTGGATCGATTTATTCCTTGCCGAGCAAAAGTTTCGACCATCCCGAGCCGACCGTCCCAGTTCTGCAGTTGCCAAAGACATGTATGAAAGTATCGTCGAGTTATGGCTGCAGGTGAAAGAGCGCCGCTTCGATGCTGCTGCGGTGACAAAAACCATTGAGACGTTGGAAGTTAAGCTGCGTGAGATCCGGGAAGTTGGCAGCATGCCCAGCGAGTCGGGAGTACGCCAGAATACGCGAAGAGAGTCGCAGAAACGAGTCGGCGATCTCTATCAGATCATCATTCCACGACTTGTGCGGACTACGAAGTTCGTTCTCAGAGCTGTCCGACCAACTGAAGATACATCACTCCATGACGCCAGGCCACTGATGAGGCTTCTTGAGTTGACACGACGAACAGTCGAGAGAGCTCGAACTTGGCAACCGCGACCCTCGTCACTCGACGGAGAAATGATACTTTCTACCACGCACAGTTCAATCGGAGGCAGCATCAAAAGCATCCTTCATGAGTACAACTCCCACTACAAGGCTATTGAGCGCCGACAAGAAGCGCAGCGAGCTCACCTTGCCGAACAGGAGCGCATTCGAAGAAGCGAGGAGGTGACACGCGAGTACGAGCAGGCTCAGTATCGCCGGAGGAAGCAACTGGAAGACAAAGCACGTGCACAGGTCAGAGAAGCGGCAAGAAAGAGGCAAGAAGAGGCGGAGCGTCTGGCCAGGATCAGGGCAGAGCGGGACGCAAGGCGGGAGGCGCAGCGTGCAGCGGCAAGATCAGCAACGGACATGCGTGGCTTCTTCACCCAGTCCATACCTCAGCCTCTTTCACGGCAGGCTGTGATCGACATTGACGATCTCGACGATAACGGCCACCTTCGTGCTTCGCCGCAGCAGACCTGGAGCAATGGTGCAAGACCTGTACCTAGACATTCTGGGACAGGCGTCCGTGCAGCCGTTGCGGAGTGGAGCAAAGACGAAATGAGTGCCTTGATTATGGACCTACAGCGTGAGACTGGTGAGGACCGGTTCGCTATAATTGCGGAGAACCTCAATCGACGAGTGTCTGATGTGGTTGAGCGGGCGATTCGGCTGAAGATGGAATTGACACCAATGATGGAGAGCTTGCCAAACGAAGAGTGGCGATGGCTGACGAGCGTTCATGCATGAGGAATGCTCTGGCAGGACTTCTACCAACGAATCATCGTTTCGGACTACGTGTATGATTAGATGTCTCGGGTATAGAAGAGTAGCATCTGAAGCAATGATCCACAAGGCTACAGTAGCAAGCAGGTTGTGGGCACAAGTACAGTTCCTTACTTGCTCATCACATGTTCCTAGAGGTCCCAGCTTGTCAAGGGGATATGAGGCCTAACACCGCAACGCGAGTTTTGGCAAAATTTACGCGATTTGCTGCTTTGACGACATTGGCTCGCCTGCAACCCAGACCTCTCGACGTTGATCCTCCTCAACCACGCTGCTATCACACTCTTTCCTTTGCTGCAGCATTGTTCGACTTCTTCGTGAGCGTTCCGTAAGCGTATTCTTCATTTCCAGCATTCAGCAATAATCATGGCGGACAAGGCCAAAGACAGCACTCCCCATAAGCCCGCCCCAAGCACATCCACTGCGGCTCGTCGGCCACTGGCTGCAGGCAAACCGACGACGACGACCACGTCCAGAACGACTCCTTCCACCACGGCGCCTAGAACGACGCCTGTGAGTGGGACTCGCACCAGCACGACTACCTCCTCACTCAGCAAGCCACCAATTCGCTCGACCGTGCCGAGCACTGTCCGCAAGCCGGCCTCAACAGCGACCTCAACACCGTCCACAGCGACAGCTACGCATCGAAGCCGGCCTTCGGTTGCATCTGCTACGGGTGATGAGAAGGGCGACGACAAGAAAGATGGCATCGCTGCCCGGCCCAAGCGCATGTCAATGGCACCAACAGCATCTACTGAGCGGCCGGCTACGACATCGTCGCGGTCTGCACTCGGCACTCCTGCAAGCAAGCCGAGCGTAGCTGGTCGCCCGTCAGCAGCTCGGACATCCACCGCAAGCCCTACTGCGGCACGTCAACCAGCTGCAACGCCTGCAAGACCGATCGCAGGCGCCCGAACAACTCGCCCTTCCGCCACCTCAACTCTGTCATCTCGAACGGCGGCTGCTGTAGCACCAGAGAAGAAACGGCTCAGCACAATTCCTGCCTCTCCGGCCGTGGTCAAGGCTGCCGATGATGACAAGGAGAACATCACTGATACTGCCTCCGCCACTCTGAAGCCCCCAACGCGGCCTGTCCTTGGCTCCCGCAAATCCACCCGCTCTGTCGTGATGGAGCAGCGCATACACGAGTACGAGCTGGTCTCGCAAATGCTGTCCGCAGCCATGACCGACGACGGGTCTGGCGCAGCTGATCAAGAGGAGGTCGAAACACGAATCAAGGAACGAACGAACAAGCTGAGAAGCGATCTCGCCAAGGTTCGACAATTTGAGAAAGAGCACGGCCGAGCACCAACCGCCGAGGAGCTGTCTGACGCTGACTCCCTGGCCGAGGAGGACAAGGAGTTGCTGGGGCTGGCTGAGTCTGGCAAAGATGGCGAACCCGTGCCCAATAACGAACCGAGCAAAGAGCTGGATGACCTCCGAGTCAAGGAGGCAACACTGACTGCCAGAGTCGCCGAACTCCAGGCCGCGGCCGAAGCAGCAACTGCTGAGCATGAGCGGGCTCTACAAGCTCAAGCCGATCAGGTCCAAGATTCGAGCAAGTCTGACGCCGAGTTAGCTGAAGCTCGTGAGAAGGCCGCTGCCTTCCAAGCACAAGTCGCCGAACTGACAGCTCAACTCGACACTGCGAGCGTCGACGCTACCAAGCACAGCGAAGCAGCCACAGAGTCACAGCTACAGATCGAATCCCTGCAAGGTCAGCTCCAAGACTACCAGTCCAAGGCGAAGGAATCCGAAGTTGCGGCTACGAAGCAGCTTGAAGAAAGTCGCAACCAGATCACCACTCTCACGGCCACGATCGAAGAGCTGCGGGCAAATCTTGACACCTTCAGAGGCGCAGCAAGGGCGATGAGGCTGACCTAGCAGAGAATAGACTCCAGATTGAGTCGCTGCAAGGTACAGTCGAAGATCTGACAGCCAAACTGGAAGCCCTAACCAGCGAAGGGAGTGCCAGCAAGCATTCTCTGAGTGAAAGCAAGGCGCTGGTCGACACGCTTACTTCTGAGATCAATGCGCTGAAGGACTCCGCCATGTCAGATTCACAAGGGAAGGACTCGCAGCTCACAGAAGCTCGCAAGCTTTCTGAGGAGCTCGATTCGCAAGTGAAGGACCTGTCCACGAAGCTCGAGGCGCAGACGTCCGAAAGCACTACTCACCGTACAGCACTTGATGAGTCGAACAAGCTATCCCAGTCTCTGAGCGAGGAACTGGAGACCCTCAAAGCGGAGCTCAGGGCGGCCTCTGCAGAGAAAGAGCAACAGATATCCGAGGCTCAGGCTCTATGCAAGACCCTAGAAGCCCATGTCGCTGACTTGACGGAGAAGCTCGAGGCGCGATCAGCTGAACATGAGTCGAGACTGGTCGCGAGCCAGAAAGAGGCTACGGCGTTGAGCGCGACCATTGCGGAGCTCGAAGCTCGTGCTGAAGAATCAAGCAAGTCCAGCAAGTCGATAGCAGAGGAAGCCCAGCAAGCCCTTGAGGCCGCCCGAAAGGAGCATGCTCAACAGCTGGCTAAGCACAAAACCGACCTCGAAGATCTGCAGCAGCAATTGCAGGATTCAAAAGCGGCTAGCCAGACCTCCGCGGAGGCCTCTAGCGCACAAATTGACGATCTGGAGAAGAAGCTTGCGGACGCGTTGTCGAACGCCGAGGCGGGCTCTGCGGCAAGTAAGGAGCAGACCGATAGTCTGACGCGCGAAGTGCAAGATCTGACAACACGTCTGGCGGAACAGAGCGTCTCGACAGCGGAACAGCATAAGAAGGCATTGCAGAGCTTGCAAGAAGAGCACGAGTTGGCGCTCTCACAACGCCAGGAGGACTCTGCAACTCTTCAGGGCCAAGTTGACGATTTACGAACTCAATTGGCCGACTTGCAACAACGCGCCCAAGAAGCGGAACAGAAAGCACTTGAATCGCAGAACACCTTGGTTGCTGAGCATACCAGCAAATTGTCGACACTCTCGAATGAGCACAAGCAAGCACTCGAGGCTGCACATTCGGAGCATGCCGCCAAAATCGCCGGACTTACTGCAGGCCATCAGAAAGATCTGGAGGCCGCCCGAACCGATTCGTCCAAACTCGACGAAGTTATCGCCAAGCATGAACGGGACCTGGAAGATCAGATGCGAGTGCACGATGAGATCCAAGCTGGCTTGTCCTCGTCGCACTCCAAGGAGATGGCAGATCTGAAGAATGCACACGCCGAGGAGAAGAAGCTGGAAGCCAACCGACTGCAGGAAACGCATGCGGGTGAACTCGAAACCCTACGAAACCAGACCGCTTTTACGGCTGAGCAGATTAAGATGCTCCAGGCAGAGCTGGAGGCCGCCCGGAATGACAATTCCAGCGAGCTCGAAAGCCTGCGAAATCACAGCGCATCCACAGCTGCGCAAATCGAGAGGCTACAGGCAGAACTGGAGGCCGCGCAGAAAGATTATTCAACCGAGCTCGAGGACCTGCGAAATCAGAAAGCAGAGCTGGAGGCCGCCCAGACCGGCCGTTCTAGCGAGCTTGAAACACTAGGGAATCAGCGCACATCTGCAGCCGAGCAAATCGAAAAGCTGCAAGCGGACTTGAAGGCCGCCCAGGACGACCATTCTACACTGCTCGACGGTGTGGCGACGACGCATGAAGCCAAGCTCGCCAGTCTCAAATCCGACCACGAGGCTGCCATTGATGCCCTGAAGAAGACTCATGCTACTGCTCTGGCTGCTGCTCAAAGTGAAGGCAACGACTCGGCGGCTGCTTCTGCCGCGGAGGCCGCCCTGTTCAAGGACCAGCTGGACGACGCGATCAAAGAGGCAGAAACAGTAGCTGCTCAACTGAGTGAGCTGGAAGACACCCACCAGTCCGAGCTTTCGAAGCTACAGAAGCAATTGCAAGATTCCCAGCTGAAGGCCGCCCAGATGGCCGAACTCAACGACTCTCATCAATCTAAAATCTCGGCTCTACAGCAGCAGATCGAAGAGACACGATCGAAGTCTGCCGAGATAGATCACCTCAAAGGTTCCCACCGGTCCGAGATCTCCGCCCTCCAACAGCAGCTCGCCGCCATTCAAGAAGAGCACAGCACAGCCCTGGCCAGCCACTCAGACGCCCTCACCGACCTTGAAGGCCGCCTGAACGAAGACCACGCCGCCGCAGTCCAACAGCTCAAAGACACACACTCTCAGCGTGTGAAGCAGCTAGAAGCCGATGCCGCATCTGCCCTGCAGAGTCTCGATGACATCGAGGAGCAGCACGCCGCCGCTCTGAGTGCTGCACGTTCCGAGACTGATGCCGGCAATTCAGAGAGGGTGCGGACTCTTGAGCAGCAGTACCGAGCGGCTGCCGATGAGCTTGATGCTGCGCGATTCCAGGTGTCAACGCTGAAAGGAATACTGAAGGACGAACAGGACAAGGCAGAGGAGGCGAGGGCTGAGTTCGAGGCGGAGGTCGAGAAGGTCAACGCAGAGTTGAGTACTGCGGTTGGGAAGATCGCGGGTATGAGTTCGCGAATGGCGGATATGGAGAGGGAGTACGGCGAGAAGCTGAAGGCTGCTTCTGCAGCGGCTGCGGCAAAGTCGCCTTCTATTGAAAGCCCCTCGCCCAAGACTGGCAATGGTGTCGGCGCGAGCAAGTGGGCGTCCTCCCCTTCGCCTGCCACGCCGACTCGGCCCGCCGAGCAGCGGCAAGTCAGCACAAGCTCAGGCAACGACTTGCCTCACGCCACACCTACGTCGCCAGAACACAGTCGTGATATGGATGCTGCTGAAGAACACTCAGGCCACGGAGGCCTCGGACCTCACGGCAAGAAATCCAATGTCTCCGGCCAGCTCAAGGGCATTGAGGAGGGACTCCGGCAGCTAGACGATCTTAGCGAAGAAAGTCTGCGTGGGAACGAGAAGATGGCTGCTATCCTCAGCCGAATACCTGCGCGTGATGATGGGCTAGAAGGAGAGGAAGGCGGTCGTGACAGCGAGGATGGTGTTGGTGGCGTTGGCATGGGTGGTGAGGCCTAGGAGGTCGGCAGCTCGGCAACGGCAAAGGGTGCGATGACCTTCGGAAGCTTGAAGAGCGAGGCTGAGTTGAGGAGGGTGTTGGAGGCACTTGTCATGGAGAGACAGGAGATGGTCGCTAAGGCTGCTTCAACATGAGATGACCGACTTCCATTGGTGAACATAGCGCTGGAAGGCCGGTCTGGAGGATTTCGAAGGCTCCATTTGTTCTTGGTCATCTATTGGGTTCGATTCGAGCGTCTCCAGTTATCTTTCCACAATGATACCCCTAACGTTTGTACACATCACATCTGCTTCTTTTCTCTCTATCCTCAATCAAGCCCGCCCGATCTGGATGGCTGGACTAGTGACCAGTCTCGGACGTGCTTCATTGGCCACTCACTCAACCCGAAAGAGTCGACACTCCAAACGCAAAAAGACAGAACTATGGCAGCACCCGGAATCGAACCAGGATCTTCATCAATCGCGAGGGGTGGCCAGACGCCTACGCGGTGAGCCCTGCTCACGGTGGCTAGAGGCCTACGCGCCCTCTTAGGACCGAAGTCTTACTTGATGTGCTCGCCGTTGCACCATGCTGCCGACCCGTGAAGCGATGAGTGGACAGTTTCTCAGCGTTGATTGTTGGGCAGAATCTGGGGGCTGTAAATTATGAGGCTTGGTTCAGTGACGACTGTGAGCTAGGTTGAAGCCTATTCGATATGGAGGAACAGTGAATGGGAAGTCAGAGGCATATAAGAAGACCTAGCCAATCCCAGGAAGAGTCACCCTCCAGAAATAGTGTCCGTTCAGTCCTACTTCAAGATGCGAAGCATATCCACCACAAGGGCGGCGGAGCGGAGATGCCACGTGGTTGTTGACGCTTCCCCAGGAAGCCGCAAAGTCTCCATGAAGATGTGAGTATTGAATTTATTCTCCATTGACGGACGCGACGCTTCCGTTGAGTGGCGGTCCGTTTTCTCGCCCGTGACTGCAGAGCGACACATACCTACACAAGACTTGGAGATAGCATAGAAGATGGGACCCAGACATCATGAGCGGCGTCCACGATCACGGGCGTCACTTGACTCACTAAGTACCCAAGCACATTCATATGGCACGTAGAGATAGTCGAATACATGGGACGACATCAAGATGGCTGCAAGGTGTACAGATACTCTGTCAGATGCTTTCACACTCTTCTTGGAATAGCGATTTCCGCCATCAGGATGCCCGACATCAGCCGACTGTCACTGACAACTGAGTGCAAGCTTGAGTTGAAGTGAAGGAACATCGTGGTTGCTCAAGGCAACCACTGCGCATCTACGAATGCAGTGACTGCAGCCTGACAACCTACAAATAATCTTATTGCCAGAATTTCTCTCTTCTCGTTTTACCACCCGAACGCACACTCCCAGAAATCTCCCTCCAAACCATCGACGTCTCTCTTGCACTCGTCTGTGTGCACGCATCATGGCCGACGCATCTCAATGGACGCCGCCCAACAATGATGGGGTATTCGCACAAGGTCGCTTCCCAGGCATCGCGCAAATCGTAACAGAGCAGAATCCGCCCACCAAAGTCTGCTATCGCATCGCTCAGAACAATGACGACCTACCTGACATACGCCCTGGCGACTGGACACCCTACAAGTCAGCTGACGATCTCACCGATAACGAGTGGAAGAGCTTCAAGAATATTGTCTTCGTTGTCTCAAGACACGGACCGGAGGATTACGGCGAGAAGGATGATATCGACAGACCATCATGCTGGGCCGCCAACGCGATTGTCGCCGCACGAGTCCAGGAAGGAGTTCATCAAGACGGCATCCAGAACCAGGTCAATAAGTGTATGCAAGGACCTACCCTGTGTATTTGCTGCGATCTCGAGGAGGCCGAAGCCGAATTTCAGAAGCCGATGCCTGCATATCCCATGCGCGAACGAACCGGGGACAACGAGTCTTTTTCTGGTAGCAACAATTACCCAATGCTGATCCCAACCATGGAGAAGCTTGAGTCACTGTACACTCAGCCAGATACTTCAGACAACGACAAGCCCAACATTCACTTCGTGAGCCGTTCTATCTTCTCACTCGCCTTTTCACACGATCCCTGGGGCGGTTTTCTCTGGCGATTCAAGAGCTGGCACAACAAGCTGTATCTGGTGTATCAATTCCGCCAGGATTGGGAAGGAAGACACATAGTCGATATAAAATATCAGCCAACCACAGATCGGCCTCTCCAGAACGCAATACCATACGTCCACGATCCAATCTACGCCATCAAATTCCTCGCCATGCCGCTGAAAGCTTTCGCTACAGGTGGCCGTCCTGGCCGGCCCGCTCATCCTCAAGCTGACCCAGGTGCGCCTGCCCGTCCTGCATGGGAAGCGAATGTTCATCACTGGCTCTCTGAGGAATTCAACGCCAGAGAGGCATGCATGTCACCGAATCAGGCTGAGCAGGTAATCGCGAGGGGCCAAGGTCGGTTGCTATTCTGATCAGTGAGCTGGAGCTTGGTGAGCGCGAAGTTGAAGGCAAGCGAGTAAGGCTGGGGAAGGTTGATTGAGATGTTGAGCTGGTGCTACTCCACTGCCAGATGCATGGCGCTTTCGCTGATTCGATGAATCAAACGGTGTGAAGTGCCAGGGAGAACTCCAGCAGAGCAGTGGCGTATCGCACAGGTATGCGGCACGGAAAATGACAACGGCAGCGAGGAAGCCATGCGCGAAAGGCGTCACCAGCATTCCTTCGCAGGAGGTCAAGCGTATTCAAGGGGCTTCCTCGCTGCTCCCTCGGGTATGCGCGCCTATTCAGATAGCTTCATCAGTGCGGCACGATGAATCAATGGATGCCTGATAATGCTCTTGCATTCGTGTAGAATGATAGAATATCGTTGACGCTCTTGCACTACCTACGTACGGTGGTCCAAATGAGCGCGATGTCAAGTACGGTGAACAGGTAAGTCAAAAACCGCCCTTTATTCCAGCACTGGCAACGTCTAAGTCCACCTCTTGGTGCCGCTTCCACGCCAAATATGCCTCGCATCGAAGCAGCTACAATGTTTTGAGCCGCTGAAGAAGATTCCTGCCGCCTCAGTCGGATGCGTACCGTCACGCGCGTTCCGATGGATCCTCCTCGTCGTTCCGCGCCGACCTCCGCGCCCGCATCATAACCTGTCGAGGCCCTCGAAGCCCGACAACCAGCAGATCGACACACATCTACACGGAGCCAGCAGAGTCATTGCGCTCGACTCGGACGACTCGGGCGAAGCTCACACCGTTGTCCCCACCGCTGCTTCAGCGCTGGTCAGATGCTGCCCTGCCACCTTTGCGACAGGCTGCGTCAAACTTCCAACAGAGCAGTCGAGCACCGTAACAGTGCCATACCCTTGTCACAGGGAGGAGCCCATGGCGACTTGGGTGGATGTTCACGCTCGTCTCGATGAAGCAATATCTCTCGCTCGCGCAAACGCGTTGAGGCGCTTTCATAATGGTTGTCGGGGCCATTGTCGTGCTTCATTCCAATCCCACACCCTTACAAGGTATCTACAGGTAGGGCGGATGCGAACGTGTCGCCCCAAGCTCAAACCTCGAGCCCGGTCAAGGCGGACTCAAGGTGCTTCTGTCCGCCCCGAGATGCGCTATGCCGTTAATCATCTCCACCTCGACATCTACCTCACCTCACATCCTGTCTCCCTCTCATTTCTGCAGCCTCACTGACGGTCGTGGTCTTATCACGCAGCAAAACGTGCATTGTTCGTCTTTGGTTCTAGCTGAATGCTTCGGCCATCATCATCGAGGAGCGTTACTATCAGAAGGCTCGGACCGAAGTTGATCAACCTTGAATTATCCTCTATCGCTTCTTCCTGGTCGCTCGCTGAGCTCTTCGACCGGAGTCAGCAGAACTTGTTCAGAGCAATTTGTGAGCCTACCGAAAGGTAGTCCTGAGCGTCGTGCAGAATAGCAGGATCCAGCCAACGTGAAGGTAAGGCCAACCTCCAGCACCGGAAGCCTGCCGAGACCGATCCCTGGTCCTCGCAGCGTGCATGTGGCGAGTCATGAGCAACGGTAGGCAAAGGCACGAGACAACTATTCCTCGATGCCTGCATTCTATCGCACTTTTCCACCGCACGTTCATCGTACTATCAGATGGGCATAACCCAAATTGCCTGTGGTCGGGCGAAGCATTCTCCGATACCTTGCAGATGGCAATCTGCGTGATCTTCACCGGCAGCATGCCGTGTGCTATCACTGACTTCAGAGACAGCTCATGAGTCGAGGACATCTCTCTGACGCGCAAGTACGAACCCGAGATCATACTCGGCTACTATCACCTTCACAAATTACATGGGTAGCAGTGCGATCGAATCCCGATACAACGCTTCTGTCGGTCGCGCGAATGGCTCCGAAAGACGATGCGCTCTTGACATGCTTACTTCGCCGCTCTTGAAGATGCGGCCTCAAGTCCACCTGAAGCCGAGTGGAGCCGAACTTCGCCGCGCTTCCGAACAACGCCCAGCCCACCTAGGTACATCGAGCTCAAGCCAATTGACGGCAAGTATACGACGACTCGATATCGCCGTTGCTTGAATATCAAAGAACAGCACATCATGGCCGCCGCCGACAGTGCTCAATTCTCCCTAGCAAACCTTCCGCTCGGAATCGCGACAACTACCAACAAGGCAATCTCACAGCATCAAAATGTCCCAGGAATCGTCACTCGCTTGCACGATTACGTCTACTTCCTCTCCGCCATGCAACAAAACGGCCTCTTCGGACACGACACGCTGACGTCTGAGATCAAGGATGCAATCCAGCAGAGAACCCTCAACGGCCTCGCAAGCCTCGGACGACGCGCCCACCGACAAGTCCGAAACGCCATGCAGAGCATTCTACGAGCTACCACCGAAGAGCCATCCTCAATCTCGCCACAGCTGGCTGCCTGTCGCGTACCCATCAGCGACGTCATCATGCACTTGCCCGTTACGATTGGGGACTTCTCCGACTTCTCCTGCAGCGTCGACCACGCGCTCAATGCTGGTGAGGCAGTCGTGGGCATTCGCAAGCTTCCGCCAGGCTTTCTGCATTTTCCTATCGGCTACGGCGGGCGCAGCAGCTCTATCATGGTTTCCGGTGGTGATGTGCTCAGGCCGTGGGGTCATTTCAAACAGGGCAGCACAGTGGCAGAAGTTGTCTTCGCACCTTCGCGTGCTGTAGACTTTGAGCTAGAGGTCGCGTGCGTCGTCGGCAAACCATCTGAACCAGGTCGTTTGGTTCCTGCCTCGGAGGCCGCGGAGCATATATTCGGGTTTGTGTTGCTGAATGACTGGAGCGGTAAGTGAACGCTCCGAACGTGACTGCACAAACAGGAAGCGCTTGTACACTGGTTGAGGTTGCTTGCTGACCAATAATAGCCCGCGATATCCAGACTCTCGAAATGCCGCCCCTCGGACCTTTCCTCGGCAAGTCATTCGCTACCACGATTTCGCCCTGGATCATACTCGCAGATGCGCTGGAACCCTTCCTAGTACCGGTCCCGACGCGCCAGATACCTGTCGCAGACCACTTCACGCCCAGTGGTGAGAAGGGCCATTACGCGGTAACCCTTGCTGTGGACGTCGGCGCTGCTCCTCCCCAGGGCAATGGCGGTAGCGAAGGTACCAGCCAAGATAACAGAAACTCCTCGTTGACGCGGGCGTGCACGTCTCAATTGGACTCGATCTACTGGACAATCGCCGACATGCTGGCACATCAGACAAGCAATGGGTGCGCGATTCGGACAGGTGATCTGTTGGCCACTGGCACTGTAAGCGGAAGCGAAAGGGGATCGTTTGGTTGCTTATTAGAGATCACGAAGGGTGGTAAGGAGCCTTTTGTGTTGGGCGAGGGTAAGATTGGTGGTGAGAAGGCGGAGCGGATGTATCTTGAGGATGGAGATACGGTCGTCATGAGTGGATGGGCTGGAGATATTGGTAGTGACAGTTGCGTCGGATTTGGCGAGTGTCGTGGGACGTTGAGGGCGGCAAGGTCCCTTGATCGCTGAGGAATCTGAAATCCTGGACTCATCGCCGCAGTATCGCAGCAGCATACTGGCAAGGCGACCGTGGACTGTCAAAACGCCAGCCAGAAAGATGCGCGGGCGGGACTCGAAGAGCAGGAGCGGGAGGCCAGGCAGCGGTACGAGGAGGGAAATGGACAATTTAGGGATGGGACTGGGGCGTGGGTGGGGAAGTGGAGGGAAGTGTTATGACGAGGGTGAGTCTCGTGAAGAGGGTGCGTCTGGTGAACACAGTTCGTCTGGTGAAGGGAGTACGTCCGGTGCAGAGAGTACGTCTGATGAAGCTGAGGCTCAGTGAGGGCAGAAGCAATGGACAAGGAAGGTGCGTGGCCGTCTCGACGAAAAGCTTGTCAGGGGCACGCAGGTCTGGCATGGTTGTTGACTGAATCCAGTGACTCAGATCTCATATGAGTGCGCTCACCAGATGAAGTGCAGGGTGCCGGACATCAAGACAGTCAACCGGTCTACTAGAAGAAAGCTCGATCTGGTCTTGCCTACGGATCATTGCCATCCGCTCTTGCCCAACAGTGCTTCCACTCTTGCCAACCATCCGCTCTGACCAGCCCGCATTTGCATTCGCTCTTGCCAATTAGCTCCTGTCGATGACCGTAGACGATGGTCATGAATTTTGTGACAACAATGCCAGCCCATGCTGAGACTGCACTTTATGTAATGCCCCCGTTTTCGAGCTGAGACCTCAAGGCGGGAACCAGACTCGGCAACGGGACGAGCCTCACTTGGTCTCCTTCCACTCCTTCAATCTCTTTGTCGAGTTGTCAAACTCATCGTGGTCGAAGTTGTAATTGGTATAGTCCCTCACATCGAATTTCTGCGCCTGCCCAGGCTTGAGGTCTTCGCCCGCCAGCCTTGTATATTCCTGCAGTTTGTTCGCCCGCGGCCGACGAATTTCCTCGTACAAGGATAATCGGTCCGGGACATCCTCAGGTCTCAAGCCCGCTTCCAACAACACTCCCAACGCAGCGGCGTCCTCGATTGCTACCGCTCCACCTTGCCCTTGGTGTGGCAAGAACGGGTGCGCCGCATCGCCTAGGAGTGCTAGCTTTTCGTCCGACCATGACTCTAGCGGTGTCTATCGACAGTCAGACTCTGGCGTCAATGGACAATGTCGGACTCACCATGTCAAGAAGTTTCCAGATCTTCAAAGACTCCGCGTTCGACTTGTTGAGGATCGACTTGAAGTCTTGGTGAAAGTCTCGATACACGTCCAGCAACATCTCCTTTGTCGCATCGTTGTTCCAGTCTCCGGTCGCCTTACTTGCGGTCTCTTCTTCGGGATGGATACATACGAAGTTGAGGATGCTGTTGTCACTAGTCGGATACATCACCAGGCGTCGATCAGCATGGTACACAATCACCATCTCGCCGTCAGTTGACGCGTAATGCTTCGTCTGTGGGTCACTCAGGACTGCTTCCCGCGGCACCAGGAAACGGAACGCCGATTTGCCACTGCTGAAAGGTTTCGAATCCTCCGATATCAGCTTTCGCGAGATGGAATGCACCCCATCGGCGCCATGATCACGTCGCCATTTGCACTCGTGCCGTCATCAAATTCGACAATCCCCTGGTGCGGATCTATGCGTGTAGCGGACTTGCTGAGATGCAAGGTGGCTCCAGCGGAGGTTGCGGCTTCCTTGAGAGCATCGTGGAGCTTTACACGATGCCCAAGAACCCAGGGCTGGACGGCATGGGTCAACAGGTGTCTGCGGCGAGAAATTCTGGTTCAGAGCACGTACAAATTCCCATTTCCTTCCGGCGCTAGTATCTATCGAGTTGATCTTGAAGCCGCTCGATGCGAACATCGTAAGCTACGTCACCAGACATGTCAGCGATCATGAACCTCGTGACGGTAATGGTCCATAGCCTCGCGCTCATACATCCACCAACATGTCGAGTCGTCAGGAATTGAACTCACCCGTGTGCACGGATTTGCACCAATAGCAATAGGATCAATGCCAATCTTCCTCAGCAGGCTGTGAGCATTGGGCGGAATGTGGATCGCTGCGCCGAGCTCTTTGGCGAATTTGCTTGACTCGTACACCTGATGGATTGCGCAAGAACATTAGCCTTGCAGAAGACATTGCCGTCGATATGGTCGACGACGAACCTCCACATGATGACCCTGCTGCCGTACGAAGCTGGCGGTGGCCAACCCGCCAATTCCTGCACCGATGATGATGACCTTCAGAGGTTCCGCTGCGCTGCCCATGACTAACGTTGCTGTGAAATGGTATGCCGGCAGGACAAATTTGACGCGAATTCAAGCTGCGATCAACTCTCGTCGGCCCTAAGGTTGAATCGCACAATTCTCATGCTTCGCCGGGTTGTAATCCGATGAGCTGCATCATCCAGATGCAGACTGTCTCGCGAGGCCATGACTAGGCGCGACTCGGCAGTGAGTCCACCAGCCGAAGCCTAGACTTCGACGAGAACTGGATGAAGTGGTCGTTCGGAAAAGGGGGTTCGGATTGAGGTCCCGCGAAATTGTCCACGCTTCCGATTCGCTGTTGAGCTGACAAGTTTCCAGGTTTACCCCGCAGCCCCCCGGAAACTCTTTGCTTTGGGCTTTGAGGGGCGTGCCTGTGGGGGCAGTTCGGGTAAGGACTGGGCGTTGTTCGACCTGACATCCGTATCAATCCTGACCTCTAGAACACCAATTTCTAGGCTTCGAAATGGTCGCTTCAGGGCCCACGGCCCCTAAACCAACGCATTGGAGAACGCGCCCCAGTTGTTGACCAAATAACATGACCTGGAACTTTGCGGGACACATGTACTGTACATATCCAGAGGATTGGCACCATAGGGTTCCATAAGACAAGATGAATTTCTTGGGTGCCGCATCAAATTTTTGCTGAGTGTTGCAAGGCACCTGCATCTGCCAGAAGCCTTCTCTACACCCGTTCAGGCAATCTGGTCTTCTGCAACAGCCGCACGAGTTCCATGTTGGCTAGTACGAAGTCTATGATAATGAACCTCTTCACAGTGATGATGCGGTAACACAGAACTCGATCTCAATCTACTCCGTTCCCTGCAACCTATTTCTCCGGAATGATTGGCAGAACCACGTAGTTCTCCCATCGTGGGCCAAAATGCAAATGATTCCAGCCCCCAAATACCTCCACGGGACGATCCGCGCTGTGTGTGAAGATCCCACTGCCTTGGGTATCTCCGCTCGCGACCTCAAAGACCAACCGAGCACCAGGCTCCAGAACCACGTTCGTTGGCCAGACCTCGACGTCTACCGGATAGACCTCGCCAGGAAGGACCGGCAGGACATCTGTTGAGAAGTAATCGCGGTATGGCAGGTAGTCTCTGTGCCGCAGATGTGACGTGTTCACCCTGCGCATCGAGACCCGCAGCCAGCCTTTGCAGAGCGGTACCGGGTCGCCTGCAGTGCCGGTGTAGAATACTTCTTTTCCACTGGCGGCGAAATGTCGAAGAGTCACGAACAGGTCGATATCCGAGGGCAGAGACTTGCCGACATATGCTGTGACAGACACGTTCAGGTGCGCAGTGATGTGCCCAGTCATCTCCGTTTGATTGGCGAACGCGGGCGTGCTGAAGGAGATGAGCTGCTGGCTTTGCATGCTGCCCAGAGCGTGGTAGCTCAATCGGCTGACGTGCTGTTCGTTTGGAGCATGCTGCAGGAGCTCTGCGGATGGAGAGAGGAAGAATTTGGTATATTTCGTGCGAGCAATCGGCCACTCAGTCTCTGTACGCCGAATGAACTTCCGCTCACTCGCAGGGTCATTGAATCCAAGGTCACCTTGACGAATGACCATATCCACAGGCGGTACTTTGCCCGTCGACCACCCGGCTCGATCATCCCCTTTCAAGAATGCATCCAAGAAGCTTCGTTGGATCTCGACTTCGTCGTGGTAGTAGAAGGGAAGATCGTGGCGGCCAACGATACAACGCAGGAACTTGTGACGGGATCCAGCGTGAGTGAAGCCTTCGATGTTGCCACGAAGATGTAACAGTATCCCACCCCAGTTGGCAACACTCAGCAGCGGCACCTCAATATCTGCCAGGTTGTATTCCTTGGATGCATAGTATGGCTGATTGCGGAAGGAGTTTGCAAAGTTGTCCACATTCTGATCGTTTCGTAAGGATGCCAATTCCTGTTCCGGCAGATCGCCTTCGATCGTGTCTGGGCCCCAATTGCTGGCCTTACGTCCTGGTCGTCCGTACTGGTTCGTGATGACCTGCCGATTCCACCAAAACTTGATGAATCCATCTGCCAGGATCCCTCCGTGACGACACCTGTCACGGTAGTAATCACTCATTCCCTCCCAAGGTACAATTGCGGCCAACCCCTTTGGTCGCAGTGCCGCGACCCTCCACTGACTACCTGCGTAGTAGCTGATCCCAAGGAGACCGACCTTGCCTGTGCACCACGATTGCTCGGCTGCCCATTCGATTGCATCAAAGAAGGCCTCACAGGTTCCCCGCGACATGGTGTCCAGCACACCTGGAGACTGTCCCAGACCTCTCTCATCGACACGCACGACTGCAAAACCATGATCGGTCCAGTACTTAGGATCCGGCGTCTCCCAGCATGAATGCTCCGACTTGTGTTCGGGATTCACCTCTGCGTATGACTTCTGGTGGAAGTCTGCATACGGTATGTCCTTCCCATAGGGACCGTAGGTCATAAGCACCGGGCAAGCCTCGCTCCCTTTGGGTCTGTAGACATTGCAACGTACGATGCCCTCGCTGGATCTGAGTGGGATTGTAACGTTTTGTTGGTATAGGTAGGTGAATGAGTCCTTATCGACGGTCTCTATGTCACGAATCTCGGTAGGCATCGTGGCTTCAGTAAGTGTGGTCGGGCTGAAATGTGGCTCCTGAGACTTGATGAATGTTCTTGAGGCACGTCTTCTGGGCCGAGGCGTGGTAGTCCATGGCAAGGCTGTGGAGTACCCGCCTAGGTTTTGTCGGGTCTGGTGGGGGATGTAAGCCTTGACCTCGGCAGCAGTCTTCCGAAAGACATAGATTTACCGTACCAGCGGAAGCTGCTTTATGCTTAGTATGCTGCTTGCTGGGTCGATTCGCAAGTCTTGAACCAGAGCCGGACACCAATTTTACAGGAAATGGCGACTACCCTTGAATACCACGAGAGCGGACTCCCGAAGAACCGCCGCTTCATCACTGACCACGACACGTCTGGCAAAGCCATCTTCAACACAACCATCGACGAGGCACAGCCGCGTGAATCGATAGGCAACGGGGCGACCTTCTCACTGAATTACACAACCAGCCAATACCCGGTATCATTCAAGGACAACGCCGACATCGAGAACTATCAGTCGTACCTGAACAAGAAGCCAGGCTTGGTTGTGCCGGGCGGCTCTGTACTGCGCGTCGTGGATGTTCCGCCAAGCTCTCTATCGCCCATGCACCGCACTGTCAGCCTTGATTATGGAGTGGTCCTTGAGGGCACGATGTGGCTAGAGCTGGATTCCGGTGAGAGGAGAATGATGCACCGTGGGGACATCAGCATTCAGCGAGGCACGATCCACGCCTGGAGGAATGCTAGCGACAAAGATTGGGCGAGGATGCTGTATGTCTTGCTGGAATCGGAAGCTGTCGAAATCGACGGTCGCAAGCTGGGCGAGGACTATGGGAATAACATGCCGGATAACGTCAGAGCGTCAAGTTGAAGATGCCCGTTGTGGGAGTACAGAAAAAAGTCCAGGTAGAATCGGGTAGACTGAAAATGTGTGAACACGATAGGGTCCCTGCCAAATAGAATATTTCCCATCGCAGCCCGCTCAAATTCATCTCTCGCCTCCAATCGAGAACCGAAATATCTGGTCATTGAGCCTCCCTCCAGTCGCTCTCCAAAGCTTCGCAAACCACTTTGGAGATGTCAGCATGTCACAAGCCAAACCACTTAACGTATGCAGACTCACAGCTACGACGCCCACTCCGCTGCAAAACTGATTAGCCATGTGTCGGGAAAAGAGCATAGGCTGGAAAGTAGGACGGTGAGGCTAGTTAGAGCAGCTTCTTTGTCAACCCGAGACAGTTGCTCGGGCAGTCTTCAATGCAGCGCTCGTTTCCGGATACAAGTTTGACCTTGGGAGCGCAACTTACTTCAGCATTGTGAAGGCGAACGCCGTCTCGATACCTGGCCTTGCCCAGGGTCTTTGATCGCGGTCAAGGCTGTAGTTGATGGGGCGGTATGGTGGAATGTCGTTATAGTCTGTTGGCCACCATGAAGGATTTGGAGTGACAAGGTCGGGCTGCGGATTTGGTGGCGCCGGTGGTGCGTCCTCGTCGCCGCTATGTGTTAGCTCATAGTCGGCGAGCAAACGTAGCACGCCGGGTGAAAGACTCGTCGTCTCTGTTGCGGTGGTCGTGGTAGCCGGTACAGCCATGCTTGATTTCTAAATAATCGCTTTGCTGAACGTGCTTTGGCGGTGGAAGGCTAGATGTCGTTTGAGGAGTGGCGCGTGCAGTGGCCAAGCCCCACCAGGGCCCAGATTCAATGTGGTCCCGAGGTCATCAGCCTTATTCGGAGCACATCAACCGACCTCTATACCTTGCCAGCAACAACAACCATGAGCTGAACAAAGACCAAACAGGTTCGTGGTACGATGGACACGATTCGTGCATCGATCATTGATGGCATCGCAATTAACGCACGCTTTCGAGAGCGAACTCTAAGCGCCTTGCACCGCGGCATTGAGACTTCTCGACCAGAGATCATCGCCGCACTTCACGATGGCGTTGCCAGAACGACACAGATCGAGGCTGAGGCCCAGTATATCATGACACTCAACGCCATCCGGGACTTTCACAGATCCACGAATCCCAAGGAAAGTCTCAAACAGGAATACCGCCCAGCAAAATCACAGGACGACACCCACAAACGCTCCCCAATCGGTTATGCATATATACTGACGCCGGTTGGAGACCCTTTGTACTCACTCGTTGTTCCAGTTGCTGCAGCTATTGCAGCCGGCAACTGTGTGCTGATCGAAGAGGCCGAAGCCCTGTCGAGCGCCTCGCGCCTCATCCGCCGAGTGCTCGAGAAGAGCCTCACCAGCGAGACAGTTCTCTTTACGACAAAAGACCCGTTCGAGGAGCATTTTCAGCATAGGTTCCGCATCTCGGTCCAGCAGAATCTTGTTAACGATCCCTGGCCAACAGGCCTCCTTCTGAGCGCGCCAGCCAAGCCGCGTGTCGCAATAGTCGATCGCAGTGGAAATGTCCAGAACGCAGCACGAGCGTGTGCATACGCGCGCTTCGGCTTCGCAGGTGCATCATCGTATGCGCCGGATTTGGTCCTGGTGAATGAATTCCATGTCGAAGAGTTCGCTCAAGCAGCACGCCAAGCTGCACTATCCTTCCAAGCTGCTCAGAATTGTTCCGGCACGAACAAGACCGACAAGCAGGAGAGCTCTGGTAATGTTGTAACCTCCACCGATAGGGCTACCGTCGTCATTCTGGAAAAGAACGACAAGCATACTTTGTCGTATGTGGACTCTCCGGTCTTGAAAATACTGCCCGTCTCCAGTGGTGAGGCATGCATCAACATGCTCAACAAGCACGACTCACCGCTGCTCGTGAATTACATCTTTGCCGATCCTGCCACCGCAAAGTATCTCAGTCAATTCGTTCAGGCATCCATATCGATCATCAACCACATTCCCGCGGAGATTCTCATCGGTCCCGTCGCCCCCGCTGGTCATCCGACTTGCATTCATCCCAGGTACACGCCGGACATGTTCTCCGTAGCATCACCCGTCATAGTTGAGCAACCCGAGTCCAGTATCGACCAGACGCTATGGCCAGGGAAGAGCTCGAAGAAGGCGGTAGAGCTGGACAAGTGGCTTCAATCAAGCATTGAGCCGGTCAAGGAACCATTCGGACCGACTGTAGGGTTCTTTGAGCAGGGTCTGCTGTTCGGCGTCGGAGTCATCTTGACGAGCGTGGTGGTTTCGTGCTCTCTTGCAATAAGGTACGGGTATCCTGTCGTGGTGAGGACTTTGACGCGATGACGTTGCAGCGACGTCGAAATGTTCTTGGCGTTGTGCGAAGTGATGGCTGGTTTCGAGGCGCTTTGTCAGCCTGCCGGGGCGGCATGCATCTGCTGTGTGCAACGTTGTAGACCCGGGAACTTCGCATGTCCCGGTCCGCATTTGGCAGCGGTGCGTGGTCTATTGGTGTACATGTACAAATTTACTGCACAACGAGGGAAAAGCGCCCGTCTGGGAGAACGCGTCTTGATCTTGGAGAAAACGACGTGCCAGTGGCGGAAGGTTTCCACTCATTTTTGGAGCTGCCAACGTGCGAGGAAAGCGATTCGATTCTTGGGGTTGTCTCTAGGCATTCGACGGCCGAAGCGTAGGGGCTGCCACGCCTGAGTCTTAGCTGGAATCCAAGTGCCTAGACACTGCGCTGTAGGCGCTCGAAGTAAGCCCTACGCCTATTCCGATCCCTAATAAGAAAGATGTCTCGAAGGTCCTCGTCCTTTATCACCTTTCTCTCCAGGGCTACTTTGGCAGACTGCCAGTCATGTTTCGCCGTGCCTCCTAGCTCTGAAGTGCGACGTGAGCCCTGACTTACTGACTCGGAAGCAGGGACGCTGGCAGGAAGGTTGTCACCGTTCTCCTCGATCGAGACCTGGCATTCCGGGCGACACAGGCATGCCGGAGAAACACCTTTGCAGCCATGCACGATCCCGAGGACGCCAGTTCCTCCACATCCCGAGCAGCTTTCTCCGCATGACCCATGGATCACATTTAGGCGTGACATGCGGAAACAGAACGTCTTTGTGCATGGTCGCAACGTCGCCGTCGTCCAGATAGAAACCATACCACCACACGAACATGACGAAACCACGTCAGTGCTCGTTCCCTGCTTTACGCACAATCATCTCAGCTAACACATTCGCAGGTACGCCAGTACACTTCTTCTCCCATGGCAGCACCATGATGCTTGGCGAGGAATCGCGAAGTGCAACATACTGGAAGTCGTGCGGCGATGCCGCCCTATCCCACGGCGTCCGAGGCATTGTTATCATGGGCGCGCACTGGGACTGCAAGACCGACCACGCCGTCCAAGTCGCCATGAATCCTGCACCGACGATGCAACCCGTCGGCAATGTGCACCGATCAAAGTACGAAACCTATACGCTCAAGCCCGATCTACCAACCGGCGAACGATGCATTTCGCTCCTCAACGCCGCTGGAATTAATGCGACGGGCAATCCTTCCTTCGAATGGATCCATGATGTTTTCCTCGTCCTCATCCGCATGTTCCCAGACCCAACTACCTGTCCGCCAACAACAATCATTAGCATGAACGCCCGTTATGATCCTCACTTCCATGTCCGAGTCGGCGCGGCCCTGCGCTCGCTCCGCTCAGACAACTACCTGCTGATGGGTAGCGGCGGTGCAGTGCACAACCTGTATCGCAACGTTTGGGGACCGATGTTGTTACACAAAGACAACTTCGCGCAGCCGACCCCGCCGGAACCCTGGGCACTGGAGTTCCGCCAAGCTTTCAAGGACGCGGTGGAGGAGAATGACGGGCCGGACTTGAGGAGGGCACTGACGAGGCTGATGAAGCATCCTCAATACCGGGACGCGCACGCCACGGATGATCACTATATGGCAGCTTTGTTTGTCGCGGGCGCTGTTGGTGATGTTGGTGATACTGGCGTAAGGGGGAAATTGATGGCGGAGGACTGGGAGTTGACAAATATGTGTAGTAAGCATAATCTTCTTCCTATCCATTGGAGCACCGAAGACAGTGGCCTTGGTGGCTATCGTGCTAACCAAAGCAGACTCTCAGTTCACCTGGGGCAACTATATCGACGTCGGAGCATGACCGTCCCATGGGATTAGGAGCAGGCGATGAGCTGCGGGACATCATATATTGTATTATCTTCAGCAGCAAACACGTCCACAGCTTTGACAAGGACAGTTCCATCACGGACCTTCTCATATTCTCGTCTTGTTCGGTATCCCAATTTTTCGGCGCTTCAGATGGCACCAGAATCGCTCGTTCGGCGGTGTTCGACTGTTCGTGTTGTGGTTTCCTAAGCTCTCAGATATACGACCTTCTTGTAACAGTTGCTGCTTTACCCAGCGAGAGCATGAGTTTGGCCAAGGATTCCGCCATAGGCGGCGTCGTGTGGGTCTCGCCGCACTTTGCCGCGAGCAGACTGATGATCGATTTCATGACCTCCAACGGCTCTTCTAGAGGTACAGGCGGAACAGGAACAGGAACCGCAGTGACGCCGTTGTCATGTTGAGCGAACAGTCGAGTATAGTTCTGGATGCATGGTCGACCCTTACGCAGCAGCAGGAAAGACTCCCATTGGGGCTCAGAATCGTCGGCATCGATCATCAAGCACTGCTCTTGTTGTCCGTACACAGCGCCTCTGCCATCGCCCGCCACCTCGCGCGCGGACCAGATGCCGAATGCCCACATTGCAAGGCTAGCGTGGTAGACTGCGACGGCAGACAGACCAGGCAGCGGCCCCTTGCGATGCTGTGACGCCGCTCGGAGCACTTGGCCAGCGTGGCGTAGTGCCTGACGTGAAGCAGAAGAGGTGAACCAACGCCGCAATATCGGCACCATCCGCCGTGCTTCGATCTCGCCTTCCTTGCCTGCGAAGAGCTGAATGTCCTCGAGCGAGACGTGCAGGTGGATCATGCAGAGCTCGAGTTTGATTTTCCAGCAGGAAGCTGCATCATCGAAGTCGACGGGTTGCATCTGCAAATGTCGGTAAGTCTGTGTGAGCTCTTGATGTAGTGCACTGGCGGCGTGGCCGGGCCTGAGATCATCGCTCGAATCGGGGGTGCTCGTCATTTGACGGAACTGCCACACGCGGCTCCAAAAGCATGACACAACGATGTCCAGCGACATCTGTCGATCCACACTCGCTGCGTGGTGCGAAAGTAGTTCAAGGTTGTTCAAACAATCACGCAGGGTGAGGCGACTTTGGTCTGCTGGGTGCGCTCCAGCAGCAAGCTCTCGTTCGAAACCTTGAAGAGAGGCTGATTGCCATAGGCCATCAGAGCATGGAAGAGGGAGATGCAATTCGGTACAAGACATGAGAGGTGGCGTCACGAAAGCCATGGATACCGCCGTGTCCTGGAGGAACATATGGTAGGCCAGCCGTCTGAATGATTCGGCATGGAGCCATTGTAGCCAGACTTCCTGGGAGAGCGTGCTGAGATCTGGGAGAACTTCGTTGCGCACGTCTCGTCTGAAGTGTCCCGAGCGGCGTAGCATTGTGATGAGTGGATAGGTGAAACTCTCGGCAATTTCCATCTTCCGTCGATTGCCACTCCAGAGTCCGATATGAATGAGCAGCGCCGACGACTGAATGCTGCGGAGGTCTCTAGTGTTTCGATTGTCCTCCTCAAACCGTTCGGAGACACCAGGCCGAGTGGCTTCTTGAATCGCAAAGCCGAGTCGACGAAGCTGTGCTGGTCCGACGACGTCGCAGCGGTCGCCAACAGAGCACCGATGAACTCTTCGCGTTCCTCATCGACTTGGAGGGTTGGCATTTGAACCCATCGAGCAATTTCATAAGGGGTTGCATCCGAGAACGTGTCCAATATTGACGAAAGCGAAGCAGCTGAAGGGAAGGAAGAGATGACGTGCCGCTGTATCGATGCCTCGCAGCTTCTCGAAATCATTGACAGCAGTCGATCGCGACTAGCCTGAGAGAATCTGGGAGTAGCCAACGACGCTGACGGACTGATACCGGCTTCAATCAAGGTCTCATCTCTGACTGCTAGATTCAATTGCTCTGCATGGCGGTGGTCACCCTGTTTGGGAGTCCATGACCACGCAGAATCTTTGAATGCTTGTTGTCCGAGACCAACCGCTCGCGCGGTCGGAGTTACCGCACCACTCGAACTCATGGGGCGCAACGTAGAGAGTTGAGTTGGAAACGTAGTCTGCGTCATTTGCACGGGTGCCGATGGAAATGTGAGGAAATCGTCAAATGCAAAATCGAGCACGTCGGGTATAGGGCCCGAATGAATGAAATTGCTTGTTGCCTCTCCACTGATTGGATTCATGATATCGAACAAGAACGTGCCCATGCCTGTGTCGTCAAACAGCTCAAGTTGGTCCATCGAGAGCTCGGGCAGGGCTTGCTGAGCGATTGGTTGAGGCAGCCTAAACGACAAGGCTGACATTGACGTGGGATCCTGCTGGGTGGGCGACAGTCGATCCGCTATGTCTTCAGTCTCGGGCTGTGAGATGTCGACGACGGCGGTATCTGCGTCGTTGAAGGTGGCTGCATGCCTTTGTTGCGCAGAAGATCCAGTACGATTCTGCTCGCGAGCCACACTCGGTGCAGGCTGGCTGAGCTTGCATTCGAGACCTCTCGAGACACAGCGTTGGCAAGGATGCTCGTTCTCACACTTGAGCTTCGATTCAGCACAAGCTACGCATGCCCGGCTTACTCTGTGCCCGCTGGTCTTCGAGCGCTTTGCAGGATGACCATCTTGCAAATGGTTGATGCAGTGTCGCCGCAACAGGTCAACTCGGTTGAAGCCCTTGCCGCACTGCTCGCAACCGAAAGGCCGCTCGTTGGTATGGGTCCGCTTGTGCCGGCCCAGATGATCCGGTCGCGTGTAAGTCTTCTCACAGATATCGCATGAGAAAGTAGCCTTCTCTGCAGTCATCATTGGTCCACAGGTCGCAGGCAGGTGGGGTGTGGGCAATCCAGGGTGTGATTACTGCACGAGAGATGCTTTGTGGTCCGCAGAGAGCAGCTCGGAAGAAGTGGAGGAAGGCGCTTCTTTATGCGAAATTAACAATTCATTCTTGGCATGCGGGTTCTGGGGTTTGAAGCGGGGAAGGCAAGCAGATCTGGGGCCTGGACTCAGGGTCTTGCAAGTGCCGTTTCTCGTATTCGCAAAGTCGACCAGGATCACATCGGGACCACTTTCGCTTGCGATTAGATAGAACAGTCACAGCCCAGATTGTGCAACAGCGTCGTTGAATCGATCTCATTGTTTGACCCTCCTGCGATACCTTCCCCAAGTCACTCAAGATGAACGACACCAGGGATCCTGAGAAGCATGTAGCAGGCCAAAATGTCGAGCACGACTCCAGTGCGTCGTCCCATGTTGAGGAAGGCGGCAGGCATGCTGGACAAGGCCACGAGCATCTCACGGTGAAAACAGCATTGGTGTATCTGGTCGGTTAGTCCCGAACAACACAGAGACAGGACTGACACACTCAGGCCTTATGTCTGCAGTATGCGGCGCAGATGTTCAATGTCGTCGGTTCTGGTGCTGTGAGAAGCTCGCTGCTCTCGTCCTCGCCCTCACTGACTTGGTGCAGTTCGCTCGAAATATCGCAGCCGCCATCGGCGGAGCGGACAAGGTCGTCTGGATAAGTCAGGCCATAGTGATCGTCACTGTCGTCCTTGGTCCTCCCGTGTCCCAAGCCTCCGACTACTGGGGAAGAAAATGGTTTCTGGTAGCTGGTTCCATCTTTGGTGCAGTCGGTGCTCTCATTCTTGCACGCGCCGACACCATGGGCCAGGCCATTGGCGGACAAGTCATTTCCGGCGTGATGTATGTCGGCCAGCCGCTCCTCATTGCTGTGGGCTCTGAGATTCTGCCCCGACGATTGAGGCCGTCTGCACAAGCGGGTCTCAACGCCACAGGCGGGATCGGCGGTATCGCTGGTCTGCTCTGCGGTTCTGCCCTGACAGCGCACAACCTCTATGGATGGCGCAATTATTGGTACATCACAGTGGCGTTGACAGGGGTATCTGCTATCACCATTGCGGCACTATACAATCCGCCGCCTCGACCAGAGCAGCGGCATCTAACGTGGCGTCAGAAGTTGTCAAGTCTCGACTGGTCAGGGTACGCCCTGCTTGCGGCAAGCTTGGTCCTGTTCTCCATGGGACTCACTTGGGGCAACAACCCGTTCTCCTGGACAAACGCTCACGTTCTGGCGCCACTCATTGTTGGCATCGTCATCTTCGTCGGCTTCGTCGCACATCAGACGTTCTTCAAGCGAGACGGCTTGATCCACCATGACCTGTTCAAGAAAGATCGAAACTTCGCCCTGGCCCTGGGCTGCTTTCTTGCCGACGGCATGATCTTCTGGCAGCGAACAACTACTACACCATGGAGGTGGGAATCTTGTTCGAGACTGACGCAGTTCTTGCCGGATTGCATTATTGTATCACTTTCTTCGCCGGCATTGTTGCTGCAATCGCTATCCACTTCGCATCCAAATTCACCAAGCGGCTTCGAGAACCTATTGTGATGTCTTTCCTGTTATTCATGATCTTCTTTGGTAAGCGGTGTCCGCACTTGCTCCAATTTGACTGACGCTCTGCAGCTCTGATGTCGCGAGCAACGCTCACAAGCTACAACGCAGTCTGGGGATACCCAGCGCTGCTAGGTTTCGGCTTCGGATGGAGTCTTACCTTGCTCATCACTGCGGCGCAGATGAGCGCGCCCGCTGAGCTGATCGCCATCACTAGCGGTCTGATGCTCGCCAGCAGATCGTTGGGCGGCTCTGTCGGACTTGCGATCTGTAGGTATTCGCCCTCGCTCTGCTCCATAACCACTGACGCCTCTCTTGCAGATACCGCCATCTTCAACTCCTCGATGTCAAAGCATCTCGGCCACGATATCGCGGCCGCCGTACTGCCCGCAGGTTTGCCGCCGACATCGATCGAGCCCTTCATTGGTGCGCTGATGAGCCAGAACCAGGCGCTGTTGGCACAGATACCTGGTGTAACGCCAGCCGTCATCGGTGCTGGCGTCCACGCTATGCAGGGAGCGTATCTGAAAAGCTTCGAGGTGGTCTGGATTGCCGCTGCGGTGTTCTCTGGTGTGACTGCACTCGGTATGTTTCAGTCTCATTCCTCATGACACTTATCGCATCAACTGTGAATATAAATGCTGACTACATGTGCCCAGTCTCATGCTTTTTCATTAACCCGACCAAAGAGTTCAACGATCACATCGATGCGCCACTGGTAGTACCCACAGAGCCGGATGAGAAGTGACAGACACGTGCTTGCCACTGCAGTGAATGACCGCGGATCAACTTGGTTTAGCTGTCGAAGGGGTGGCTGATGGTACACCGTAGACGACCCGTAGCTGGAGTGAATCAAAGCACTCTCATGACGGAGTACACAATGGTTACCTGATCGTTGAAGGTGGCCGTCACCAGTCACCTCAGCCAATACGGCTGTCCGCCGCCGGTCTCACACATGTGAACATAAATACGCCTTTGCAAATCGGTAAGCGCCATGAGCGAATCGAACGTGCGTATTGAGTGTAGGCATTGCTTAATCTTTCCCAGCTGAATCAGTCCTCTGCAAGCACAAACGTATCGCAAGTATGTGCTTGCGACAGTGGACTGCATCCACTATCATATTGAATCCGGTGATGAATAGCACCCGATAATCGCGGGGAAAAATCAGACGCGAAATCCCGAAAGCCCGAGCCAAGAGTCCGGAACCCACTATGGCTTGGCACATCGCGTCACTCCATCTGCGCGTGCTGCCACCTGTGACTTCAAGTTTGCAGTTGCTCAACGTGTTGGCAGTCCTGACACGCCGTCCAAAATTGCTTTACGCTACCGCAGGTCTGCCTCGGACTATAGAGTTGCCTGCCTCTAATCTCATGTCAAACATACGCCAAGCATTATCCAGCAGGCGCGGCGTCTGAATTGCTGTTGTGCCCTTTCAGGATTGATGCGGGCATACTTGCAGTCTGCAAAATGGCCTTAGTGCTGGCGTTGGTGATAGTCCGTGATCTGTCGCCGGACAAATCTTGCCAGATGCCGTGCGACGATCATCTCCTGCTGGGCGTGGCATGGACCGACAGGTGTACTTAAGTCAGATAGGACCCTTCCGATGTAAGTAGAACTATCTCCAAGACTCCATCATGCCTTTTTCTGTACCGCAGCTCCGGAGAAATGACACATCGGTCAACGGAGAGCAGCGCAAGCCCGTCGGCCACGATGGACGGGCAACGACCGACGACGACCTGGATAGTTTCGAACCTCAAGAAGTGCGAGATCAGAACATCACCCGAATTGCGAGTAGCATACACACGACATCGTCCAGTCAAAGTCCCTTCTATGCTGCCCCAGGCGGTCCGCTCGACCCGCAGGGCCCTGCCTTCAACCCAGCGGTGTGGATGAAAGCTTTCTATGAGCTTCACCTGAGCGACCAGGACCTTGAAGCTCGTAATCGAGGCGTTGCTTTCCGGAATTTGCATGTTCAGGGCTACGGTAGCGCAACCGACTTCCAGCGCACTGTCGGCAACGTCTTTCTAAACATCACATCCGGTGTTAGGAAGATCATGGGCAATAAAGGTCACAAAGTCGACATCCTCCATGGTCTCGAGGGAATCGTCGACCGAGGCGAGATGCTCTGTGTTCTAGGGCCTCCCGGATCCGGCTGCAGCACCTTTCTGAAGACTGTCGCTGGCGAGACCCATGGACTATACGTCGACGAAAAAGCATACCTCAATTTCAGGGGCATCACACGCGAAGAGATGACTACTCGCTTCCGCGGAGAGGCAACATTCAGTGCCGAGGACGATGCACACCTGCCTACTCTAAGCGTCGGCGACACACTCCACTTTGCAGCGCTGGCCCGATCGCCACGCGACTTGCCCGATGGCCTCCGGCGGAGCACGTACGCAAAGCTCCTTAGCGATGTGGTCATGGCAGCCTTTGGCATCAATCATACACGCAATACGCGGGTTGGAGACAATGTGAGTCAATCAGACAAAGATGCCAATCTCATACTAACGCCTACAGTTCATTCGTGGCGTTAGTGGCGGAGAACGCAAAAGAGTCTCCATAGCCGAAGCCATTCTCAGCGATGCGCCCTTGCAGTGCTGGAATAACAGCACCAGAGGACTGGACAGCGCGAACGCGATCGAGATCTGTAAAGCCCTGCGACTATGTGCGGATGTCTTTGGCACCACCTCAGCCGTAGCGATCTATCAGGCCCCTCAAGCCGCATTCGATCTCTTCGACAAAGTTCTGGTTCTGTACGAAGGCCGCCAGATCTACTTTGGCCCCACTTCAGAAGCTCAGCACTATTTCGAACAGCTGGGCTTCACCTGTCCGGAAAGTCAAACGACTCCCGACTTCCTCACCTCGATGACAAGTGCCGGCGAAAGAGTGATTCGCCCTGGATGCGAGGCACTTGTGCCGCGCTCGTCAGACGACTTCGCCGCAGCTTGGTCGAACAGCAACAACCGCCGTATCCTCATCGAAAGCGTCCAAGCATACAGCGAGCTGCATCCGTTTCATGCCAAAGGTTCGGAAGCTTTCGCACGTGTGCGTAAGCAGGAGCAAGCCCATCTGCAGCGCACAAGCTCACCATACACGCTGTCATACTTCCAGCAGTTCTCGATCTGTCTGTGGCGTGGCTTCAGGTTGCTGAAGGGCGATCCCACTATCACCCTCGTACAACTGACGGCGAACTTCGTGCAATTCCTGATCGCCAGCAGCGTTTTCTACAACCTCTCAGCCTCAGCCGACAGTCTGTACTTCCGCGGGATGATCTTATTCACGTCATTAATCCTCAACGCATTTGCGAGCATACTTGAGATCTTGACGTTGTATGCTAAACGCCGGATTGTCGAAAAGCACAGTCGATACGCTCTATATCATCCGAGTGCGGAAGCACTTGCTGCCATGGTCGTGGATCTACCATACAAAATCATCAACTCAATCATCGTCAATACCACGGTATACTTTATGACGAACTTGCGCCGGGAGGCAGGTCCGTTCTTCTTCTTTCTCTGATTTCATTCTCAAGCACACTCACGATGGTAAGCACGACTGCTCCGGAATAGATGCTAGCTCACATTTCATAGTCTATGCTATTCCGATTCCTCGGCAGCACGACAAAGACAGCATCTCAAGCCCTCGCTCCGACTGCCGTCATCTTGCTAGCGATCGTCCTGTTCACCGGCTTCTCCATCCCTGTCAATGCCATGCTAGGCTGGTGCCGCTGGATCAACTATCTGTCAACAATGGTCTGGGCGTTCGAAAGCCTGATGATCAACGAGCTTGCTGGGCGAACATTCCCTTGCTCCAACCTAGTGCCAAGCGGACCTGGCTACAACGATGAGTCGCTCATCGCAAAGTCATGCAACATCGTTGGAGCTACAGCAGGTTCCGACACTGTCGATGGTACTCGGCACCTTCGCGAGGCTTTCGAGTATCTGCCCGATCACAAATGGCGCAATTTTGGCATTCTTCTTGCATTCTTGGTTTTCTTCCTCGCATGCAATCTCGTCTGCAGCGAGCTTGTGGCTTCGGCGAAGAGCAAAGGCGAAGTGCTTACCTTCCAGCGAGGGAAGGTTCCGGCCTGCATCCGAGGTGCTAAAGAACATGATCTGGAAGGTACTGACAGTTCGCGAACGGTGGTTCAGCATTCCAGCGAGCCAGTCAAGAGCAGTCACCGGCAGAGATCGGTGTTCCATTCGCGCAATGTGTGCTACGACGTGAAGATCAAGGACGAAACAAGGCGAATACTGGATCACGTCGATGGGTGGGTCAAGCCTGGGACATTGACGGCACTTATGGTATGTACCCTGATTTGGCATTACTCTTCGCACGCTAACGGTGTCCAGGGTGTTTCCGGAGCTGGGAAGACCACTCTGCTGGACACTTTGGCCGATCGGCTCACGATGGGTGTTGTTTCCGGTGATATGTTGGTCAATGGACGACTACGTGACGACAGCTTCCAGCGAAAGACCGGATACGTCCAGCAACAGGATCTGCACCTCAGCACGGCTACAGTTCGCGAGGCGTTAGAGTTCAGCGCTCTTCTACGGCAGCCTGCAGCTACCAGCAAGCAGGACAAACTGGCTTACGTGCAAGAAGTGATCGAGTTGCTTGAAATGCGAGACTATGCTGATGCAGTGATCGGAGAGACCGGAGAAGGTCTGAATGTGGAGCAGCGAAAGCGACTCACCATCGGCGTCGAGCTTGCAGCAAAACCGGATCTCTTACTGTTCTTGGACGAGCCTACCTCTGGCCTGGACAGCCAAACGTCGTGGTCGATCTGCATACTGATGCGGAGACTCGTCAACCACGGTCAGGCAATTCTTTGCACCATCCACCAGCCGTCGGCAGTGCTCTTCGAACAGTTCGATCGGCTGCTGTTGCTGGCTCGTGGTGGCAAGACGGTCTACTTTGGTGAGATCGGCCGGGGATTCAAGACACTTGTGAACTACTTCACCAGCAATGGCGCAAGCGCCCCTCCGAAAGCCGCAAATCCTGCCGAGTGGATGCTCTCTACCATCGGAGCAGTACCTGGTGTTAAGACTGACATAGAGTGGCCTTCGGTCTGGCAGAACAATGCAGAGAAGAGCGAGGTGAATGCTGAACTTGACCGACTTGCTGAGAAGCGCACGACAGTTGGCACGGCCACCGAAGACGACACAGTTGGACATGAGTTTGCTGCTCCTCTACTCACACAGACCGCCATCGTCACCAAGCGCAGCTTCCAACAGTACTGGCGCACGCCCAGCTACATCTACTCAAAAGCCTTCCTCGGCATCGGTTCGGTATGCGTGGCACCCATCTTCCAGTCTTCGTCCACTACTGACATGCTGCAGATGTTCTTCATCGGCTTTGTCTTCTTCCAAAGCAGCAGAACTCAACAGGGAGTCCGCAGTCAACTTTTCGGAATCTTCGCATTACTCACCACTTTCATGTCCTTTGTGGAGCAAGCGATTCCGTACTTCGTCATCTCCCGGTCGTTGTACGAGGTCAGGGAACGACCGTCCAAAACATACTCATGGAAAGCATTCATGTTCGCGAGCATCATCGTCGAGATGCCGTGGAGCTTGGTAGGTCGTGCAAGATCGCTCACTTGACTCAAAGCTAACATAACCAGCTCATCGGCACCGGCATGTTCCTCTGCTGGTGGTTCCCCATCGGACTGTACAACAACACTGCCGTCACAAACAGCACAGACTCCCGCGCCACGCTCGCCTTCCTCATCGTCTGCACCTATATGCTCTTCACCAGCAGCTTCTCCATTTTCATGATCGCCGGCATCGCCACTGCCGAAGCAGCCTCCAACCTGGCCAACGTGCTGGGCTTCGTCATGCTCCTATTTTGCGGCATCCTCGCGACGCCGACGTTTATGCCAGGCTTCTGGATCTTCATGTATCGTGTGAACCCGTTCACTTACCTGTCCGGAGGCTTGCTCGCCGCCGGTTTGGCGAGAGCGCCAGCGTATTGCTCGGATCGAGAGTGGCTGCGGTTCGAGCCACCTGCCGGTCTCACATGCGGGGACTACATGGCGGACTACATCAGCGCTGCGGGCGGGCAATTGCTACAAGCTGACACGACCCAGACTTGTCAGTTCTGTCCCGTTACTGATACGGACACGATCTTGGCGGCTGTGGATGTCAAGTTCGTGCACAGATGGCGCGATTTCGGGATCATGTGGGTCTTCATTGTCTTCAACATCGGCGCTGCCGTTTTCTTGTACTGGCTCTTGCGCGTGCCGAAGAAGCGTGCAGCTGGGACGGGTGCGAAGCCAGAGAAGGGTTAAGAAGGCCTGACGGGTCCACTCTGTCGGGGAATGGTGTCATCTTCTGGGAGGTTTCGGTTTCGTTGTGGCGATGACCGGCGTCGCAGCCTGGATTGCGATTGTGGCCGTGCTGGTAGTCGTGGCTGGCTTTAGAAGGTAGTGGCCGCAACAGAGATAAGAAAGGGCAGAGGACAAGAAGAAGGAGGAGAGGTGTACAGGCGGAGGCGGAGGCTGAGAAGGCTAGAAAAGGGAGGTTGAGGAAGAGCAAGGGCTACTCGTTTCGAGGCAGCCAAAGCATCGTGGCTTCTGGATTGCAGGTTGACGGGTCACAATGAGGCATATATGCGAGGCACTTGCGCAGACTGAGACGCGCCGCGGGCTATCTACCGTGCAATTCGTGCCTTAGAGAGGCGTGCATTACTGAGATGGCGTTGATGAACGCGCATCGGAGCGTGGAAGAGCCTCGGGCGAGGACGATGATTTCAGGAACAGAAGGGTCACCAGAAAAATGGGCCTCCGCGCAAAGTGTGGGTATATTACTGCAAGACAATTGTCAACACGATTCTCAGACGCAGGCATCTTGTGTTGGCATGGTAGCGCATCCGTATGAAGCGGGCAGTGCGTACAGGTAAAGTAGGAAACCTGGTGGGTCAAGTGTTCAGAAAAAGAAAGAAGCCGCGGTCGCCAGTAGTGCTACTTAGTATTCCGTGGGCAGCCCGAACGAGCGAGTTTTCGAGGCGCGATTTGGGACATGACACTTAAAATACTCTAATGAGCCTAAGACTTTATCTTTTCATCGATTTCACGCGTAGCTTCAATCCGGTGGCCCCTTCCTCAATACATCAGATAGTCTGCCCCACAGGACTTGTTGAGCATAAGGCATCAAGAACTTCTTGCCGTCATTGCGGCCAACCTAGATGATGCTCTGTACCGATGATGATGTTGCGTCCTCAATCTCAGCCGCTCTTTCATAGCAACTATCCCTTCCACATCAGAATTTCCTACTCTGATACCCACCCGACTTCATACACTGCGGTGCCGTCTGTGGCTCAGGAGGACACCAGTCATCCCATCCACCCTGCTCGCATCCGCCGTTAGGGTCGACAGGGCACTTGCACGACTCACAAATACTCTGCAGCTGAGGCCCATCGGTGATTGCCAGCGGCGGCGAGCAGCGATAGCCAAAGTACTGCATGAGAACGCCTGCGACGGTCGAGACATCGGAGTTGGACACACCAAGACAGGTGGCTGCAGCACCGACTTGGTCAATGAAGTATCCGACCTCGGCTGGATCAAGCGACATGAACTTGTGGACACGGGCCATGCTTGGGTCTCCCATGTACGCCGGGAAGCCCATCTCGCCATAGCCGGAACAGCCGAGGAGTTTGCCGAAGAATTGATATAGGTGAGTGAGAAGGGCACTGGTGGTCAGCTTGGCAAGTTAGATGTTAACAGTACTCACTATTGCGCCGTATTGGGACTGTTTGCAGCCATGTTGTTCATGAGGGGAGCTGCTCCGCCACCATCTAGGAAGTTGACGCTCGCCGGATGCCCATCGACGTTGGTGCTCTTGAGACAGCCATTGAAGTAAGGAAGAAGGTTGACGTATTCACCGCCATAATCGGCAGGGGCCAGGATGCCAGGTAGGCCGTTGCCTACAGCACAGGCGGAGTAGTTGCCGATCACGACGGTGTTGACGATGACGGTGAGGAGCGTGTACTGATTGGCCGGAGTGTTGTCCTTCAGAACGGCGCCTGTGTAGTAGTCGCAGATCGAAACATCAGATGGGCGGCCGGTGGCGGCGACGGAGGCCGCCAGCGAGATTGGGAAGATGTGCTTGGGATGCATTGTTCGGAGATGCTACAGCTCCTCTCAAGGCTGGTGAAGGAAGTGTCTTACTTATGAGGGACGTGTGCGATCAAAGCCATTGCCTGAGTCGGCTTGGATCGCTTGGGAGGGGCACGCAGCCTATGGAGGCATTCTCATTACCAAACCAGAGTTTGTTCTTTCCCGGCGCAGACTGATCCGTTCCCAAAGTCGAAGCCATGGTGAAGCTCTCAACGCCATCGCTGATCTGGATGTGAGGGATGTAAGTGTTCGCGCCCATCTGACGCGGCTTCGTTCACGGTCAGCATCTCTGGAGTTTGGAGAAAGTTCACTCGAATGACGACAGGCGCCGGATGTCGCACGTTCCGAAAAATCGAAGTAAGCTTTCTGGAGAAGATGTTTAAATTCGGTCGCTCGGATTCGTTCACGCTTTCCCCAGGTCACTCTCCTTTGCGTTGGGTATCAGACAGATCCTGCACTTGACCTATCAGCATGGTTCGGCCAAAAGCTAACGACAGAACGTGCCGGGTAAGGCTCCCCAGATCCAGTGAACCACTGCCGAAAGCGATGCCCTTGCTTCGATGGGCCGTTCTGGTTGCCATTTCCAGCGAAAGCGTTCATCAAAAGCGGTAAGCTCTTTCTATTCGGGAATGCTCCCTGAGTTGTACCGCGCCTGCTTACTGGGTCTGGCCCTGTGATGTGGCAGTTGGGCAGGTCAGACGCCTGCCAGAGCGTGGCCGCGGAGATGGGTTTAGCGCTTATGCATGTGAGTTTTCGAGAAGACGGATGCAGTCTGCACCGGTCTGTGCCCACGGTGAAGCTGTCGTGATTCTTACTCGTCCGCAATCACCGTGCCGGTGAAAGCACGGTTTGGGCGGTCGATGGAAGTTGGCGAGTGCGAACTCGATCTCGTTCCGGCGGACGCAAGTCTGCTGTTGGGAGTAGACTGGAGGCGCAGCGGCCGGTGCAGAAGCGTTGCTGGGACTTGCGAAGTACCCGTTGGAGTACTGAGACATGCAGTAAGTGTCGATCCACGAGCTAGCCGGCCAAAAGATCTCAAAGTCCACAGCCGGGCTGAGACCAACCATATGGAACGATGCGAAGCGAACTCCGGCTCTTGATTCGACAGCACGGGAGACCGCCGCGATGACCAACCCGCGTCAAAATCTGTGTCTGGTTCCGTAGTGACCAGTTGGGATAAGCTTGCTGTGCGTCTGCAGAGACCTAGGTGTCTCGCAAGCATACGAGGCTTCAGCTTCTCGATCAAGCATCGACGTATTTTCGGCCAATGGGTTCTCAGCCATTGGAAATCGGTGGTTTCCTCAGTGTTCGATGTAAGATGCACGGGCGAAGTGGGCGTGGATTCGCAGTATGGCAATTAATTTCCTGTACTGGATAGCAAACGTGGCGTTTTTGGAGTCGAGACCGCCGTCCTCGCTGTGCTTGCAGTTGCCTATAGCGATGTCGCTCTCGGACTTGGTGATGGGGTCGTCGAGGACCTTGGGCAGTGATTGGATGATATAGTGAACGACGCGGCCGCGCTTGTTGTGGATGGCGGCCTTCAAGTCGGCGAGACGGCGAATGCTAAGATCAGTGTCTGAGAGCACGACGTGGAGCATTGCAACGATGGCTCGTGCTAGGAGGATCTGCTATGCGGAGCTGTGATCTTCTTCGTCGGCATACGTGTTGCGACACGCATTGGCTCTGCGACTTTGTTTGAAGCCCGGTGATTGCAGATGGCAAAGACTCAACCTGGTGCTCTTGTCTGTAGAAGTCACCTGCTGAAAGAATATTACGTTCGCACCTCACGGCGCGTCGGAGAACTTGACACGGCTTGAGACGACTGGATGCTCTGATGCAATGCGGAAATCATCCCGATGCCCTATCTTCAGCCATCGAGATGGCCGAGAGAACTGGTAGGTTAACATATAAAAGGCGCGCAAAGTGTTTCAGCGAGAAGTCTGAGAATGGGCGATCGACTTGGGCGCTGGGAAGGCGTCGCATTTCTGGCTTTGGACAAGAGGTAAGGAGGATGTGCACGTGCAGAGAGGGTCAAGTGAGCGAACACTCCTACGAAAGCAATGGCCATGAAGTGGCCATGGCAATGTTAAGTTTCAGAATACTGCCGCACTCAGAAACGCAGTCTGCCTGCCTGCCGTCATCCGCTTTGATGCCACTTCTGGCAATGAAGTCTTCCTCGTTTCGACATTTCCAGCTTCGTCAAGCACTCGAAATGTGTTGCTGATCACCGACTTATCGAACAACAGCGAGCAGGAATCCATCATAATCTTTAGCTCCCACAGTCTGTATCAGCGTGGCTTCCACCCGATCATCCTTGCCAGTCAAGGCAACCAAGTCGTCGGCTTCAGGATCCCGCTTCTCGTCTCCAACAATCCCACTTTCGAGCATCTGCCGCACCACATTGTCCACATAAATCGCACTGCCCTTCTTGGAAAGCTTGACGGCCCAGTCGAGATAGGTGTATTGGTTCTCCCAGTCGGCGTCGATGAAGGTGAAATCAAACCTCTCACGCTTGCCATCCTCGATCTCCTTCGCGATCCGTGGCAAGACTTCCAGTCCGGGCCCGAGCAGAATCTCAACATCATCGCCTACGCCTGCATACTCAAGGTTCTCGGTCGCAACATCTCGACGCTTGGGGTCGATCTCAATGCTGGTGACCTTTCCGCCATGCTTGCTGACCGCTCGTGCCAGCCAGATGCCCGAGTAGCCTCCCAACGTACCGAGCTCAAGGACATTCTTCGCTCCAGACATGGTTGCGAGTACGTTCAGGAATTTGCCTTGCACAGGGGATAGCGCGATTTCCGGAATGCCGTTCTTGGAGCTGTTACTGTAGGCATGGTCCAGTGCTTCGCCTTCGGTGGTGGAGATGAGGTTGCTTTGCGAGTATGCGTCGACCGCCTCGGCGTGCTTGACATTTTCGATGGACATGCTTGCGGTATATATGGGTGGATTGTGGCGCTCTTTATCTTGGGCGACCTCCATGTTCAGGCCTTATATGCTGCTGCACATGCCAAGCTAGAATCCATGGAGCGATATGACCGAAGTGGATGCCCGAGCCGTAGTTACATCGGATATACGATGCACGTCTTGCGATTAGGCCGCGTGGCTAGGCTGCCATCTGATAAGATTAGACCTCAAAGGCTGTAGAGGCACAGATTCGCAGCCAATGAAAAGATTGTGCCTGTACAGAAACGTCGATTCATTAGGCCGCCTGCCATATGTGTCATGCATGTTTGAAAATCGGGACTACGCGTAATGGGCGCACGCGAGAACGCTGCTGTGATGCCGGTTGGATGTCAACGCCACCGTGACAACATAGCAAGAATACGGCCTCACCTATTATTCTCTTTTTACTGGTGTGGATGGCAGCTCACACGGACTGACCGTTAACTGCAGACGAGTATGGTGGAGTTTTGTGACTGGTGTTGAGGTGCCACGGTCGAACAATCGTTTTGGACAAAGTCAAATCGAAATTGTTTATCTTTGCTTCGGTCACGCATGCCATCGCACTCGAGGGTATCCTCTCAAGGCTTGCAACGCGATCGGCGTGGCTCGAAGACGCGTCAAGCTTCGTCGGCGCTTGACAATGGGTCACGTGGTGAAGGTCTAGTCCTATAGAAGGCATGTTTGTCACTGCGCGGTGCAAAAAGACTGCAGGTGGAAAGGACGCTGCAACAAAGAGGGAAGGAGATCAAGAAGGTGCTGGTCTAGATGCCCAAAGCAGGGAGCAAGGCTCCGAAGCATGCACAAGGCTCCGCGAATGCGGGCGTTTAATTGGATGTCCAGATTGCCCACGACCAACATGACATTGCTGCCACAGAGAACGAAAACCCGGAATCATCGAAAGGCCATCGGGTGAGTACTATTTCTCGGACTGTTTACTTCTTTCATCGCTCTTGAGTTGTTGAAAACGCCATGAAGTGTGCAAGGAAAAGCATCTGCCACGAATGCAACCAAACCAGAACACCGAGCCCACCCAATCAACCCAAGAAGTCCAGCATCTATATCAACCTCACATTCTCAACCGCAAGAATTCCTCCTCGAGCTCCGTCTCCCTCGCATTGCCGCCTGCCAAAATATGATGCGCCCCACCAACAGTCTCGCCACACTCAGGACAGCGAGACTGCTGCATTGCACCGCCGCACTCGCCGATCACGTAGGGATGCCCGTTCGGACAGCGAAACCAATGTCCAGTGCCACTCACTTCTCGCGCCATGGCGGCAATAATGTCGCGTTTCTCATCACTGCTGACTGCTTGATAGAATGTTCCGCCACGCAGCATGGTCTGTACAGCTTCGACCTCTTCCAACATTCCTCCGGTGCTGCCAGGCTTGGTATGGCAGATGTTGATGGCCTCGAAAATCAGGTCGCTGGCTTGGACGACTCGATCAGTGAGATGGACTGGCTCTGAGCTCCCTGAACAGAGCGAGCGCTCGATGCAGACCAGGCGAGCGAAGCTGACCATGCTCTCGACCTGCTGCATCGGGAGAACGCGTTCATCGGCATCACGCAAAAGACCCAGACACACTTCGTAGGCTTGGCTGAAGTCGACCCGAACAGCAATGCTGCGCCAGTCACCCTTCTGTGTGAAGAGCTTGCTGTGAGCTTGTCGACCTTTGACGAAGTCGGCGAGGATAACGAGGTCACAGCGGATGCGGAGAGAGGTCGCCAGGATACGCTGCTTGGTTTGCAGAACAGTCTTGTCCTGCTCCATGGTTGTAGTAGAACCTTGCTGAATGTGCACATTGCGGACCATACTGAAAACACGACCGTATGGCTGCTCTTGTTCTGCGACAACTTCTGCATACTTGTTGATGCGACGTCGTAAGTCATTCATGCGCCGATACCGTCCGCCAAGGCTGGGAGTGTCTCGCAATGCTTCGAAGATATCGTCGAATGAGCCACGAAGATCAATGCTGACGCTTTCTTCCACGCCAGGAATAGATCTCGGCGCTTCTGCAGTGGACATGGCGGAGTCCATCAGACGATGCTGCTCGCGATCGACAGCTTGGCTCAGCGGGACGAAGGCTTTGATGCTCCATGCAACAAACTTCTTGGTAGACTCGTCGAGATGGGCTTGACGCCAGATTCGATTGTATCTCTGCAGATTTTGGACTGGAGATCGACATTCTGGACAACGTTGAACGACGACGGTGAAAGCTTCGGCTTGATCTTGAACAGCGACAGCTCGACCATCTTCCAACAGTCGGAAATGTTGACCAAGATTCATGACTCCATCCAGGTTGGATCGGCTCATGATGTGACCGCAGTTCAGGACAAAGCACGGATCCGCATCGAGGTCAATGCTTCCATACGCCGCAAACTCGGTCCAATCCACAATCTGAGACCGTCTGGAGTCGTCACAGCAGACTTGACAGTACTCCGGAGGTGGACATGTCTCGCCACAGGACGTGATGCACTGATGGCCACACGACAACAACTTCGCACAGCGCTCTCCACATGGCAGCAACTCGCAGGGAGCAGCACACGGCAGGTTGCACTGGCCAACATGAGTACATCCTGCGGTACATGCTTGAGCGCATGGTGCGCACGGCTCACTGCAGATCTTAGAGCACCGCGAATGCTCACAGTAGGTTTCGCATTTCGCTTGACAAGGAGAACAACCCTTTCCACTGTGGCACACTTGCTTGCAACGATGATGACAAAGGGTATACTGCCGGTCGCAGATGGTGGCGCACAGCTGGTGGTTGTAGACGACGGCGTCGCGGATCTGGTGACGGCAGGAGCTGCAAGTGCCAGGGCAGACGTGTCCACAGTCGAGGACTTCGTCACATTTGTGATAGCATCGGAGCTCGATGACTGACTTGTGTGAACAATCTCGAAAGACAGTGTGCCCGCATTGCAAGATTTCTGGGACTTGGACTCTGCAGTATGCGAGTTTAGTATTCTGGCTCACGTAACATGGCTGGTCAGAAACGTGGCCACATTCAAGAACGACGTCGCTGATCATGACGTTGCAGTTGCCGCAAGATTCACCACACTGTCTCTCGCACAAATGATCGCAGCCATCGCGAGCTCTTCCGCAGCGCACATGACAGAAGACATTGTCGTGAAGTGCTCGAACATGGCATCTCTGAGGACATTGATGTCCACAAGGGAGGCGTTCGATGCATTTCCGATCACAGCCGCCTTCTGGAGAGTATCGAACAAAATCGTCGGGCTTTGTGACCATAATTGGAGAGTCGGGATGACGTGGGCAAATGAGATCGAGAGCTGAACCGATGCGACCGTTCTGTCGAAGTATTTCGATGACCTTCTGCCACATCGGCTGTGGCTCGTAGCATGAAGAGTCGCCGATGAGGTACATCCCGTGCTGAGCTCGGCTGAGCAGCACATTGGCGCGGTTTGTGGTTCGTAGGAAGCCGCACTTCTTCTCTGCGTTGCTTCTCACAAGTGAAACGACTACCACCTTGGCTTCTTCGCCTTGGAAGTTGTCAACGGTGGCAAGGCGGACTGTACTGAGCAGATTTGTTCGAGAGACCACCGTGCCCTCGGGACTATCGTTGTCTTCGATGCCGTGCTTCACAAGATCAGCTTGGTCCCGCTCGTCGACCACGATCTCAAACATCGAGCGAAGACGATGTTTTAGCAAGCGTAGTTGCCCAAGATAGGGAGTGAGAACGGCGATGTCGTCCTTGCCATATTGACATTGCCGGACCAAGTGCGACACCATTGCAGCAACCATCTCGACCTCGTACAGATTTGCAAACGATCTGGTGTGGTCCTTGTTCTCCTCGTGTTCCTGGTGATCGAGCCAGAAAAGACGCTGGGCGATACCGGGAACTGGAGGAAGAACGTGGACTGAGGGATGATCCTCGAGATGCGGATAAAGTGTGGTGCGGATCAGCTCTGAAATCTGCGGATGCATGCGACGTTGGATCTGTAGTGTCGTATGCGGAAGCCTGGGTGCATCGACGGTAGGCGGGCTGATCAGACGCTCGAATAGTGACATGTCCAGCGAGTACTGGCGGCCCATTGGATTAGCTGCCTGCAGATCGTAATTCTGGATTTGAGGCCGCAATTGCTCATGGTCGCCAATGAGGATGCAGTGCTCGATGCGCGGAACAAGCGCAGTGATCAGATGTGCCTCCAGAACTTCGCCGGCCTCTTCGCATATTAAGACTTTGGACTTCAGCCGTCTCATGAGATGAATTCTGCGAGCGAGGCCAGAGGTGGTCAAGCCAATGATGTTTGCCTGGTCGAGGCACCGTAGTGATTGCTCGTCGCCGATCTTGCGGGAGGCCGCTTGTGCGCGTTCGTAATCTTCTAGCATGACTTTCAGACTTCGCTTGTGTGTTTCGACGATACCTTGACACCAGTCGTCGAAAAGTCTCTGACGCTCGGACGGCGCAAGATCTGCAAGGGGAATACCGTGAAGCTCAGAGATGTTCCGCAGCTGGTTGCTTTCCGGAGGAGCGACTTTGGGATGAAGGAAGCGCTCCAAAGGCGATCTCTTATCGTAGTCAACAACTTTCCATTCCTCGTTTTCGCCTTCGGGCTGAAACAGGCCAAGGAGCTGTCGATGATGGTCGATACTGTGCACTGACAAGTACTCCTTCACATCGTCGAATGTTGGCTCCGAAGATACCTTAGCCAACAACGGCTTGATTTGCTTGAAAAGATCTTCCAGATGACTGGCACTGATGGCGTAATTTTTGCGCTCCGATGCTGTATAAGGCATTGACATGGCCACTTTGCGTAGGTTGACTTCTTGCAAGGCCTCGGATTTGGACTGACCTCCGATGCGAACAATCTGCTTCACACCGTCGGCAACGAGATGCTCAAGCAATTGATCGAGAGCATGGTTGGTGTAGCACACGCAAATGATCGGTCCCAGCTTGCCCTGTTTCTTGTTCGCGAGCAGTACCTTGATCAAAACGACACCGCAAAAGGATTTGCCTGTGCCGGGAGGTCCTTGAATCAATGCCAGACGATGACTAAGAGCATCAATGATGGCAGCTTGCTGTGCAGCGTCGAGTGTGGAATGTTTGCCGAGAGTGTCGAAGTCGAAAGCCTGACCAGGAACGAAGCGAAGGGCATGCTGGCCACTGACCAGCACACTGAGATCGAACGCAAAGTTCGGTAGTCGTGCATAATCGGGGGGCGTGTCGAGATCCAGATGTGCTTGTCCAGTCTGGCTGGCGATGAGGTCTGCGAAGGGCACATCAAGGCGAGAGCTTTGGTGCTGAAGTGCCTGCAGAGTGGGATAGAATGAAGGTAAGAGTATGCCGGGGAATTCGCACAGGATCAAGGGTCGCTGCTCCCATTCCTGAATGCACTCATCGATGGCTTCGAATCGGAAGTTGTCCGGCTCGATCAATTGCAACCACACTCTGGCTCGCTCGGCGTCCTCGAATAGAAGTCGACGACTGGTCGCTGGCTTGGGACCCTTCTTGGCACTCAGCGATGGCTCCTGACAGACCATCATGAAGGCTGCAAAGCCATCACCAATGAGGCAGACGAGTGCTTCTTCGTTGAGGAGCTTAGAAGCTTCCCACCAATGTTGCAAAGCAGTCTTTGTCTTGTTCGCAGCCAGTTTGGGTTGATCGAATGAGACTTCCATAGCCAGTCCCTTGGGGCCGAGACGGACGCCGTGCAAGTCGACACCTTCGTAGAGCATCGTTCGACTGTGGGATCGAGCATCGATGTCGTGCTTTGTGTCTCGGTTCTGTGATTTGCGAAGGTTGTCGGTGGCAACACGGACCGCATCTCGAAGCATCCCAATGGTATCTTCTCTTAGCAGTCGAAAGTTGCGATCGACGACTCCTGCGAGTCCGGGCAGATGACTCTTCTTCGGATCGACAACAGGCAGGTATTCGGTATGGAGGGCACCCAGCTCGTCATTGGACGGCAGGATCTTGATGTGAGAGATGTTCTGATGATCGTTGCTGTGTCGAGGACCCTTCGGACGCAGACTGCCCGGCCCGTCAACGACCAGGTCGAAGCTAGCAACTTGTGTCGCGACTGAGATTTCGGTAGGCAGAGGCAGGCCGAATCCACGTTCGAACAAGGCTTGGAGGTGATTCAGGGCTCGCCCAGCATTGATGGATGCGAGGTAGGTTGTCCGGCAGAGGCTGCCATGAGGTTTGAGAAAATGTCCAGAACAGCAGCCAGCTCTTCGTTGACTTTCGCAGAACCATAGAACTCGACGACCTTGTCCAAGACGAGAAGAGCTGCAGCCATCTTGTCCATGTTGAGAGTGGTGTCCACAGTCGTCGAGCTCAAAGCAGCAGAGATTGATCCGAAGAAACGCACAGCTCGGGTACCACCAACACCAAAGATGACGCCAGTGATCGCAAAGAGAGATTCTTCCAAGAGCGCGGAACGAATGATGTCGGGATGTGAGATGATTTTGAGCAGCGGCATGGCACTTCGGTCGACAAATGTTTTGCAGTCGTTCACATTGGCCACTGAAGGTGCTGAATCCGCGAGCTGCTTGATCTGAGCAAGACCACCTGCGGTAGCTAGATGAGTGGTGACGCGCTGCTTGCTCTCGACATGATCGGCCTCGACGATGGAAAGAGCGGTTGTGATCCAGGTCTCCAGGTGACGTGGCGGAAGGACATCGGCGGGGTGCTGGACTTGACTCAACCAGATCGTAAGGGTGCGGTAATCGTCTCTTGGTACACGAAAGACGTCGGTGTGTTGATGGTTATCGTTTTTTGCACCTCTTGCCTGCTGCGGACCTGAATGGGAGAATCTGCAGGATTCACCGTTGCGACAACGGCCTTGTTGGAAGAAGTGACACACGCGCGAAGCCATGATGAAATTGACGACGAAACAAGTGGTAAAAGACACTTTACCAGCGCGAAAAGAAGTTTGCAATGGAAGAAGGGGAATTTGATGGGCATGAGAGCTTACCACCTTTCCATAAGTCTCTCGTCGTGGATCTGTTCAGCCAATGCTCCTGCAGGCAACCACCCGAGAGCGCCGCGAACCCGCAGCAAGACTGCAATGTGACTTACCGCAATGCTTGCTCATGGCAATTTGCCTCTTCTCACACCGGGACATTGATCGAGTGCTGCGGACACGGATTTTGTCACAAATCGTCGACCAATCTCGGTCGACGGCTGTGCAAAGATCTTTGGTAGCTCATATCCCAGAGCCGTACCGACCCGAAGCCACCTCCTCGGCCAGAGCCACAATCGCCGACCTGAAACAAGACCGCCCACCGCCATATTGACTCCTGCCAGTGCTCAGTGGCTTCGTGCAGCGGGCTGGCGTCAGCCGCTTCTGCCTCCGCAGGTCTTTGGCTAGTCTTTTCGTACGGCATGTCAATGGCAACGGCGCGTTCGGTTCGGGGAGCATAACGCTCAACGAGGGCGTGATTCGGCGGCTTCCAGTATGGCTTAGGATATCAGGATGCGAGCAGACTGTGCCCAGAAGTCAATGCCTACCGGCGCCGATGAGTTCCACGTGGAACGACCGGATGATTGAAAGGATACCTGGTCTCAGACGAGACTTCCGATAGCAAACATCTATGCGGAAACGAAGGAGCGAGGTCACGGACGTGACGCGACGTGGAAAGCGCCGACGCGTATCAGATCGAGAAATCTAGCCGAGCACGCCAAGTTTTGGTAAACACTCCACCTGGAGTATGCCCTCCCCAGTAAAGGCCTCGAGGTCGCCGCATCTCTTCCAAGGCTAAGTCCTAAGTCATGCCCTCGTTTTCACTTCGGCTCTACGTCCTCGCCATCCCCACCAACGCGTCGCTTGTTGCTGCGCTTCGGAACGCGACTGTCCTCCTTCTCTTTCTCCACAATCACGCCTGCTCTGTGATCCGGCAGCCATTTCTGCATCAGTGATCCTCGTCCGCGATGCAATACCGTGAGAAAGCTATCATGGCCATTCTCTGATCAGACTCGCTCGAACAACCTCCTCCGTACATGCATCCCCGGAGCTTCGCTTCGTTTGAAGCGAAGCCCGCCATCAACGCAGTGGAGCACATGTACCGCGTCTTCTCACTTCTCGCCCTCGATTCGACTCTCGACATGGTCCATCCACTCCTCGCCGCCAAGCATAATTCCTGAGTCCGCCACGACGACGCCATACGCAACGACGCCCGCGAAGCCTCTCTCGAATCCCTCCACATCAAGCCTAAGATCTGCGTCCTGCTTTGCTCCATCCGAGTCGGCAGTCTCGGCCTAAACCTGACCGCGGCGACTCGGTTCAAAGCAATCGCGATTCCTACGTACGGAAACGTGCCCATACATTCGCTTACGATGAAGCATATCCCGAGTGCAAAAACAAACCCCAGGCATGGTCGGACAAGAAGAAAAGCAGCTGATTGAGAGATGCCCGCCTGCACTAGCTTCGATGAATACATGGGAACGAGATCACCTCAACGACATGGACGCACTTCCGCATGCTCACCACCTTCTCTGCCTTACGCGCCGGCCGAGTATGGTGTCTCAAGGATTCAAGACGCGACCGAAAGTAGTTTCGCTCCCTGGGAATGCTGAAGCGTCACCGCCGGCGAGTACATCGAACAAGAAAGAGCATGGGAGGAAAAAAGAGCATGTCCTCGACAAAGAAGGCCTCGCAAACCTCGACCGAACACACATCACACGCGTAGGCATGGCTGTCAGCAGATATACCACGAAGAGCCCGACTTGGTCTCCTGACGCGGTCGCTCGCCATGGCGAGTTCTGTTCTTTCCACTCGGCGTTCATGTCGATTGCTTCTCCTTCTACCTCGAGCATCGGTACGACAGAGAGCAGCCTGAAGACTGGTATGCTTGAGCCCAGGCCGGCCCTCTTCCGTCATCTTCGCATGCACGAGGAGGTCTGATGGCTTGAGACAAGAGCGGCCCTATGGCCGAGAAAACCGTTCAGGCCATAGCTCGATATCTGATCAGCTACTTCGATGGAAGCCGTCCAAGCACGACACTGCTGATCTGGTGTTGCCGCTCTGGTCAACATTACGGTGTCAGGTCAGTATCGACAAGGATGAGCCTATGCCAGACCTCAACTCATGCACGTCGCTCTGTGCCAGTCCATGCACTTCCCCATTGTTATCCTGAAGCCAGACAAGCTCGTTCGAACGCAGCGACGGCCTACCGGTGCGCCATGCAAGGCAGCAGGCGCCTCATTTTGCACCCCTCCACAATCACTCGCCTTGCTTGTCCATCGGCTCCGGCGCGGTCGAGTAAGTGCTTGACTAAAGCCTACTGACTGTGTTGCGGACAAACCGGTGGGATCGGGGCTTACGGTGAGTGCTTGGTGCTGCTGGTGGGCTGTACGCGACGTCTCACCGTTCTGGTGCGCCATCAGATCATGCTGACACTGATTCGTGACCTGGCCAGACGCATCGTTCGTGCCTACGAGGAACCATCTCCGAGCCAAATTCGGGACCTTCATCGGCATTTCCAACTGCTCACCATGGTGCGTGCTATGCGTGCTGCCCGTACGATACACTGGCTCGACCAGATACCCTATTCAAACATGCTGAGAGCGTGCGGTCATGGTGATGAAGATTCGCTGCATTTGGTGTACCGTCTCCAATGACAGGTCTCCAATTGCGCCTATTCCAGGTCTCACCGAGGTAGGTCCAGTGCGGCGAAGGCGAGGCCAAGACACCCAAGGAAGCCAAGCCAACCGCCTGACCCTCCATCTCCCTGCATATCCGAACTCTTCCGCAGCCAAGTGTCTCTCAAACCGTGTCATCTCATTCAGTCAGTGTACAACTCATCGTGGGAGCGGCAGGTATCCGTCGCCTCACATCAGTCAAGCACAACTCGTCAATCGAGCAGCACCATCGACATCAACAATCTTCTCAGTCGGCAGGAAACAACCCAGGAGTCGAGAATATCCGAATGAAGGCCGTGCAACTCGTCAGGAACCCGAGCTAGCCACGTTCAACGCTTACCTACAGAGTGAATGCCCCTCCGGCGTCTCTGCTACTCACAGCAATCTGAAAATGAATAAATCAACGTCAACTCTCCGCTTCCATCCACCTCTTCCAATCCAGATGTCGGCCTTCTAGAACTCGAAATGCATCCGGTGGTATCCGTCTGTGGCATGCGGGTGCGTCTGCGGCGATGTTAGCCACAAGCACGAACGCTACGGTGGACCCATGTGCGGCCATGAAGACCTCGGCATCCCCTAGTATCATCTTAGCTGTTGAGTCCCGCCCAATGAGCCCGCCAACGCACCCCGCGCAAGCTTCCATTGAACCCTGGAATGGGACCGAGGTGACATGGACAACCTTGGCATAATTTGCAGCTGGTCTTAGCGCTTCGATAACAAACCTTCGGAGTGCTGTTTCCAAGCTGCGGAACGTAACCTCAGAATCGCCAAGCACTCCGCCAAGGTCTCCGCCACCAAGCCAACCCTGCCGACCTGCCGAATCTGGTGGCTTGGCAAACTCGGCGGAGTATCTAATGGCTCGCATCTCGCCTCTGGCAGCTCCGCTAGACCTTCTGGAATCTCGCTAGGGTCTTGTTCGTGCGGCAGATGATAAGCGGCCTTCCCATAGGGGATAGTGGCGCGAGCATTCGTGTTGAAATAGCAAACGTCTGCCGCTGAGCGCATGTTCGTCCTTCAGCATCGCTCCCTCGAGACTGCGACTCAGTTCATTGCCCGCCATGGCGACCATCCAGGAGAACAAGACGCCAGATACAAGCAGCGATACACCTGCCAGCATGGAGAAGGGTGTTGATCGCCAGCCCAGCGTGGGAGATGGCACAGTGCCTTACAATATGCGAGAAGCGGATTTCATGACGAGAAACGGTCTCAACTTGAAGAGCTTTCAAAGACGTACGTGCTCTGAAGTGTGCATGTAATCCTGCTAATTCGAAATAGGAGACTGGGGCATCCACGATTCTCAGCTCGATCGGTCCATGAAGAAACGCCACCTGAACATGATTGCTATCGGTGGCTCGATCGGTGCAGGTTTCTTCGTCGGCTCCGGCGGTGCGCTCGCCACTGGCGGTCCAGGCTCGGTGCTCCTCTGCTTTCTCATCGCAGGTGTCATGATCTTCAATGTGGTTCACTCCCTCGGCGAGCTTGCCGTTATGTATCCCGTTTCCGGCGGCTTTTACACCTACGCCGTCAGGTTCATCGATCCTTCGTGGGGTTTTGCCATGGGCTGGAATTATGTGAGGCTGGCTCCGTCTTCCGCTTCTCTTCTACGCTAATCAAGCAAGGTCTTGCAATGGACTATTGTCCTACCGTTCGAACTTGTCGTTGCCACCTTCACCTGCCAGTACTGGAACCGGGACATCAGCATCGCGGTGTGGGTGTCAGTCTTCTGGGTGGTCATCATCTTCATCAACATCTTCGGTACTCTGGGCTACGCTGAGGAAGAGTTCTTGAGCTCTTGTTTCAAGCTTGCTGCTATTATCATCTTTATGATCGTCGCAATCGTCCTGATTTGTGGTGGAGGTCCCTCTGACGGCCTGTACGGGGAGTATTGGGGAGCACGTGTATGGTACGACCCGGGTGCCTTCCAAAACGGCTTCCGAGGATTCTGCACTGTGTTCGTCACCGCTGCTTTCTCCTATGCGGGTACCGAACTTGTCGGGCTGGCAGCGGCCGAGTCAGAGAACCCTCTGAAAGGTGAGTTCACGCGTCTATTCCGCGTCCTAAGTTGTGTCGCTGACATTTGTTCCACAGCTCTTCCATCGGCAATCAAGCAGGTCTTCTGGCGTATCACCTTGTGAGTTGCCCTTGCTGCACCCCTTGAGCAGTGGCACTAACTAGCAATAGCTTCTACGTCCTCGGCTTGACTCTCGTCTGCATGCTGATTTCGTCCACCGATGAGCGTCTTCTCAACGCAGAAAACAGGTATCGGGACGGAGTGGCACCATTCGTACTGGCTGCCAGGGATGCGGGCCTCAGAGGCTACGATTCGTTCATGAACGTTGTCATCTTGGTGTCTGTGGTATCTCTCGGCGTGTCTTGCGTTTATGGAGGGTGAGTCATCCTGATCTAGCTGTTGAGGCCCAATCCCAAATGTCTTGCTAACATACGTTCCAGCTCCCGTACGTTGACTGCGCTCGCCGAGCAGGGCTACGCACCAAAGATCTTCGCCTACATCGACCGATCCGGACGCCCTCTTCCATCTGTACTCGTCGTTCTGTCATTTGGCGCCCTTGCGTACGTCCAAATGGCTCCAGATGGATCGACTGTCTTTGGCTGGTTGTTGGCCATGTCTTCTCTTGCGGCGCTCCTGACTTGGGGATCCATCTGTTACGTAAGGCTACCCCATTTCCCGCAATGTCCATGGTCTAACATTGATGCAGTCCCACATCCGTTTCCGTCAAGCATGGAAGGCACAAGGCCACACTGTCGACGAGATCCCACACCAGGCCATCTTTGGCGTCTGGGGAGCGTGGGCAGGCTTGGCGCTGGTCATCCTCATCTTCACTGCCCAACTGTACACAGCGATCTGTCCCGTCGGTGGCGGCTATACCGACGCAGAAGGCTTCTTCAACGTCATGCTTACCGTCCCCGTCATCATGGTCTTCTGGATTGTCGGCTATCTCTGGAAACGTCAAGGCTTCTTGAAGATTGACCAGATCGATGTCGACTCCGGCCGTCGCGAGATCGATTGGGAGTATGTCCACGAACGTCGCAGGCTTTACGCCAGCTGGCCTTGGTGGAGGAAGGCTATCAATCAGCTGTGGTAGTACGGAAATCCGCGGATGCTAGGTTCATTTGGACCATCATCAATTGGCAAGACTGTTTCGCAGGTCCCTCAGCTGGCGCGATTTTGCGTTACACGCAAGCGACCGTAGTCATGGTGGTGTCATTCAAATAGATCGAAAAGGATTCGATGCCACTGTTGACGACAACTAGGCTGCACGAGTGCACTTTGTCCCGGAGAAGTCTATGTCCATACCAGCGAACACAGCCGAAAGTTTCCTTGCTTCGCAGCATGCTGGCCTAAACGGTCCTATGACTTCGATTCTGCTGTAGTGCACCAGGAATACTTCTCAGTCCCAGCTACGTTCTCTTGTTGTCGACCATGTGGCAAGACGCATGGTCTTCGATTCGTAGACATGAGCTTGGCCTGCCGGACTGATTCGAGAAAGCGAGTGCCGACGTTATCACTGCCTGCCTACGTGCCTGCTCCGGCCTCGTCTTGCTACCTCGACTACCAATGTTCAAGTCGTTGTCTTCATGTGCGCTACATTTATATTGATGGCGGCTTGGCGGCAAGAAGTGCCTGGACCATTCCTTTCTCCAACTCCTGGTTCCAAAATGCGCGGCCGCTGGAGCCGTCACACTCAGAGCCTGGAACTTCGTGTTACAGGGAGCGGATTGATCCGGATATAAGCTCGAAAACCGCCCACGACTTCCGTTCACAACCTGTGCTTCAGGCCTTCCGCCTCTGCAGCAGCAGCTCAAAAGCCTCCAGAATACCCATGCGATGTTCGCTTGATTTCAAACACCTTTTTCTCACCTCCTACTATGCTGCAGCATCAGGACTCGTGTTCACCTCCTCTCGCAAAGTGGTCCAATTCGGAGACCATTGTGCTGACATGCGTGTGAGCACGAGCAATATCCGGGGCCTGGAGAGATGTAGTACAGAATATAAAAGGACTATGTATCATAACGTATGCCTGCACTGCTAAGCCCAATCCGAAGAGCTTTGACTCATTGTTGCAGCCATGTCAGTTGCCTTGCTCGGATTCGTCGGGCTGGTGGTTCTTGTCGTGATTAAATTGCTCAACAGCACAGACATTCCCAAGATCAACGGTCTAGTTGAGCTGCCAGGCATCCCGATCTTCGGTAACCTGTTGCAGCTGGGCTCCAGCCACGCTAACGCATGTCGAGTATTGGCTGCTCGATATGGACCAATCTTCCAATTGCGGCTTGGGAACAGGGTACCGAATCCTGTCGCTTAGGCAAGCATCATGAGACTGACAGCTCAACCCAGCGCTTTGTGTACGTCAACAGCTTCGATGCCGTACGAGATCTATGGATCGGGCACAATCAGTCTCTGATTTCCAGGACCTCATTCTGGACCTTTCATTCGGTTGCTTCGAGCTCGAAAGGACCGACATTAGCCACTTCACCGTGGTCAGAGAGGACGAAGCGCGTGCGCAAAGCTGCCGCTACCGCTCTGAACCGCAGTGCCATACAGACGTACCTCCCCTCAATTGATCTGGAAACAACGACGAATGCCAAAGACATTCAGGCCATGTCCAAAGAGGGTATGGATGTGGATCCAACGCTCTACTTTCAACGTTCATCGCTCAATATGGCTCTTCGAGTCAGCTATGGTTTCCGACTGAAGGGCGCTGTCACTGACGAGAGGATCCGGGAGGTGGTCGATGTTGAGCGCGAGCTGAGCTTGCTCCGAGGGATCGCTCACTGCTGGCAGGATTATATCCCAATCATGCGACTGTGGCCAGGTTATCGAACTCATGCGATACGACTACGAGACAGGCGGGACTCGTATCTTGGACAATTCTTCAAGCAGCTCAAACATCGCGTCTCGGCCGGTACCGACGTCCCATCCATTACTGGGAACATGATGAAGGATCCAGAAGCCAAGTTGAGCGATGGCAAGCTCTGTCTGTTCTCGTATCGACCCCATTACTGACGGTCACAGATGAGGTGAAGACTGTCAGTCTATCCATGGTCGCCGCAGGTCTTGATACTCTGCCGTCGAATATTAACATGGCTATAGCGTATCTCTCTTCGGCCCACGGCCAGGAGATACAACAGCGGGCATTCAATGAGTTGCAGAAAGTATACCCGGACGGATCAGGGTGGCGAGAATGCTTGCAAGCGGAACACTGTGAATACCTGATGGCGTTGGTGAAGGAGAATCTGCGGTATTGGAGTACCTTCAACTTATCAATTCCACGCGTCGGCATCAAAGCGATCGAGTACAAGGGTGTTACTTTCCCTGCCGATACGCCTTTCGTGATGGTGAGTCGGAGCCGCATTTCATAGCAAAACTTCGTACTAAAATAGGCCAGAACGTCTTCGCTGCTAATCATGACGACTCGCGCTTCGAGAAGCCAGAAGCGTTCAATCCGGAACGATATCTTGCAGGCGCGAAGACTGGACTGCAGCATTTGAGCTACGGTGCAGGTTCCCGAGCTTGCCCGGGCGATCATCTTGCCAATCGCCAGCTGTATGTCATCCTGACCCGGTTGATTCTGGCGTTTCGCATCCACGAGGCGGCCGATTCGAAGATGCGACCAGTGCTGGATCCCATTGCCTGCAGTTCTGTCACGACAGGGATGGTGACGCAACCGAATCCTTTCAAAGTCCGATTTGTTGCAAGAGACGAGCATCAATTGGCGGCGTGGGTACAGGATTCGGTCCAGCGAACTGCTGCATTTGATATATGATGATTGTAAAGGAGGAGCGGGACCGTAACTGTGGTGGTGTGTTTGCACAATGACTTGTTGCAATCGCAGATACCTATGCGATCACGTTCGAAGGTACATGGGACTTGCAGAGCGCTGATCAGACGCGGTATACCCGCAAAGCTGTCGAGGCGAGATGGAATCTTTCACCAGCTGCAAGCCGGCTCGTCGCGCGTGGGTCTGCCGTATTTGAGTGCTGCACCGTATCGTGACTCCAAGGTCATTGAATGCCAACGGTGAGCAGCAAAGATGAGCTTGCATCCGTGGATTTAACCGCGCGGAATGGCGTGCCGATTTGAGGTGCCGGATCGCATTGACCCCCACTCAAGTAGCAAGTCGTGATCGATGACTTTACCGTCCATTTGACCCCAGGCGCTGAGACATGACCACCATGGTGCAATTGCAGACGCTTTGAGACAGGAAGACTCCCGCTAGATTCGGTGATAGCCGAGAAGTACCAAAGGTAGACCGTGAGACAGCAACGTCCCGATGAGGCTTAGCGTAAACCGAGGCATGACCATGGGATACTGATGTGAGAGATTGATGGAGTGTTGATCTTGATTCAGACTTCGTATTTACGCTCGCGAGCACCAAGCTCTTGCTACTGGAGGCCGCTGAGAAGGCATGTCTCTCCGATGATCGAGCCAGTCTTCTACCTTGACAGGAGCCTTCGCAGCGAGACTGCTTTGCGGCCAACAGCTGCCGAGCTGTGAGCCGGCCAGAGAGGCTAGAACTAGGCCATAATTGTCCGAGCAAGGGTATTTCTGATGGACTTATAGCGTGGCAATCGGGGTCTGCGTGGACCCGATTGAATTACTGTTTGTCAAGTGAAGCGCAACAACACATGTTCGCGTGCTACAGGAGCGGCTCTCCAACTACGTCACAGATGCCATGTCGGAAAGCATCTCCGAGTCCGCAACATGGCGAAAAGCAAGCTGCACGACACAATGCAGCGACAACATTCACTTTCCCACGAGTATGTCTTGGCCTGGATACGACTACTCATCTCCGTCATGCCAAAGCCCGCCTCTAGCTTGCGCCAGGCCCGCTTCCCGGACACAAACTTCGAGCAAAGTCGTCGACGATAAGGGCGTTTGAGCGTTCTCGGCCATTGAGCCGAGGGCTGCTTCTTGAAAGCAGCGCGTCAAAGGCGTCTGTTGGCTCGCAACCCGATCGCCCCTCTCTCTCGCTATTACAGCAAGCGTAATGCTAGGCATAAACTGCAGCTTCAATGTCACCTTGCCGCAACAGAACTCAGCGCCGCGGCCGGCATCGATTTGTCTTCGGCCCCCACCTTGAATGTCGTTGCCTGATTTCTAAAGCTCCAATTCGCTGCTACCTGGCACATGGGACGCATTTAGATCGTTCAAGCCCTCGCAGTCGACAATGGAATCTCTACAACACACTCGGAACCCCAGGGACTTGCCACAGTCTGCTCCGGAAAATCGCACCGTTGTCCCACGCGGCAATCCTGTGAAAGTTTTCGCCAGAGACATTCGGAATGGACGCTCCTCCGCCGTATTCGGCGTTGAACCCCAATACCGACCCAATTCCGGAATATGAAGACATTTCAGCGGAAAGGACACTGCAACATGAAGCCCCAGATCGATCAGTCTCACCCGCAGAAAGGAGAGCTTTGGACCTACAACAATCTGGATTCGTCTCTGCAGCTGCTTATTTTGCGCTCCACCCACCATCTCGCCCTGCACCACCTGGATACTATGTCTACACAGTCATCATCGACCCGGCAACCAAGATTCTGCCAGCTCCGACACCGATTGCTCTCTTCCAGCAAAGCGATGTCGACAGTCGTAACTGGCAGACGTTCGCAAACCATCTATTCCCACGAAATTGGTCGGGCGGATCCTCGCGCGTCACAACTCGCAGGAGCCAACTCCACGAGCTTGGTTCCAGCGACCAAGAGAACAGGAAAGGTATACTGCCCGATCTCTCTTCCTTGATTGACACAATGTCAATCGATCCCAGTAAATCATCTCAGCCACACGCGGGAATATCTAGATCAGAGTCCCCGGCTCTTCGAGCTCTCAGGGTCGAGGCGGTTTTGGCGGAGTGGAATGCTGGGTTCTTCGAGCCACGCGGTGTCAAGCTTCTCGCTCTATTCTCTGAGGACTTGCCTTCCGATGGCGACGATACACCCCTGCACAAAGCAATTTCGCGTGGCAGAACGTCAGAAGTCCGACTGCTCCTTGACCATGGCTCGCAGGCCATTAACTCCAGAAACAGAAAAGGAGAAACACCGCTGTACCGCGCGGTCTATCAACGCGACACCTCGATGGTCGAAATGCTGCTCGCGCGAGGTGCCGACCCAGACGCTAGACCACCGCACAAGGACAGCTGCATATACACTGCTGTCAAGCGAGATGATACATCAACTGTGACCATGCTCCTGGGAACGAACAGGGTCGGGCTCGACGAAATCACTGAGAATGGAGAGACTGCATTATATCGTGCTGTTACACACTTTCAGCGAAGGATTACCCAGCTTCTTTTAGACGCTGGTGCGAGCGTTCACGTAAGGCCTACTGGCAAGAATACGATGTTGGAAGTTGCGGTCTCTCAACACGAGTCTGACCTCTTCAAGACCATTCTGGAGAAAGGTGCCGATCCGAACGAGAGGAACCGCAACGGTGACACACCGCTCAGTCTATTCCTGTCGCATGGCCGCTCAATGTCTACCAGCAACTTAGCGCCTATCGTCAGATTGCTTCTGGACCGTGGCGCCAATCCGAATGCAAGGAATGGCAAAGGAGAAACTTCGTTATCTATCGCCGTTCGAAACAGTCTACCATCTGTTGTCCCTCTCCTGCTACAGCGGAATAACCTCGACATCAATGCCAAGGACTCGAAAGGGAACTCACCTTTATCGCAAGCCATTGCCCAGTCGGACAAGGAAACGTCGATCGTGCTGCTTCAGCACGGTGCCGATGCCAATGCGACCAATCCCTCGGGCGAGCACGTTCTGTATCGTGCCCTTTGCAATGGCAACTCCTCCCTCGTGGCACTGCTTCTCACTTACAATGCACGCACAGGTGCCCTAGGGTCGAATGGCGAATCAGTATTGTACCGAGCGGTCCTTCGGTGCGAGTCAGCTGTTGCGGCGTTGCTTTTGAGCCATGGTGCTGATCCGGATGCAACGAGTCCGAAGGGTGAGCCGTGTCTGTGGCGAGCTGTCGAACAGGGCGACAGCACATTGGCAGCCTTGCTCATCAGTCATGGAGCCGCAGTCGATGCCCCGACCCCGAAAGGAGAGACTCCTCTGTACCGAGCAACCGTCAAAGATAATGCGTCACTCGTGACTATGCTGTTGGCCAGAGGAGCAGATCCGAATAAAGTTGGTCCGAAGGGAGAGTCTGCACTTGACTACGCTCTTCGACAGGGCAACGAGAGCATGCTTCGGCTGTTCAATGTGTTCCTTGCACAGCAAGCTGCTAGCGTCGTTGAGGGAAAGTCGTGACTGGACTGGTGCTTAGGTCGTGGGTGATGCGCAGAGGTCGTTGTTCTACGGCGTCCGGCTCCCGATGCTTATCGCCTAACCCAATCAATAACCGCTCGATGATGACTGTGGATGGTTGAAGCAACACGACACAAATATTGGCACTCACGTTCGCCATCGGTCTAGAAGCGATTCGCGACACACGCCGTGTGTAATCTCAGGACGGGAAGCACGGTCTGACAGTTGCAAGCAGTCGGCAGTCGTCCAGGCAATGCTTTATCTGCCCGTCTGCTTCCAAGCTCGCTGAAGGATGCGATGCAGGAAAGCTTCTCTCCATGCCCTTGGATTTCTGAACTCTCAACGCACCGTGACTTGGTCTCCATGGCCCAACTTCGTGGTGGCTGGCCCGGCAACTCACATTGGAGCTCCACGAAGAACCTCAACATCTCCTTCGTACCCGCGCAGCTCCCGCCGAAGGACACTGAGGGAACCAGTAGAAGGACTTGCAGCAGACGACTTCCTCATTCCGTTTGATCGACTGTTCTCGGAGAGACCCTTCCGGCAACGAATAAGTATTGCAAGCATAGCGGATGTCGCACATGCGCAAATAGCCGTTCTTCGTTGGAGACAGCGAGCTCCGGCCAGACGATTCACGGTTGCTCCTTCGAAAAGATGGGAAGTCGCGAGACGGCAGCTGCTGCAGCCAGGCGCTTCGGAGTCACGGAATCAAGATATTGCCAGTGTAGTTCTGCTCCAGGATTCCCTCGAAGAGCATGGCTTTCTTGGGGAAGTGCACCGGCGAATGATCTCTCGCATTGGGTCCGGTGTTTCGGCCTGCTTCGGTCCGATGATTACTGATCTTCTGTAAGGCCAGATGCGCAGGCTCGACTGCTCATGCGCGACACGCCTTGGAATCACACACAGGACGCCTTGCATGACGTAACAGGCCCGACCTCTATGCTTCTGGCGTTTTGATGACTACCTCTTCAAGACTTCTTGACTGTAATCTCGACTACCACAGACGAAAACCACGCCTTCAGCTCGCATTGGTCCTGGATCGCTTGTACGGGCACCCATTGACAAGGCATCGATTCCTCAAGCTCCAATGCCCGACCAAACACTCCCAGAAAAATGGGCAGCAGCATGGTCTGCCCAACCTCCAGATGATGCGGCATCTTTGGCCTGGCAGCATCTTTACACCGAGAAGGCAGTCTACACAGACCACGCGTTTCAGATCATTCGAGAGGGCCAGGTGACTCTTCGAAAGCATTTCGAGATTTGGCGCACCGCGATGCCCGACTTCAGGCTGACTATAGCTGACGCCTTTCCTGTGGAGACGCTATCAGATGGACGAACTCGATACTCAATACGAACGCACAACACGGGAACCTTTGTAGGCGACTTCTCACGCCGCGAGCCGTCTGGCAAGAAGTTCTACTTTCGCGGGGTCGTCGATATTGTGGCGGATAAAGATGGGCTGATCGAGAGCGTGGAAGAATGGTACTGCAGCAACTTCGACGCCACTAACGGGCAGGGAGAGTTTAACTTTCGTTCTGATGATGGGTGAGGGAAATTTTGGAAAGGTATGGACCTGGTATGAACGCCGATGGTTCATGCTAGTCATGGTGGCCGAGATCGTGAACAGTTGCAATGACACCAACCGCTTGGTGCGTTATTACGTCCACAGTATGTGGTGCAACTGCGCCCTTCGTCGCGAATAGCACCTTGACTCCTTCAAAACTCACAGCGACGAGGCTTCATGGGCTGGGACTGGCTCGATGCTCGGCTACTGTAAGAATTGCGTCAGGATGATGCATGTGAGAGTAGTAAATAAATGCATATTGATATAAATGAGTCACCGCCGTCGGCTACACTATTCACTCCCCAGTAGTCGTTATTGGAGACCACAAGGATGTTCGACTGGACGACCGAAGATAGTAAGCGCTCAGAGCACTCTGCCCTTGACTTGCTTGCGCTTGCGGGTATCGATGGCACGCCACATAGCCACAGCCGGAAATCCCAGCGCGGTGATTGCCGTCGCAGCGATAAGCATGATCCGCTGCGAATTCCCGTATGCGTTCTGGATGCCGATTCTGGTTGGGTCGCCTAGCGCATAGCTGAGCTGCACTGTAATATCGCCAGCAATGATCGTGGAGTTCGCTTTGGTCTCGGGCGGCAGGAAGCGGGCAAGGTCTTGGGTGAACGTTCCGCCCCACACGGCACCGGCGATAGACGCACCAATAGCGCCACCGATGGCGTTGAAAACGGAGAGGATAGCCAGAACGACGGCAATATACTGGTGAGTCGTCGCGGCCATGGCTCCGACCTGCTGAGCAATGACAAGCGTTCCACCGCCGAAGGCGATGAAGAGCTGGCACATGACGATGTAGCCGATGTTGACGTCGGGCTGGCGGAATACAATCATGAGAACCACACCCAGGAACGTAAGTGGCATGCCGAAGAACAGAGCCTGCCATTTGAAGTCGCCTGTGTATCGAAGAACAAGGCCAGCGATGAAACTCCAGAAACATGAGCCCATGCTGTAGATATTGAGAATGTATCCAGTCTGGACTACGTCGAGCCCAGGCACAACCTGCAGGAAAGACGAAAAATATGTGTTCCAGATATAGAATTCCACGAATAAGATGGCCGCAATTATGGAGCATCCGAGAATAGTGCGGTCTCTCAGTAAGTGGAATGGAATGAACGTGACTGGTGCGAATTTCCACTCCCAGATGACAAAGGCAACGATGAGAACAAAGCCGATGATCAACATGGATAGAACGAGTGGCGACGACCATTGCTCGTCCAGGGTGGCGCCTGATAGGGGAAGAGACTGAATGGTAGGAGGAAGAGAGCAAGGCCAACGATGATAAGAAACAAGCCGAATGCGTCGCACTCCCTGGCGTAAAACTTGATGGCCTGGAGTTTGGTACGGCCGGTGTCGCGGATAGGCACGATTCCTTGCTTGAAGGCTTTGTGCTGGTAGAACAGCAGGATGACAATCAAAGGTGCATTGAGGACCGGATGCAGGATGGAGAAGACGCCGAACGCCCATCGCCATCCCGGACCCTCGAGCATGGCGTTGGCGAAGTAGCCAGAAGTGAACGTGGTGATGAGGTACGGCGAGGCGATATAAGCGAAGATAAGCCTCTGTTCTTGAGCTGAGAAGTGTCGGCCAGAATGACGCTGAGAACGTAATTGCGGTTGAGACCACCGGTCTGGCTGAAGACCTCCGCAGCAGCATACATCTGTACGCTGTCGGTGGCTGCCATCATAATTGAGCCCACTGTCATTAGGACGACACAGATAGCAAGGCCTTCAGGACGGCCCCAAACATCAATGAGCTTAGCTAGAGGCAGTCTGGCGAGGCCGCCGACAAGTTGAGCAACGACTCCAGTGATTGCAGTAAGGCCGTGTAGAGAGAACTTGCTTGTGACGTATGGCGCTAGAGTCCAGCCTGTCGGACCTTCCAGAGCGTCGATGAAATATATAATCCAGACCCTATTCTGTTAGCAGCGACTGAGGGAGGAAGATGGTACCCACCAGGCATAAGTGAAGTAGAGCGCCCATCGAGGCCAGACCTGTGCCATACCTTCGATCTTCTGTACCCCAGTCTGCATGTCCGTGTGGACGAGCTCGTCATTGTCAATGTCTTCGGTTGCGACTGACTTGATGTGTTTAGATTGATCAGCAGGGAGAACAATTGGCGCATCAGTCTTCTCGTCGACAGACTGTCGGGCCAGCTCAGGCTGACCCTTGACAGTGTCAGGTCTCAGTCCGTTGAAGAAGCCCATTTTCGGTACGAGAGGAAGAGGGATTGATTAGATTAGATGGGCGGAACCGCGAGCTTCTAATACCTTGAAAATTTTTCGGCCTTGGCGTAGCATCGCTTCCTTGTCCCAGGCTGGGCGCCGCTAGGGAAAGCATGAAGCTCACTGTCTTGCGATGTTGCGTACTATAGCGCGACGTGCTTTGCGCCCCACTCCCTCGGAGCCTCGGTCAAGGATCCCTCTGGTAACATCGCATAGCATTCACATCTGCAGCCATGAGCTACCATTCTGACGTCGTCGTGTGTCGAAGGCCGCAAAGCTGTCCGTAGCGAAGCGATCATTAGTGTGGTAGCCAAGGCAACAGCTCTGATCTCCTGCCAATCGGTTAGGATCTTCGGATCTCTGAAAGCTTGGCGCCGTGATGCCAAGATAGGTCGAGCCCGTGCCAAGCTGCTCGTTTTTCGGTTTGCTACAAAAAATCACTCACATCCTACTGTACTTTTATTCTCGCACCAACCCGTGTAATTCCGGTCCAGCATATCACTATCAGGCATTGTCGTCCCGGCAAAGTGGCGGAATGGAATTCCCGGCTGACAATCTCCCATCGGTGCGAATCCAATTAGGACTTGGATGCGACTAGAGATAGCGGTCTGGAACTGCCTGTGTCGCGTAGCTGGAGGATGTTGTATGAGTTCGCAGTGGAGGGGGCATGGTGTACTGTCGTTTCGCCCGAAATTGCCAATCGAATATGAAAATTACCACAACCAGCGCGATGATAGCGACTGAGTAATTCATGTTCTCCGACGTGACAGGCAGATAGTAAGGGAACAGCAGCCAGACGCTGGCAAATAATGCCCAGACAATACTGATCGCATCCAATATTGTGCCAACAAAACCACCAAGATCCAGATAGTGCGATGGAAGGCCGTATTTTCGCTTCTTGTAAACAAAACACGATAGTGTGATAGCATAACTGATATAGAAGCACACATTTGCGGCGCTGAAGAATGCCCCAAGGACAAAGCTAGGGCCTAAGTTGAGCAAAATGACCGCACTTGAGAGTACAACCACAGTGATGATCGCGTTGACCGGCACGGCCCAGAATCTGGTCTTATGGATGTGTGAGAACCAGGCGCTGAAGGGAATGCCGTTGTGCTCAGAGAATGACCATATAACACGACTCGCAGTGGTCGTACAAGCTGTAGCGGCGACAAGAGTCGAAAGAATGTAGACGAAGGTGGCGATGGTGAATAACGCCTCATTTTGAAGCGAGTCCGTGAATATCTGGATGATAGTGACACCTCCGACCGGATCGATGAGGTTCTGAACGTTTGTGGCGCAGAAACAAAAAATAATGACCATCGGTAGGCCACTTATTCCGCTTAGCAAAGCATTTCCGACCATAACCTGAGGCACCTGACGGGCAGGGTCAGGCATCTCCTCGACCATGTGAGCCGCAGAATCGAAGCCATTAATAGCTGTCGTCCCAGGCAGTAAACCCAAGAAGAAGACCACTCCAGTAGAGGCCCAACCAGATTCGTTGATGATATCAACAAATACAGTCTGTGCGGACTGTTTCGGATGTGTTCGTACGAGAAGGCTGACTGCAACAAAGATGACCCCTGCGTTGGTGAACAAGATCATTGCTTTAAGTGCATATGGCCAGGTCTTGAAGAAAGGTACATTCCAGAGGAATGTCACTAGTACCTGCGCCCAAGCCACAAGCACGACTTGCCATGCGGTGCTGCTGTAGCCAGGATAGAGCACCTCAACGGCAGCGAGAAGAATCTGGGCGGTTAGCAGATCAGTGCCTGCCGTCCAGAAAAACCATGCAGCCATTGTGAGCACTCCGGTCCAATAGCTAAGAAAGTCTGACCATTTCTTAGGCGCCATTTGCCCAACCCAGTAGACATGGCCTATCGGAAATCTGTCAGCCCAAGTCCTGGATATGAGCGAAGTCAAACATACCACTTGGATGGGGATAGATAGCAGAAACCTCGGCGAGGGCTGTACACAGGATGATGTTTAAGCTCACGGCGAGAATATAGCCATAGATGAAGAAAGGACTTCCGCCGAGGACGAGACTGAAGGTCAGGTAGCTTCCAATAGCGATGGGTGTGGCAGTAACGCTGTATACGAGCCCAAGTGTGCTCCATAGGTTGAAGGTGATCTGCATCTGGGACTCTTCCCTCTGATCGCTCGGAATAACCTTGACGCCGCCAGCTGTGGTGACAGCATCCTCGCGGTGAATGTGGACGCTCTTGTCGTCTAATGCGCTGTTCTCCATCTCGCGTATATGCTGAAAAGGATAAGGCAATGACTAGATCAATATCCAGTAGAGACTGAAGAGATGATTGTTGGTGCTTTGTAAACAAGCCAAGTGAAGTAGAATCGTTATTTGAATGCAAGACGGGAGGGCTACCTTGTTACATTTGATCTGCTTAGCGTGTGCCGAAGAGAGAGCCTTTCAGCCACCGAACCTCAGTCCAATCATAGATTGCGACGACCACGAATTCCTTCCCCGGAATTGAGCAGCAAACTCTTCTTGTTGCCGTCAAGCCTTTGCAAGCTCAAAGCCTTATGCCCATGGGGTCGGTTCGAGCGCAGACGCGTAAGCGCTATGGGTACGATGTCCAAAGGACTCGGTCCGGTCGGTCCGGTCGGGTCGGCAATGCCGTAGAGCTGCAAGATGTCTCCCTTGCGCTCGGTCGGCTTCAAGCATGAAGCTCGCCATCTCGTGACGTTTCCAGTCAGTCTGGATTTATGACGCGACACACGCTGCCACCAATCGCTTGCGGCGCTCATTCAGGGGCTCTTCGAGTGCCATCACACAGCGTACATCTGTAGCTATGAGCTATCACTCTGAGTTCTTGCGAGTTGGAGGTTGCGAAGCTGTACGGAGTGAAGAGGTCATTGCTATGGTCGTCAAGAAGAGCCGGCACATCACCTGAGCACCTGTGCATCAGAGAAGGTTCAAGATTCTTGGGGCAAATCCGCCAAGAGACGAGCCCGCGCCAAGCTGATCGCGCTGGCCCATTCGATCCCCGGAGTCGGTTTGCGAGAAAAACAGCTCCCATGCCCTGTAGTCGAGGCGATTCTTGCGCCAATCATTCAGATTCAGTCCAGCATGCCACGAGTGGGCACGGCTGTTCAGGCCAAGTCGCAGAATCGAACTTTCTCGGCTAAGAATGGTCATACTGGCAGATCGGTCCTCGAGACCATATGAGCGCATGTTTCGCTCCTTCTTGCGGGACTGCCAGCGACCAGCCCAGGCTTGAGTTCCCTTCTGTGATTTTCTACTATAATGCAATGCACGTAATGTCTATCGCTGCACGGGCGCCACTGTCGCCCGCATCTGCTCTCAAGTGATCAGATACTGCCTGCGAGCTGACAGCACCGCTCCATCTCCTTGGCCTGGCCGTGTACAAGTCATAGCCACGATTCTCAACGGAAGCCTTTCGCGAGTGAAATGCCAGGAACGAATAATCCCTAATAGGAGATCGTGATGCCGAAATGCCTGATGATATTGCGGAGTCGAAAGCGAATATAATTGCGCCGTCTCCCTTTCCCTTTAAGCTATATCGACAAGCGCACGTAGCTTCGTTATTTGACGAGATGTCTAGGCCCTCACGCTGTGACGGCATTGCAGTCAGCCGAGCTCACAAGCGGATGATTATCTGGAGATAAACTGATGCCTTAATAGTTTCTGCTCGTATAAGGGCACATGAGAACGCGTCGGCGCGCGTCCTCTAGATTTGGAGAAGGAAACCGCAATGCAAGTTACGTCACTCCTAAGGTTCCGACATCGTTTGCACGCGCATTGTGTGCATCAACACATTGTACAGACAAGCACCGTACGATATTGCGGCAATGCCACGCCTCTTCCTTGTCGGCAAAGTCGGAGAGGTCGCGCTGTCGGCTGTTTCGTCTTATTTGCTGCCCATGCACCTCACCGCGCCTCCCTCGACGCCGTTCAACAAGATCACCACAAGTCCGCCTTGATACGGACCGCACGCGTCATCGAGCTCGCCGCAGCCCTTCTGCACTTCTGCCTATCCGAGAGGACCAGGTGCGCATGAGGTTTGGGTCGTCATGCGCAGGCCGGAATCAGGCTAAAAAAGACACTGACCTTCCCGTATAGGCAGTCAAGGTCGTCATGCGCAGGTTGTCATGCGCACTTAACTTACAGAGCGTGTAACACGCTGTTGTCCACAACTTAGATTTTACAAATAGTCAGTATCACTAGCTCAACAGGCCAGTCCAGTTTCAATAAGTTTAAAGCACTGTGTATAGCGCTTTAATGTCATAAAGTTTTAGTGTCGTATCTTGAGGTGGTTACTAAAAGTGCCACTCTAGACTTCTTGGCTACCCAACTCTGAATAGTATGGTAAATATGTCACACAGAAGCACTAAAGTCTGGAACTTCTCATCACTTGAAAGATATGTTCACCACTATTTTATTGATAAGAAACAGTATGAAAAGATCTTATATATATATTTTTAACATTATTAAATACTGCTTATCATTATAAGACTATCTTATAGACATTAAATATATAATCACATCAACTTTATAATCACTATTATATTATAGTCTACACTATATCTATATATATATATTTCTATTATAATTAAGACTCTATTAACTACTAAACCATAACTTTATTATCTACTAAAGTATTAAGTGTTAATCTATAGCACTTGCTATTATGCTATTTCTAATGCATACACTCATCTTAAACAGAAGTATTATCTCTCTAAAGCATAATATAGTGCACTTGTAGTATTAACCACTTAATACTATTTAAGAGAACTATCTGAGTTATAGCTTCTATCCAGCATTATTAATCCTATTATCCAGCTCTGGCCAGCTGAGTCTATCTTGAAATACTTAATGATTAGTTATTAAACAATTCTAGCTAGTTAATAGTGAATTTAAGAGTATACTAAACACTATTATTAGTGACAGGTTAATAAGACACTTATGTAGTGATACATTCTAGTCTAGAAATTTTTTCTTAATTAACAAAAGAGTAAGTACTTTAAAGTGAGAGGAGAGACTAATATAATAGAGGATATTAGATTATCATCTTCTCTAGCATCTTGTCACAAGAGATTACTACTTTATCTAGAGTAAGAGGATGAACTCATAGTCTTAGAGAAGGAATGAAAAGCTGTTACTAAATGGTGGTATAAAGAGGAAGTGATTTTAGAGGACAAAATTATGAAATAGGACTACACTAGCTAGTAGTTAATAACATAATAGCTAGAGCATTTTTATAGATATAATCTTCTCTATCTTGCTCATACCAGTTAGGTGGCTAACTATGATAAACACTTACTATAAGAAGTCAATTAAATTTATGACTTTATATTATAGATGGCCACTACCAAGCTCATCACATATTATTAAGAGACTTATTAATAATTATAAAGTGTAAAAGTAGGTAAGATTGACTGTTAATCATTAGTATAATTAGCTGACCATAATAGTCAAGATTAATATTATAGGTATTAGTGGTGGCTTATTTACTATACTCTCTATATGTGGGAGAGTTAAGTAGAAGAAAATCCAGGGACTGTAGCTTATTCCCACTCAGTAGATACTCACACTTAAGTGGGACCACTACCAAGAAATTCCTGTTCTGGTAATCTAGTTACTCCAGACTCTTATTAAGACTCATCACTTTTTAATTATAACAACTTGAATGAGTATAATAACTGTCACACTAATAGTGATAATAATAATAATAATAATAACTTTAACAATAGTGAAGATAATAGTTAATCTAATGTGTAAGTGAATACCATTCGGTTAGGTCCTAAATATTATTCTATCCACAAGATCATAACTAATCTTATGAAGAATACATAAATATTATTTTTATGAACTAACAAGTAAAAGTGCTATATAGAATGGCTATATAATAAATTACAGCAGAATAATAATCCTAAAGATATTATATATATATATAGAAACTGTGTAACTTAATAAAGAAACTGTATTAAATATTTATATTTTAGCAGTAGAACAAGAGTGATTTTAAATATACACTTGTTCATTATTATACTATTCTTAATATTAATAGTGAGTTTAATTAGCTTTATAAAGTATCTAACTACTTATATATAGTTACTAGTATAGTGTAGTGTATATAAGTATTAGTGGCTAACATTCTAATACCTACTAGTGAGCTTAGTGAATTAAATTTTAATCAGAAGAGTTAAGAGAAGCTAATAAAAGGTTAACAGTTATTTTTAACTAATAGGCAAGAGACCCTAATAAGCATAATCTTAACATGACTAGTGTATAGTAAATATATCATAATAAATAGTGAAAATAAGAACACTATATTGTAGTCTACTAATAAGTAGATACTGATTTATTATAGTGCCTAGATTAAGCTGAGTTAGTTCTATTAGATAGTGTACACTATAATTAAGTAAGTGACTAACTAGTTATAAAAAGATCTAATATAAGTTGAACAAGTTATAGATCAGTTCAAGATAGTAACAGCTATACTTAAAAATAACATTTCATTCACTCAGTGAGAATATTTATTTATTCAATATACCAGCAATTAATTAAGTAATAATAGACTCTAGATATATTAATAGATACTTAAGCAATAGAGCTAATATTAATATCTCTAGTATTATAAATAGTAAGTAAAGAGTAATATATATTAATAACTCTAATAATATAATCACTTCTTAGAATTATTATTAGTGTATATTCATATCACTAGTAGACAGTCTATCTATAGAACTAAGATTATATTATATTGATTTTATAATAGTCACTTATAAAATTAAAATATATTTATTATTAATAGTTAGATCATGACTATAACCTATTACTATAAGTCTTAAATTCAACTTAACTAATCTAAGGTGATTCTATAGTTCTTACCCCACACTATTACCCAGATCTTTATAATCTATCTAGTATATATATAACTATTCTAAGAATTTCTAGCTATTTAGGTAGATAGATAGACATTTATTAATTATATCTAGCATAATAAGAAAGGCCTATAGAAGATGAGTTACTTAATTAAGGCACTCTAGTATATTACAGAATAGTAGCTGAGTCATTACTTTAGTACACTTAATTATCAGCACATTACTATAAGTATTAATCAGGAAAAGGTGGGGTCCTAGTTTACTGCTAACTATTAGGATAAGATTAGAGAAGGGGAGTTTAAGGAGCTTAAGAAGAATAATTAGAATAGGCTAGAGATCTAGAGTGACTATGGTAATATACAGAGGTCACTCTGGTATAGTGTTCTAGTTAACATTATATAATACATATTGATGCGGTCTATTAACATATTTTGTCCACTAAGTGAAGTATAGTATTAGTTTCTTGATCTCACTCCACTATTATAGTAATAGCTATTATCTAGTCAGACTTAATCAACCAGTCAGGCTACTAATATTAGATCTCACAAGTAACCCATACTAAGTAATAGTAAGAATAATAAGACTCTCTCATTATTATATAACTGAACTACATGATATAATATATATTTATTATTATTACTAACTATTCACTTATAAGCATTCATAGTATCTAGTCTATCTATACTCTATGAAGTAACTTATAGCCCTATTATGGTTAAGTTGAGTGTGATTCCAGATAAGGTGAATAAGGATACTGTGGTTAAGATGCTTTACTATCTAATGAGAGACCTGCAGACTAATTTTTAGTCTAATTAGCAGTAGAAAGTAATAATAATAGTTATATAATAAGAATATCTATTAGTGGTAGTATTACTCACTAGAGGTGATAAGACTCTATTAATAACACTACTAGAATTCCACTATTAGATTAAGGTCATTATCTTTGTGACACTATTTTAGGCACTTGTGAATAACATAATTAATCAATTCTAGTAAGAGGGACTAAGTGATATATATAAATAGCAGTATAGTATATAGACACTAGCAAGTATAATTATAATTAATACTAACATTATAGTGAGTTTATTATTCATTAAATTTACCTAGTTACTCTATAGTAAAGATCTTTTACAGATAATCTACTTTAATAAAGTGTATTTAGTATTTATTATGAATAATTAGCAGCTAAAGCTGGAGTACTTATAAGAGTTGTGAACACTTTAATATCAACATATTTTTCTAATAGTGACACTGCTACTAATCAAGATAATTCAACTCAAGATTAATCTTGCACTCAGCTATACACAATACATCCAGACATTAATAACTCAGCCCTGAACTCAATACTTTATGTAACACTATTAGCCATGAGATCTCTTTTCCTATACTATTAAGATAGTTGAGCATTATCATGCTCATTTTATAGAGTAGACTATGGGGGTGAAGGGGGTGGTGTATATAAAGAGTCATACTAATTATAAAGCACTAGTATCTAAACTTGCATATCTATACTACCATACTCAGGATATCCAGTGAAGTGAGTAACTTAAGTGCTAGCTCTAATTTAGAGGATTCATTATAACTATATCAGCACCAGGAATAGGTATTAACTACCCCAGTATTATGTATACACTCTATATAGACATCCTATACATAATCATTGACTTTGCACAAGAATTAGGACAAGTGGGGTGTAAGGACAAGAATATAGACTTAGTCATTATTACAGCCAAGTATATAGTGGAGTAGCAGCTATAAAGTATATCCACCAAGGGAAGTAGCAAGAAGAGTGTAATATTGAAGTTTGTGGTAGCGCAAACATGTTGACAGCAGATCATGAGTATATACTTAGATAGACTTGGGCTTGTATGAATATATAGGGACATTCCCAGAGTGGTATAGTGTGATTAATACAGTGAAGGTGAAACTGTGATCATGATCTAATAGTGAATAGCTACTCAATAGTGGGAGGTTGTACACACACTATTAGACAAGTTAATAAACAAGTGTATATAATGCTTCATACTGAACAATATGAATACTAAGGCTAGTGAGGCCATTATATAATATGATGTTTAATTATAGAGACACTATTCCACAAGATAGTAATGGATGTGTTTTGAGTAGAGGTGTGATAGATAGTTACTAGTTACATATATTATCAGTGTGGGATCAGTTAATAGTTCTATATAAGCAGGGAGAATATATGGCAAGTGTGTTAATAGCCATAGGTGGTGGTGCTAGCAGTAATGGCATTATAGGCCAGTCCTGAGCAAGAGCGAGTGATAGAGCTGGTGAGGATATAGTGGGAGATAGTATAGAGGGAGCAGACACAATTCCAGGGGTGATTAGGACAGCAGCATGAGTGGACAGTGTGGCAGTAGTGAATGAGTAACAGGATGATGATGGTGATTTTATTGTTACTGCTCCATTATCAGATAGAGACACACTTAGTGACATGATTGGAGAAGGAGTGAGGGTCTATAGAAGGTGACGTGAGAAGGATAGAGACAAGCTGATCAAACCAGATCTGGGACAAGGAGGGGTGGAGACAAGCCAATCAAAGGGGAGCCTATAGTCAAGGGAGACAAGCTGATCAAAGGGGAGCCTATAGTCGAGGGAGACAAGCTGATCAAGAGGAGCCTGTAGTTGAGGGAGACAAGCTGATCAAGAGGAGCCTGTAGTCAAGGGAGACAAGCTGATTAAAGCGGACCCAGGATAAGAAGGGGTAGAGATAAGCCAATCAAAGCAGAAGGAGGCCGAGTAGAGCAAGCAGATCAAAGCGGGCCCAGCAAGCATGAAGAGCAGCCAATGAAAAGAGAGTAGCACCAGAGTCAGGGTTACAAGTGGTGAGAGTTGGGTGGAGCAAGGGCGCTATATGGCTGTCAGGGCCAGAGGCCAGGGTGCGAGAGAGGCGAGGCAGGTGTAAGCGAGGGAAACTGCTGAGCGCTAAAGGCGTGGAAAAAGAGGCTCCACAGGGAACGGCCGTCTGCCTGAGGACCCGCCAAAGGCCATGCAGGGGTGGGACTAGCGACCACACAGCAGCGAAAGAGAGGAGAACCACTGGGCGCCGAAGGCGCGGAAAAAGAGGCTCCGCAGGGAACGGCCGTCCGCCCGAGGACCCGCCGGAGGCCGCGTGAGAATGAGGGAGCGGGAGCGAGGAGGACCTAACACTATTCGCCAGACCGCGGGTGACCCGCTACCACCAAAATCAGGTCTTGGCATAGATCTCGCTTAGCACTGGGGTCATCAGCTCTAGGTCAGTCGCTCCCACCAAAATATTATATCATCAACCACTCTTCACCACCACACCCAATTCATCATCATTTACTTTTGTATACTATAGAAACATGTCGCAAAGTCCCTCTTCAAGTCTAGGTTCAAGTTTAGAAGCGCATAATAGCCTGCTTACATTGACAGAATTATCACAAGTTTTATTGCCAACCTTAACACCACCTCTTCCCTTTTTACATGCACTCTCTATTTATAAAGTGATCCTCTACACTAAATACTAAACCTGCTTTACTATTAATAATATTAACAAGTATCTAAAGTGTAAACATACTGTCCCTAATAAGTAATAAGTACTTATTTAATAGTAAGTATAAGAACAGAGCTATATAAATACCATTATAACCCCTTCTAACTACACTATCAAGATTCTATATCTTCAGTCAGTATCAGAATATATATATAATAAAGTTAATTACTATTATTAAGTTACCTTATTAAAAAATATATAAAGTCATATTAGTTAAGTATATAGTGTTAACTAGTAGTCAGCATAGTAATAATAATAAATATATTCTATAATCACTCTCTAATAGCTATTTACTAAAACACCCCACTATTTTATTATTATATCTATAAACTAAGCATCACTTATATAATTATCTCTCTTGATATTATTAGTCATTATATCTAGTATAATCATCTTAACAGCTTTAATATACCTTACTACCTTAACTAATATATAACTTACTCAGTACTTTGGCCAACTCACTAATAAGAATCATACTTATTACTAATAAATTAATAAGCCTTAATATATTTCAGAGGTGACACTATGGCTATAGACCTACTGTTTCTATTAATATCTTAGAGATATTAATAGTGTCTTAATAGAATCTGTAGCAATAGTGCCTCATTAGATAACTAATAACTATACTCACAAACCGCCAAGACCAAAATGTTCATTCTCTATATCATTCTCTATATTTTAAATAGCTCAGTGAATATTAGAGCTAATTTAATAAAAAAACTACTACTAGGTGCTCTAGCTCCTATACTTTATAGCTAATATTAAAAAAGTAGACTAGCTTAGTCTAGACTAGCTAAAAAACCTCTAATATAGTGAAATTTTAAGAAAATTACTTTAAAAACTTAAATAATAGTAAAAAGTTTAGATATCTATATATCTTACTTTATATATTAAAAATATACTATCCTATATACCCCAATGAAATGGACTCGATTTCAATGGCCGCGCCCATACAACCGCGTGCCAAGCATGGGAAAATCGGGACACGATTTCGTTGGTGACGGACACACGATTTCAATGGGACGCGTGCCTCAACCAGGAGGCGAGTGCACATACAATGTGAGATGCACATGATCGCGGTGACCCGGTGAGTCGATTGCCGCCATCTGTAATGTGCGGCGGTCCGTATTGCGTGCACAATCGCGGGTCCAAGTTTTGGAGGTGGTACAGGCCATCTGGGCCGCGTTGTTGTCGCAGACCCACCAGTTCCATCCCAAAACAGAATGGTGCAGGTAGTACGGTCCCCCATGATACCCCTGATAGAAGTTGCGGGCCGCTGGTGTGCGTCCGCCACCCAAGCGTATATGCCAAGATGACCGGGCTGCGAGGCAACCAGGCTGAAGAGTCAAATTCTTCAACGCATCTCTTCCTCTTCCTTTAGCTCTCTCTCTCACCCTTCCTTCCTTCCTCCCTCACACACTCTCTGCAGCTCCTCTATCTTATGGCCTGGCCCCTGTCACAGTAGCAGGACACAGAGATCCAAGAGTGGCTTGACCCTCTGTAAGACCAATCCTCTTTCATTCTCTGCAAGCACGGGCTGACTGTTGACGTGGCGATCATGTGGTCTTGATATATTCGATGTGTTTACTTTTGGTTCAAAATCAGCACACAGATGTTCACATCTCACAGGCCTTGTGGTCTAATGGTATGATATGTCTATCCAACGATCTACATAGAGGTCTGGGCCACTGTGTAAGAGTTATGAATGGGCTAGTACCACGACTAAACTGACATAGTGGCTTGATCAGGACGTGGATCATAGGCAAGGTTCGAGGTTCAAGTCCTCGCAAGGCCAGCTCCTTTCTGCTTTTTTACTTTTTATGTACATGGAGGTCAGACTTGGCCTATACCTGTGCTTATTATATTCAACACTCTCAGTTCTCATTCAAAATCAGCACACAAATACTCACATCTCACAGGCCTTGTGGTCTAATGGTATGACATGCCTATCCAACGATCTGTATAGAGGTCTGGGCCACTCTGTCAGACTCAGGAAGGGGCTAGTACCGTGACTGAACTGACTGCGTGGCCTGATCAGGACGTGGATCATGGGCAAGGTTCGAGGTTCAAGTCCTCGCAAGGCCAATCCTTTTTGCTTTTTTGCTTTCGTACTTTTTGCATACTCGGAGACTGAGGTTGACTTGTATTTGTACTTGTTATATTCCATCCCTTGAGTTACAGTTCAAAATCAGCACACAGATGCTCACATCTCACAGGCCTTGTGGTCTAATGGTATGACATGCCTATCCAACGATCTGCATAGAGGTCTGGGCCACTTGGAAAGCCTTCGTCTCTGAGCTAGTATCATGACTGAAACTTTCCAAGTGGCCTGATCAGGACGTGGATCACAGGCAAGGCTCGAGGTTCAAGTCCTCGCAAGGCCATCACTTTTTACTTTTTTGCGTTTTGTGTACTCAGAGGCTTGGGTATTGTGCTTATTATATTCAACCTCTCAGTTCTCAATTCAAAATCAGCACACAGATGCTCACATCTCACAGGCCTTGTGGTCTAATGGTATGACATGCCTATCCAACGATCTGCATAGAGGTCTGGGCCACTCCGTTAAACTCAAAAATGGGCTAGTACCATGATTGAACTGACTGAGTGGCCTGATCAGGACGTGGATCACAAGCAAGGTTCGAGGTTCAAGTCCTCGCAAGGCCAATGCTTTTTGCTTTTTTGCTTTATTACTTTTTGCATACTCAGAGACTTAGGTTGACTTGTATTTGTACTTGTTATATTCCATCCCTTGAGTTATAGTTCAAAATCAGCACACAGATGCTCATACATCTCACAGGCCTTGTGGTCTAATGGTATGATATGCCTATCCAACGATCCGCAAAGAGGTCTAGGCCGCTGTATCAAGTATCAGAAGAGGCTAGCACTGTTCATGATACTTGACACAGTGGTCCGATCAGGACGTGAATCACGGGCAAGGTTCGAGGTTCAAATCCTTGTGAGGCCAGTCTCCTTTTTGCTTTTTGTGTGTACAGATACCTCGGGATTGGGATCCCTTGCGTGCACCATTGCATTCTTTTTACATTTCTTTCTTCACTATCCCACAGCCCAAGTGAAGTAATTATATTTGCTATCTGAAGGTTTTGCTCGCCTTTGGGCACACAATTGCGATCTAAAATCCATCGATCGAACAGCTTGGCAGATCATCCTACTAATCAAACAAACAAACAAACCACAGTCAAAATGGCTTCGGCCTTGAATCCTGTGAGTAGCCTGCCTTTCCTGATCGAAGATTAAACTAACAATTGTGTAGCCTCCTCACTCCTGCGATAACAATGATAAAAACATCTGTGAGAACCCCGAATACAGCGATCTTCGTCTAGCCACTCTCGGTGACACAATCCGCAGTCTCTCAACCACCATTGATCGATATACAACGAAAGGGTAGATCAGAATATAAGTGTTCAGGAGTGAGCTCACAGTCCATCGGACAGTTGTCCAGAACAATCACAACTACATTATGTTGTGTACATAAGATACAGAAACATGTGTCTAGTTAAGGTAATATGGTGAGAGAGTCAGCAACCATAAGGTGGATATACAAGAGGCTGTACAATATTGAGACACGCGCGATAGTCACGTGATCAATCCAAGGATACCCCATTTGTCACGTTATGTACCACACATTTGTCGCGTTGTGTACCACACTTCCTATGCAAGACCCAAGTTAAGCTATCGTTTTTCGCGCTATGGATTTGATCACATATATTCCCGGGTGGGCGGTTGTTGTATGCACATCATGCCGTGTCGGTATTACCATGGACAGTCAATTCGATACACATTTTCGACGTCAACACGCGTTAGGTGGCAGTACGCGTCAGATAATGCGCGCACAGATACAACAGAAATATCCCCATGCCATTCGCCAGACAGAAGACATCAAGGAGTATTTCCAACAATCAGGAGTTGAATTAGCCATCGATGAGTTAGGAGAACCTAAACAGGGATTGCGATGTGCAGAGGTCAGCACTAATAGAGAGCCATACGGGTATGTGTGTTGTGAAGCAAGGGGAATGAAACAACATTATCGGGAGGTACACGGGTGGGTGAATCCTCATGGCCGTGGTGGATCACGACTACAGCGGGCCAGTGTGCAGCGGCCATGGCGGACTGTTCCGTGTCAGCAAATGTTCGCGCATGGCTCATTTCGAGGATATCGCGAGGTGCGGCCACATGAACCCCGCCCCAGTGACTATCTAGGTAGTGAACAGATCGGGACACTAGCGGAACGGATATGGCGACAGATTGAGGAAAAGGGTGCCGAGTTAGAACAGCAGCAAGCCGTTATATCCACGGGGACCAAGTTGGACGCTAATCGGTGGTTAGAGCGCACGGAGTGGGCGACACATTTAGCTGGATTTCAGTGGGATCAGTTGACTGAGTGGTCGGCATTACCCAAGGTAGATGGGGATCCAGTTCTGTGGGCAATGTGCCAAAGTTTTGACCGCATGATCCGGATCGCACAAGAGGCCATCATTGACCGGCATTGTCCGTTTTTCAGTCGATTTCACATCAACAAAAAGCTGAGAGGTGAAGTCAGTCGAACACCATTCCAGGCGGGGATGGAGAATGACACAAGAGAGCGGTATTGCCAAGTTTTCCATCGGATCATAGCATACATGTACCGTACGCGGGACGTGCCCAACGACGAGCGACCAGCGTATAAGTTAACCAGTCATCAGCAGGGGCGTTGGGAGATTTTTCTTGACGCTGCCGAGTCCGTGTCGCGTGTTGAGTCCGAAGAAGACTCATCCACCCCATCCCCCGAGGACCGTTCAGATGATGACGAGGAAGAGGACGACGAGGCTGATATTGTGCCCCGCCGCCCACAGAAAGTGTTAACCCCAATGCGACCCATCGACCGGTATGGGTTGGAGATGTGGATCGAGTTGTTGAAGCCCCGGCTAGAGAATGACCATTTCCACAGCGTCGTGTTGAGTGCGTTAGCAGCAATCGCAGTCGACACCGAGCAGCACACATGGATCATCGCGGAAAATTACACGCCCAAATTATCCGCGGTGGTGAAATTGGCGCGCATGATGGTGGTGTTGTATGGCGTAGACCATGGCCCCGAGGGATGTGTCAGCCGGATTGAATCCATGATCAACAAGTTCATGGTGGAGGACCAGCCATGCATGATGCATTGGGTGTACAGCACGCGACGATATGGTTTGAAGATCCGGTACACCACCACGGCGGGCGGTCATATTCGGTGGGAGAAGTCAACCGTGTCATATCAGGACGCCCGATTCAGTATGGACCAGTTTCGCGGGTGGGTGCGTGGCATGGTGGCCGAGTGCCGACGGACATTGGTGGAGGATGTGTTGTTATTGCCGCCAGAGCAGTTAGGGGAACCCGACCGCGTGCCCGAGATCCCGTGGACACAGATGAGTGACAATCCCAGTGAGAGCCGACCCGGATTTCATTTTATGGAACACAATGCCCGGTATATGCCCGTGGTCGGGGAGCGATGGCAGTTTGATCGGGTCGTGAATACGGCCAGCGGGCAGTCCGAATTCGTGACGAGCAGCGGCAAGTTACGTGCCAGTCGCGTTCAACAACACATGCGGGCGATCCGACGATTTAAAGAGAAATTGTTGATGTGTATGCATACGACGGGTGGCCAGCCCAGCCGAGCGCCCGAATTGATGAGTGTCCGGTATTGCAACACCCATACGGGGGGCCGACGCAATGTGTTCATTGAAGAGGGGCACGTGGTATTTGTCACCGCGTACCATAAAGGGTATTCGTTTGACGGCAGTACCAAGATCATTCATCGGTATTTACCGCGTGAGGTGGGCGAGTTGTTAGTGTGGTATTTATGGTTAGCGCGGCCATTTGAGGAGCAATTGTTGGTGGGCCATCACGGCGTGCGCACCACTCATGGATATATGTGGCGGAAAGGGGTGGAGGACCCCGAGTGGACGTCGGATCGGGTGCGTCGGTTGATCCGCGACGAGAGCGTGATCGGGATGGGGGTGCGGTTGAACATCAGTTCGTACCGACAATTGGCGATCGCCATCACGCGCAAGTATTTGAAAGGGGAAGGGTTTCAGGATGACCGTGAGGACGAGAACATTGAAGATCAAGGTGAGACCGAGCAGCACGGGGTCAACATCCCCCGCCCGCGGGATAGTGTATGGGACCAACAGAGTGGCCATGGGTCGATGGTCGCGGGTATGATTTACGCGCGGGCCATTTTAGAGGCCCCCGGTGCGGTATCGAGCATGCGGACACAGTATTTCGCGGCAAGTGGCGGATGGCATCGATTTTTGGAGTTTCCGTCCACGATGGAGCGAGGCATCAAGCGGGAGCGGGCGGCGACCGATGTGGACGACGGGTACGGACAGCAGTTGGCACGGTGGCGTCGCGTCAAAGGTGAGAACGTGCACGAGGCGTTGAAAGAGTTGATCGGCCCCGAGGCGCAGTTCCGCGACGTCCAGGAGGCGAGTTTGGCGGCCATCATGTCGGGCGCTGGTCCCGTGGTGACAGTGATGGGACGGGTGGGGGAAAGAGCGTGTTATTCATGTTGCCGGCGATGTGTTCCGCCTGGGTGGCGCGGCGGGACGGGGGATTAGCCGGCGTGACCGTGGTCATCATCCCGATGATTTCGTTACGGGAGGATTTGCAGCGGCGGTGCGTGAAGCACGAGATCACGTGTGTTGCATGGGAAGGGCGGCGGCCGCAGAAGAGCGTGTCAATCGTGTTGGTGACGCCCGAGTCGGCGATCAAGAAGGGATTTCAGGATTATTTGATCGAGTTGGGCGCCAGTGGCCGATTGGAGCGGATTGTGATCGACGAGTGCCACGTCGTGTTGGACGCCACCAGTGAATTCCGACCGCAGTTGCGCGAATTGAGTCGATTGTTGGTGGCCGAGACACAGATAGTGTTGTTAACCGCAACGTTGCCACCCAGTGAGGAGGAGGAGTTGTTGGGGATTTTGCAGTTGCCCGTGGAGCAGGTCCAGGTATTCCGCAGCCGGACAACACGCCGGAATGTGCGATACCAAGTCGTGCCGCGACGGGCCCCGCCAGCCGGGAGCCAGGAGTCCAGCACGGCCGTCGCCGATGCACAAGTGGTCAAGATAGTGCAGGCCAAGTTAGCCCAATACCCCCAGGGGAAGATTGTGGTGTACGGTCGCAGTATTGAGCGGGTGCAGCGGGTCGCCGCCCAGATCGGATGTGAAGCATATTTCCGATCCATGATGGAGAAGTCGGCGGTGTTTCAACGGATTGTTGGCGCGACGTGCCGCGTGGTCGTGGCAACGAACGCATTGGGGTTGGGTATTGACATTCCCAACATTCGGGTGGTTGTGCACATGGACGCCGTGTCAAAGTTGCGAGATTTTGGCCAAGAAAGTGGACGGGCCGGGCGAGATGGGTTGGTGAGTGAGTCCGTTGTGATTATGGGTCCCGTGGAGCACAAAGGTGGTCAGCCCAGCCGTGATAGTAGTCATGTCGACCGTCAGCGACCATTAGCACCATTCGAGATGGGACAGGTGTGCGGACGAGTGATATTGGACGGGTATTTAGATGGGCAGACGGACCGGGATGGGTGTCAGGCGGGTGAGGAGGCATGTTGGGTGTGTGAGGCCCGCAACAGCGACCCCGATCCGCAGGAAGACCCGGCGAGCGTGGTCGCCCAGCGGGACGAGGTGCAGTTCACGCAGATCACCGCCCAGCGAGAACGAGTACGCGAACAGATGCAGTGGATGATCAGTGGCGAGGCCATGGAGGTGGACGAGTTTCGACGGCGGGTGGAGCAGTGGGTTGGCCGATGTGCGTATTGTTTGGTGCAGGGCCGGGAAGTGGCATCCATCGGACATGGATTTACCACATGCCCGTACGGAGGACAAACATGCCAGGCGGAGTTTATGGAGACGCGCGAGAAGATCCGATACGGACGATACGCGGTGTGTTACCAGTGTGGTATGCCGCAGGCGATGTGTCGACGGTTCGAGGCCAACGGGTTTGGACGTTGGCGACGAGTGCGTGATCAGATGTGTCAGTACGGTGACGTGATGATCGGGGCCGTGGTGGCAATCATGTTGCATGGGCCAGAGGAGGCGGCACAGAGTGTGGAAGCGTGGATGGCCCAGGATGGAGTGGAGATGACGGACGTTGACGGGGTTCATCGATGGTTGGGCCAGAAGATCATGTGGGGGGAAATGGAGGCGGCGATGATCAACAAGGTGTTTTTGCGGTTGGTGCAGTGTGTAGGATAGCGGATGAGACAGAAGTCGGGTTTGTGGACGCGTGTAGGTAGAGAGAAGCCGATCAAACAGGACCCGAGGGTGGCGGAGGCAAGCCGATCAAATAGGACCGCAGAGTGATGGATGTAAGCCGATTAGAGGGAACCAGAAGGCAATGTATCATGTTGAGTGTTATGTACCACGTAGAGGTTGCCATTATCCCATTTCCACCGTTGTGGTTCATTGTCCCATTTTCGTCAAGGTGCGTCCCCCGATATATAAAAATTGTGGCGGATGGTATGAATTTTTTACGAGAACGGCAGTAGCAAGAACAGGTTTAGGATGTCCCCAAGTCATGATACAGAGGCATTTCCGATGCACATGATGTGTGGAAGGGTCAGTAGATGATTTATATATTTTCGGGTCCGTTGGGGCGGGTTTCAATTGGAGAACCAAAGACGGGGTAGAAATATATGTACATTACACCCGTTTTAGGCATCAATGTCCATCCAGTTGATCAACAACACGATGACGATATTTTCCCATTGTGAGATGTCCATGTGTTTAGTATTATTGTCAACACGTCAAGGACGATGGTTTGTGATGGGAAAGTGTGAATGCACGCCGTACATGAGTCCACCGATTTAATCATTCAAAGGCGCCGAATTTGGACAATTTTGACGGATGCCATGAATTTTTCCCGGGCACGACGTTTGTAGCAATGGATTCGGCATGGTCAAAAGTGGTCACCGAGTACGTTTCGAGTTCGTATTGTGCATGGACAAGACGTGAGAATTTTTACCAGATTGTCAGTGTAGGCACATCCATATCGTGATTGTCCAGTTTCACATTAGGCGGTCAGAATTTCCCCGCACGAGCACCAGAGAGGGTTTTTGATCAGGATCGCCACGGTGCCGCCAGCCGGACGCAACAGTAATCATCACGATGATTGTGTGAGCGACGATGCGGCCCATATGCGGCCCATACATAGCCGACGCACAGGCCGGTATTGTGCATTTAGAGCGCGGCCCCAGAGTGTTAATTGGCCGGAGAGGCGGAAAGGTTAAATTGAGTGGGGGTCCCATGTCGGGAACAATGGACGGCGTGACCGAAGAAAGGTGATGGAGGGACCGGATAGGGCAGGTTGGATACCGGATGTGGGGAGGACGGCATGGATTGATGCACCATGACGACGAACAGGCGTGTGGTAGCGTGGATCAGGCCATACCGACCGGGTTTAGGCGCGGTCCGCACCGTTCGATCCGGGCGGTCATGATTGGATTTATGGACAGGGTTGAGGGAGGTGGCATTGAGTAGATCCAGGATAGGTGAATTCCCGTTTGGCCCGGGCCGGCGAGCGTGATCAGGATGAGGGTTATATGGTAGGTTGATGGGATAGGGTTAGGGTTAGGGTTAGGGTTAGGGTTAGGGTTAGGGTTAGGGTTAGGGT